CAAGCAGAATCACAAGCAGAATCACAAGCAGAATCACAAGCAGAATCACAAGCAGAATCACAAGCAGAATCACAAGCAGAATCACAAGCAGAATCACATCAACCACAAACAATGGCAACCTCCTCGGGGTTGAAGCCGCCTTCAGGCGCGGCACTTCAAAAAGCATATCCGCTTGGCAAGATCGAACCCAATTCGGTAGGTGGTCGAGATGAATGAAAACAAAACACCAGGAATCTGTCCAAAACATGAGCAAACCAACCAACTAACTACATCCCTTCTTATATACAGGCCAAATACTTCGCGTCATGCATGGTGGGCGGGATCATCGCGTGCGGCCCCACCCACACGCTCGTCACACCTCTCGACCTGGTCAAAACCCGACGACAAGTCGATCCCAAACTCTACACGGGCAACTTCTCGGCCTGGCGATCCATCTTCGCCAATGAAGGTCTACGCGGCGTCTTCTTCGGCTGGACACCCACCTTCGTGGGCTATAGTTTCCAAGGCATGGGCAAATACGGATTCTACGAAGTCTTCAAACACATCTACGGCGACACATTGTTCCCCAACGCCAACCGAACACTGGTATTCTTGGGCGCCAGCGCCAGCGCGGAATTCATCGCCGATGTATTTCTCTGTCCGTTTGAGGCGATCAAAGTCCGGATGCAGACCACCTTGCCCCCTTATGCCAATACCTTGCGTGAGGGGTGGTCGAAAATCGTGGCGAAAGAGGGAGTGGCTGGTTTGTATAAAGGGATCACACCGCTGTGGGGCAGGCAGATTCCTTATACCATGTGTAAGTTTGCCACGTTTGAGGAGACGGTCAGGTATATCTATAAACAGTTGGGGAAGCCCAAGGAAAGTTATAACAAGTTGCAACAAACCGGTGTGAGCTTTTTGGGTGGCTATATTGCTGGTATTGCTTGTGCGGTCGTCAGTCATCCTGCGGATGTCATGGTTAGTAAATTGAATTCGGAGAGGAAAGGTAAGTTTCACTTTCACTTTCACTTTTTCTTTTCTTGTTTCAAAGCCCCCTGCCAGAAGCGAGGAATGCATATACGGAGTACTAACAATGTCTGTCTCCCCCGCGAATAGCCGGCGAATCGTCCGGAAAAGCCATGACGAGGATCTACGGTAACATCGGCTTCACGGGACTATGGAACGGTCTACCTACGAGAATTGTCATGATTGGAACTTTGACAGCTTTCCAATGGTTGATGTAAGTGATTCATTCTCCAGGAAGAAACGGTGGAAAGACAGAAATAAAAGTCGTCGGTCCATTGGCGATGAAGATGAACCATACTGACGAGGCTCTGCCACATTTTTAGATACGACTCATTCAAAGTCTGGTTAGGTCTTCCTACGACCGGTGGTCATTGAGGTGGAAACTATCAACTCAAATCGCCTAACTTGGGGACATGCCTACTCTAAGTTACTATATCACTATACACTCAACCCGCTGGGATTGCGAGGCAATGAGCGATTATCTCGATCATGCTCCAAACACAAACTCTTGACCAGGCATATCGGGGGATAGTATTGGTTGTGACTCCGGACAACGGTTCATAAATGATAGAATCTGCGAGGCCTTCCCAACCATACCTTATTTTCGCCCACCTCCCAAACACCCCAGGCTCGTTACGAGGAAAACCGGCAACCAGCATCGAATAGCCACGGCACGGTCTACACGGGCCTATCATGGCAAGGGAGAAATAGAATTGAAAAGCGGACTAATTCCCCTTTCCAAACCACTAGAAACAATAATATTAAATCTACACCACAAACAAGCCTTATAGTTCACGGTCTATTTCATTCGTTCTTTCTTTCTGTAGGCAATAAATTCAATATGGTATTGTAAGGTATGATACTAAGTAGTAGTATGCTGCTCCTGTGGCAATAGATAGCCTTTGGCCGTTGTGCTGTCAATAACGCCTCGCCAAATGCAGGGAGCGGCTAAATTATGCAATGCATGCGCTGTTTAAACATCAAAAGCCTCAAAACTTCATTCTTCTCGTCAATCTCGACGTGAATGCCTTTTTCATCAGTGTTCCAGAGGCCAAGCTTTCGAAGCCTCATTCCATCGTCCTGGCGTGTCCTCTCATACATGCATGTGTGGGTGTTGTCATTCCATTCAAAGGAAATGTTCGTGGGAGCCTTTACCTTTTGCCTTTTGCCTTCATCATGCGTACGGCTTTTGCTCGTTCTAGTGTCACCCCAAAACCCAGATTCAAGCACGATAGCTGCTATTTTGGAACTCGACATCACCATAGGTCTTTCATAGGTCGTCAACACCTGATTTAGTGAAAAGTCTCGGTCCAACATTTGGAGCATCAGACATCTTTCATGGCCGAATCGTTGTCTTCAAGGTGATTACCAATACCATGTAGTTCTTCGTCATGATGGGACATTGATTGTTCGGGTAAACTCAGGGGAGATTCGGATCTTCTGTCGAAGTGGTCCTCGGGAGGTGCAAACGACCACACCTGACAAAGATTAGCAATTGCACAAACTCCAGAAAACATCTTGTGTCACATACCTCCATGACCGTCCTGTTTGAGCGACTAGCCATAATGACGGCCTTTTCTTCTTCAAAAGCAACCCTCCATACTGCTTCCGCAGGTTGACTGAGTTCCCGAACCAATTGACCAGTCTCGACGCTCCAGATCTTGACTCGGCCGTCACTACCGCCGCTGACTATTCTGTTATCGTCAAACTGCAAACTCGTAACACTATTGTCGTGTGCGGCCAAACGATGGATAGGCAGGCTGGTTTGCAAAGACCACACTCGCACGGATCCGTCGGATCCTCCAGTGACCAAGGTATCGCCACGCATTTGAAGCTGACCAACTAGTGATGTGTGGCCTTGTAATATCGCAGTGCAATTGCCAGTTTTGGGGTCCCATATCCGCACACTCGTGTCGAGACTTCCTGTAGCAATTCTGACACCGTCGAAAGCAATGGCGTATATCTGACTGAAGTGGCCAGTTAATGTACGAAGACAATGGCCTTCAGATATACTCCATATCCGGGCAGTGGTATCGTAGCTGCCAGATACGACAAGATCGCCATGGATGGCCAGACAGCGCACGCTAGCCTGGTGACCAATAAGCACTCTCTTACACACTCCTGACGGGATATCCCATATTCTTAAGGTGGTGTCTCGAGAGCCCGAAATGGCCGTGTTGGCATCTGACATTTTGAGACACCTTACCGTCGACGTATGACCCCTCAGGGTGTGAATGCTCCTGCCAGTGGACATATCCCACACCCGGACGTCTCGGTCACATCCACCACTGACAAGAATATCGTCCCATGGAACCATAGCCCATACACCCATGACATGGCCCTTCAATGTCTTCTGATGCTCTCCAACTGTGTTGAAGACGTGGATTTTTGCATTGTCCATGGCCACAACAATGTACTTCTCCGTCAGATGAAGACTAGTGACCACTCCTTGATCGGGAGTTATGTGCTTAACGGTTCTTTCTCCTCCCTTTCTCCATGCTGCCTCGATCATGTACTTGTGTCGGAAGTGTGAATAGTGCGATTGTGACTGTCTCTTTCTTGCTTGTGGACTTGAAGAACGTTGTTCATGACCTGACAAGGATAGATTGGGGGCGCTAGACGATGGACCTATGACTGTGCCGTCGAGAGTGCGTTTAGAAGAGGGGTTGCTATATCCATATGGAGCATAAGGGCGCTGCGGGAGTTGGAAAGACTCGCTATCATCACTCGAAGCAGAAGATGACTTTCGCCAGGCATGCTTGTCACACATCATTTTCCACAGCATGTCGTCATTAACCAACTTGTGCCACCGGTGGGACACTTGAGAAGCGCGAGCGAGTGTGAGAGGATCGTCAATATAGGAGAGAACCTAGACGGCATCAGTATCAGGTCAGAGACAGGAGAAACGACACCCAACATACTCTCAGGCACAATTCGTCCGGCAGATGTTCGAAAGGGTCCTTTTTCAGTCGGGGAGAGACGAAATGATGAACGAAACTCAACAGTTGGCTGTCGCACATGTTAAGCAATTCGGCCAGATATCTCTCCCTCTGGGCGGCATTCAGGTTCAGGAAGTGAGCGCGAGCATCTCTGAGAAACGAATCCTCTTCTTCACTCGCACATGTCCAACTAGGAGCTCGTTGATACGGGGTGGGAGAAGGCGCCGGGGTAGGAGGGGAAGCAGGAGCTGAAGGCAGGATACTGAGTGGCATGTTGTTCTTGCCAGTCGTCGACAATCGCTTCGGACGTGGTTGGGATAGGCTATGACGAGACTTGGAGGCTCGTACAGGGTCTATTGGGATGGGTTGGGAGCGGGAGAATGGGAAGTCGGATTCTTGCTCGGTGGGAGAGGGTCTCCCATGGTAGGGGTGTGAAGGCAGTTGATGAGGATCTATTAGGACAGACCTCGAGGGTCGGGGAGACAGAGGTTTGGCTAATTGTGTCGGGGAGGCAGTGTCATCGAGGTCCATGTTGTAAGCGCCGCAGGCAGGGTGTAGACTAGGGAGGCGGTAGTTTGGCTGGAGACTCGGATGGTAACAAAGGTGGTATGAAATGTCCAAATAGTGAGCAAGACCCTCTCAACGAGATGCTTATGCGTCAGAGAGATTCCATGTCAGCAGGAAAAGGAAAGGGGGGAATGGCGTGCACAGAGCTGGGTGTTGAGTTGGACTGGGTGGGCGAAGGAGGGTGGTGGCAGCCAGCGCTTATGGTTTATGACATGAAAGAGACACTGGCAGGCAGGCTCTAGGCCGAATCAAAGATGACGGAAGGGAGGACTGATATGCAGGCGGATATGACGGACGATTTGTCAGTGTTTGCGCGAGAGGAGGAGGCTTGTAGAGAGGGTAAAGCGATGGTGTTAAAATGGTACGTGTCGAAAATGACTGGTGATATCACAATCGCGGTAACAGATGTTGGGTGGACGAAGAGACTATTGAATAAAGATGACGGTTGGATAGTGAGGGAAAGTTGGCAAAGGGGGCGCTGGGGGTAAGGAACCTCGAGGAAATGACTAATATGAGAGGCAAGAACTTGGCACTAAGTAAATGGCATCAGCGTTTTGCGTTTTGGTTTCCTGGCGTGTGATAATGGGGACGAGGGACGGGCTGAGGGAATCCTCGGGCTTAAAGGTTCCCGCAGGTGGCCGGCGAAAACATGACAAAAACTGGTACAATATGTACATACTTGAATTCTTTGGGTGATTACACTCGGGGCCGGTGAATAGTGGACGTAGTAATGATGTCGTACTCACTCACCATCCAGAAGAAGAAAAAGAGAAAATTACAATCCTCAGGTTGGACAGAGGACATTAAAATTCATCTTTGATATTGGTCTGTATCTGTCTCTGCGCCCAAAGCAAAAGGAATGATTTGCGATCTGGGTAGTCGACACCGCCAATACGCTGATAGTTTAGGCTCATCCCAACAGCATTTGGGCAGAGATACTGGCAGTTGGGCCCCTATCAATACTAGGTATTAAGCTTGGGCATTCATTGTCGCAGTATGCTACCCACTAAGTAGTGGAGACGCGTGGGTTCAGTCGAGGCTCGACCAACAACCATCGATACTGATGCAGAAGTCGACCTGTTCGAGCCCAAGATCTCATGCATAACGACACCAGGTACATTTGCCATGAATCAATGTGCATGAAACAATGCAAACTAGCCTGGGAAGATCTCTTTAGGCAGACTTGTCAGAGAATCGTCAAAGCGTTGTAGGCATCTTCAGCCTGTCACAAGCGCAGTAAGGATAAGCCCAGGCACCCTGCAGCATGCCCATAGTGCAAGTCGTCCAGCCACATCTGCGGGACGAGGGGCATTAACGTCTCCGTACTTCAATAACACCGCGACACTATAGGTTTTGTATTTATCCACTGATGTCTTGCATCGAGATTATCCGACTTGGGCCAAGTGTGTTGAGGTGCGTGGGTGCCACAGGGAACAAGTGCCCTGCGAGTCGTTGTACCCTGGGGCAGTGGTGCATCTTGTGAATCCCACTTTGGCGATACTCCGGGTGACCTTTACGATTCCCACTTTCAAGCTTTCAGGTGTCAGGATTTCATTTCGCCAGGGGCTGCTTAGGCAAGCATCGCAAGCAATGTCGGTCTATGTAGTGTTGCGGTTGCGATCAACTTATCCCAGAGCCCGTAGTTCTTCTCAACATGCAGTCGGTGTGTTAGGTACGTACCTAGGATGTCTCTATCCCACTTTGTATCCTGACCGCTAGTTGAATGCACACCCACGCAGTACTTAGGCCCAAGCGACCATGTACCAAGACGAGACGAACAGAAATGGGTTCCCCCGCATGCCTCGATATCCCCGCAATACTAAGACGACTAATTATGTGTAGGGCTCCCTAGGCGCGTCTGGCCTTGGGGAATAGTCATGAATCCTTGTGATTGACGCTCTCAACAACAGGCACTAGCACTCAACATATCTCTCAACCCATCACTGACGCCCTCTCTATCGATGGTCGAGGGCCGGCACTCGGATCCCACACTGTGTTCACGTCCTAGAATTTGGATGATCAAGCACTGCCCAAGGATCACACAGCTATCATCAGGAGCTCTCACGTAGGCCTATCCATTGATGTTAGGAGTGCCGTTAGCCCTCAATCCTATGTTCATTCTACAAGATCCTGATCGTCCATTCCTCACTGTCAAAGTCCAACCATACTCCAATCAGACCACCATCCCTCATTAGTCGTAGTAGAACGGGAAATCAAGGCCGCCATGTTCCACCATCTCATGTCCTCAGAAGGTGCACCAAACCCCGGAGCCATCGCGGCAACCAAGGATTATATGTGACAAGGACAGAGACGTCAGAAATCATTGGCGTATCTAAAATGCAATATGGCAATCTCTAGAAACATGGTGCATAGTACAAGGTAGAACAGGGGTTCCACGACACATGTCTCAATGTGCGTGCCCAACCTGCAGGAAGACTGGAAGGATCATGCCAAAACATGCAGCAGCCAAATCCTTCCAGGAGGCCTTTGTCTCGGTCTGCAATCCTTCTCGCCCATCCACGTATCCATTGGCATGACCATTCATCGACTCGTGGTGCGACTTGGAAGTGTCTTGCATCGAGTGCATGGCCACGTAGAGAAAGGTTCCGGCAGAGAATAGCAATAGCATGCCAGTCCACCATTGCGTCGACTCAGGGCTACGTTTACCCACTCCACCCAGAACATGTGCCAAAATCCAGGTAGTAATGGCACCGGTAGGAGCGGCAAGGCTGAACAATACTAGATGTCCTCGCGCAGCCCGCTTAGATAGCCCCTGCTTGACCAGGACTGAGGTGAGGCCGAATGCCGCAGGGGCCTTGTGGATCATGATAGCGAAGAAGATGACGAAACTGAGGCCTGAATTCGTGGCCGACGAGGAGGCGCCCAGAGCAATACCGTCTGCAGCTGCGTGAATAACCAGTCCAATCGTTGTGGCGAACCCTCGACTGTGGGCATGGGATACATCGCTCGATTCCAAGAACGACTCTGCTTCTTCATCTCGATCCAAAGATGTAGTCAAATTAAATCTGCGACCAAGATTGTTGAGCGCAATGTGATGTGTGCGAGCCTTGGGCTTCGTAGGGGTGGTGTACTGTGGAATTTTGTCCACCAAGTACATGAGCATGAACCCTGCGAGCAGAGCAATGCCGATCCAAGCGTGTTGCGAGTCGCTGTGTCCCTCTTCTGTGTGGTTGTCAGATTCTTTGTTGGACCCCTTGGATGCTTGTCCTTCAGCGCCCATGATCCCAACGGTGCCAGGCTTGGTGGGTGTTCGTGGGGGATCGTCTAATCGAGAGGGTATGACAGGGCCAGGAACATTGAAAGGACTTGTTTCGTCGACCGATCCTCGAGCCACCGCGACACGAAGTTCACGGGATTGGAGTGTACCCGACCATTCCACGCCAGACTGGCGCGCATATAGGGCTCTATTTACGTGCGGCCGCGCACTGTGTCCGACTTCTGAAGCGCTGGAAAGAGTTTCGACTCCTTCGGGTATAATGACAACCAGTGAAGTTCCGACGAGGACGCCCATGCCAATCGTTGATATCATGCGTAGCTTGGACTGTGAGAGGGTGAGAGCTAGAGGGAGAATGCCTGCAAGGAACGAGGCCAGGCCCATTACAATGCTCAGACTGAGCAAGGTGAAGAGGCCGTCCATGTTGAAGAGAGGGAGGGGAAGGATTGATGAAGGAGAGAATTTTAAGGAATGATATGTGAAGCCAGAGTCAACCTGCACATGATTGAATATCAAGGAGAGGCTTGTTTGGCGCAACGGTGGAAAATTGAAGCATCTGTCAAGATCTCCTGAGCAAGTGTAGGTACGGAGTAGTGTCTTTTGGCGCCCAACACGATTTCATCCCTTTTAGAACTGCGGCTGCACCTGCGCAATACAAGTTTCACCCGATAAGATTCTCCTTATCGCACGTGAGTCTGTCTTGTTCCTCGAGCCACGAAGAGGTCATGGCCAGAAACACCAATCGACATCTAGCATCATTCAATTCTGCAGAATAACGCATTATTCACAAGCACAAGTTCTATGACTGCTACGTCTCAATCCATGGGTATTTGGCCTAACCTGGCGCCGACAAGCCCATAAACCCCACGCAGAAGCGTCCGTGTTCCCATCACTTGCTCTCATTTCCCCAACACCCAACGCTGTAAACCCACGTGAGTAGCATAATTCCGTCAACGTCGTATCGTTGCGGGAGGCTCTGGCGTCCCGACAATGCTTGCAGGTTAATCAGAACATTCCATCGTCTTGAGCAGAGAATGTAGCTGCTGAGTTGATGCTGATGTGTGAGTTTCACTCATCATAGTCTGTTCCCTTTTTCTTGTTTGTCGAATCTGCTGGAAAGAGGCTTTTGGAGTGAATCGTGACCTTGGTCGACTGTGCATCAAATACGACAACTGATGTCGCAAAGCCAAGATGATTTCCATTGGCTGAAGTCGTTTTCGTCACCTCTCGTGCTAATTTTGTGTGTAATGGTGCATTTCAGTCTGATGTAGTCATGGCACCCAGCGAGACCAGGCCTTTTCGCACGATGTTGGAGAATGGGAGATTTGACGAGTGACGACGGGGACATCTGCAGCGGCGGCGTTCTCGTTGGAAACGTGCAAGTGCAGCCAGATCTCAGGCCTGCTCCCTCGGCGCGCCGTCTGCTCTGACTTGCGTCGTTTGATGAGCTTGATAGAGCCGTAGATGGTGGGAGCATTGGCGACGAAGCAAGAGACCAGGAGTTGGATCGATGCCCATAGACTTCGGACTGGCTGGTAAGAGGATTCGGCGTAGATATAGGCGAGGCGTATACAGGTGATGATGATGCAGAAGAAGCCGAGAACAAACAAAGTCCACACGCGGAGCCTTTCAGAAAGTGTTCGGTGTTGGACGATGATGAGTGGGAATGATATGGCGAGGAGGTGGAGATCCAGAACAATGTTTGTGCTGGCCTGAACGACGAGTTGGATGTAGGCCCGAATACAGGTTCCGGGGGCTGGGTCGACCTGCCAGTACAGTCTGAAAGGGCGACATTCCAGAAAGGTGCTAAGGACGACGGCGATATATGACAACGCCAGGGCAGCCCAACATGAGCGGATCAAAGCGGTGGTCAGGCGTGACCGAATCTGGAAGAGTTGCGAGTAGAAGAGTAGCAACAGGCAGTTTTGCAACCAATAAAAAGTGGTGATGAGTAACCTGGCAATCAAGGCCAGAATACTCCCAATCTTCAATCTGGCTAGATCTTCCTCGTCAAAGTATTTTGTGTTGCCATATATGGCATCATTTGAGGTCCCATAGGTCAAGACATATTGATTGACCACAATCCGACTGCTAGCAACCAAGATGGCGAGTACACAAACCCAGACACTGACGTCGAAGTATCCTAGTTTTAACCTCGAAGTGACGATTCGGACGATTAGAATAGTGATGGCGACCGCTGTGCAAACATAGCCCGTCACTCGAGCATCGAAAGAAGAGGTGAGCATTGTTGAGGACTCATTTCCAAAGCCACGGTGGGAGAGGTTGCTGATCAGACCGAGATTGTAGTCTCACCCAACACACAGAGAATGATTTCTGAAACTGCTGTACGCAATTGCGAATGTGCGAGTTCGGGCGCTGGGTCTGGAAACGACTGATATTGTCTCTTGTCAGAGCCTTCGAGCTGTGTGAGGAATTGAGGAAGCTGGGGGACGGGGGCATAGGGTTAAAAGCTGGGGAAGAGGCCGAGGGGCTTCAATTTGGGTGGATTGCAGGTTGTGGGAGATGACTGGGAGAGGCCGGCGCAGTGGGACGAGTTGGTTTGGGGGAAATGATGAGGATCGACTGCCGGGCGGGGTTGGAGACGAGCGTCTTGACGAGGTTCTGCCGTTTAATAAGTTGGACCACAGAGGCCGAGGGGCGCTATACCGCCCCCAGCTTCAAATCCGGTGCCCACCAGTGCCCACCAGTGCCCGCCCACCACACCTGCGACTCGAGAGGAAACGCAATTCCACAGCACTACGGAGTATACGAAGAGCCGTTACATCAAATGGATCCCTCCTCGGCACGCGGACACGGGATCGACAATATTAGCAGAAACTCTTCCCAGAATCAAGAAGTGTAAGCTTCATTCGGTGTGCCTGTGTCTCTTGTCTCCCTGTCACATCTCTCAGGGTCTACGGAGTACAGTGGCCGGCCATTTGAATTACCGCAACCGTCCCTGCCTTGAACTTGACACCCATGTGAGAATTGATCGGTCGCCGTTAACCGAGGGGAGCCCCCAAGCCAGCGGCGCCATACTTGTACTTATTATTGAATCCCATGGGCTTTCGACCCTGCGAGACTCTCCATATCACTCCCCAAACCTGCTCCGAAACTGCGTGGCGTCTTGACTCGTTCTAATCGGGTGCGTCGCTTCACCAGCTCATAGATTACACATTCACAGCCCCTTCGCCTAAACATCTGACCGACTAACCGGGTCTCCAGCCGCGAATAGGTCAGATTCACAATTGACTCAACACTCCAGGTTTGGACAATGGAGTCCTTTCTAGTTTGGTTCACCCCTGATTCTATTTCCACATTGTTACTATTGTCCTCTTGTGGCCGCCTGCCTCTAGGATCTCTCTACCCTACTGCGCATGCGGTACTAGGTTGTCGACGGTACTTTGCGCACACACCTCCACGTAGAAAAAGCATCTGCCAAGTCTAAGGTGATCGACAACATTTTCTAGTGCGATGTGTCAGCACCACCAAAAGTGACTCGTACAGGCAACATGTCGTTCCGGAAAATAGCGACACCAGCACATATTCAGACACAAGCATCAAGTATTACCATGAAAGATGGCCATATTCACTTCGTCACATCCAATTGCAATGTACTTTTGCTTTCAAAAGTGGTCCTTTCTGACGAGCGCTCTGCTCGAGCCGCATCTCGCCGACGATCGTAAGCGCAAGACGCAACCGGGCAATCCCAAGCCCGGAGCGTAACCACCTCTGCATCTATACTCCGTACTTTGTACCCTGATCTCACCCCAGATTTCCAGTTAGCGTGGGCTGCTGGGTTGATGGTTGGTTCTTCGGCAGATAATTAATCCGAACCGAAAATCAACCCCACTCAGATCAACGTCGCGCACACGCGTGCCTTCCCAACCACGGCGCGTAAAGTGGTGCAGGCTATCTCAATCGATAATTTCATCGCAATCCCAACATAGGGATCACTTTCGCCCAATCAATTCCATCGAGTGTCTACTTCCTATCGACACTCTCTCGTGCGAAGCCCATCGTCTCTCCATTTGGCTTCACAAAGTCATGAAGCCTTGAGGATCCGAAACCCGGAGAAACAACCTGTCCGTACACAATGGCGACATCATCAGACGAATGTAAGTACATACTCGGCAAGCAGCACCCCTGTCACAACGCAGATGCTGTTCAGTTGAACTGACACACCGGCCATATAGGGTCCGTCAACGCCAACGAGGCAGTTCATGTATCCATCGTCCAACCTGGCACAGACAAGCTGATCACCAGACATGATTTCCATCCACAATTCACTTATCCCATTGTTGGCGAAGCAGAACAGATTTTTGGCTACAAGGATCTGGATATCGGACTCCAATTTGCTGCCCACGACTTGCGCCCTCATGTCAAGATCTCGTATTCAAAAAAATTCCCAACCGTTGGCACCACCGCTGCGCTCGACCTGATCGAAACCCTCACTCCCTTTCTCCCTCCTGTCGCCTTCGAACGCAACTTTGAATCTCACCTCTTGCAAGACACTGGCGCTCGCGACTGGACTCCCCCAGGTCTCAAAGTGAGCCAATACTCAAGGGATGGAAAGGACTTTGAGGTGTGGGCAGGATCGCTCCTTGATACGCGCATGCGACTACTCCTCGACAACATCCAGATCTTGATTGTATTCTTCATCGAAGGCGGTCAGTTCATCAATCTCGACGATGTTGATTGGACCTTAGATCGATGGCGCGTCTATCTGGTCTACCAAAAATCTCAGCCTCCCAATCCCAAAACCTCGCCATATTCATTTGTCGGCTACGCAACCACATATCGCTTCTACAAATTTCAGCCGATCAAGTCTCAAGCCGAAGACTTTGTCTCCCCCAACGCACAAAAGATCACTCCCAACAAATTGACATCCCGTCTCCGAATCTCGCAATTCCTCATCACACCCCCATATCAAAGCTCGGGTCACGGCTCCGCTCTATATCAAGCCATCTACTCCGAGGTTATGGCCGATCCCACGATTTTCGAATTGACGGTAGAAGACCCTAGTGAGGAGTTTGACAAGCTTCGGGACATGAACGATTTTGATGTCTTGGAGTCGCAATTCCGAGATGCAGACATCAAGATCAAATCGACACCGCTGTCCAATGCGGAAAGAGGACGTGTCAAGCGTGTGCCCACTGGATCACTCCTGCCCTTGACCAAGCTGCAGGAGATCCGAGCCAAAAACAAGATTGCCAGTCGACAATTTGCGCGCATGGTGGAAATGTTTTTGCTTGCACAAATTCCCTTGTCTCATCGTGCCACGGGAGGAGCGTCATTGACCAGTCTGAGGATTAATGGCCCAAGAGCGTCGAATGAGCATGATCGGAGTTATTACTGGTGGCGGTTACTCCTGAAGCAACGGATCATGAAGAAGAACAAAGATCTTTTGCAACAGATACCGCTGGAAGATCGATACCCTCAGATTGAAGACAGTGCTCGAGCACAAGAGGACGAGTACGAAGGTCTCATTCTCAAGTATGCCTTGAGACGAGAAAAAGAAGGTGATCGACACGGTAATGGCTCGTCCTCATCGGCCCCTGTGAGGAAGAGGAAGATTATCGACTCGGATGATGAAGCTTCTGATGGCGCAAGCGAGTCGTCCAAGAGGCAAAAGGCTTGACAATAGTCACGGCCATGGGCCTTCAAACGAAACCCAAAAATCTGAGCAGATCTGTGTGGGTGGCGCAGACTTTGCCCGCCATGTGTCATGATGAGGGTTTGATAGTCAGGAGGATTGCCATGACATTGACGACGAGGTCGGAGAAACCGGGGGCTATGCGCCTCGTTTTGGCTTAGACAAATGGTGAATCAAAATTGCTGTCATGCCACTGATCACCGAGACAAGAGAGCCCGACGGTAGCGCACAAATTGCTCTCGCTCTTCAGCCTCTTCCTCAGCGATAACATGTTCGTCTTGTCCCAGTGTGCTTCCCTCGTCCCACATTTTTTCCAACTCTTGATCATCGTCACCGACGACAGCCCACATACTCTCACGTAGTCGTTTATTGCGTTCGCGATCTTCCTCGATTCTTTGCTCGATCGCTCGCTTGTCCACCTTGGACACGCTACTGGCTTGCCTCACACTATGGGAACCCACCGTCTTTGGAGTAACTCTATTACTCTCGGGGGCACCATCAGCCGCGACAATCGCAGCAGACGTCTGAAGCGCAGTAGAACTTTCTGCTTCGTCCATGGCGTCACCTGTTTCCATTCCCTTGCCGTCTCCGTCCTCGAGTAACCTTCCCATCGCCTCCTCCTTGGTCTTCAAAGTGTTTTCAATGCCCGTAACAACGTCGGACTCCAAGACACCTTTCTCGCCCATACCAGATACCACGCGCCGGACGACCTTGACATTGGCACCACTTTGTGCGACCGCCTCGACGATCCGAGTGATATCTCTGCGCACCATATCCACGTAGTCTTTATGTCCACCTTCTTTCAAATTGACATCGGCGTGGTGTTCAAGGAAATACATGATGTTTGCTCGGTTGTTCATGTTATGGCCGCGTTCTAGGTTCTCCAGGATGCAACTGTGCAAGTCCTCGTCCATGTCGCGGTGTTTCATGGCATAATGTGCGGCTTTTTGCGATGCTGTGGTCGATGCCGATAGGTGTGTTAGGAGGTTGGTGAAGCGCAACCGCACTTCAAATGGGTCTGCCATGTTTGAGTTGTCGAAGATGCAGTGATTGCGGCCTAGGAAAGGTGATCAAAGAGACATCAGTGTGTCTGTGTAGGGGAGGAGACCGAGTGAGGTGGCAGTTGTTCGCATCACATGTAGTAGTAGGGGTGACAAGAGACTGCATACACAAAACATAGGTCCACCGTACTGGCAGTCAGTATTGTAGGTCTCGGTCCATGTACATGGCAGAGTATGGAGGAAGATTGGTGGTGGTTGGATTCGTTAAATGTTGTATGCCGAATGTCGAATGTCCCCAGCAGAGGAAAGGATTCTCGGTGCTTCCCCGCATATGTGGCTGCATTTAATTTATTATCAGATGCAGCCACCAGAATATTTCCTACCATCAGCGGCCAGCCATCAATCTTCTACTTACCACCTGAACCACACCGTCCACGCCCTTGTCTTGACAAGCACATCCGGCTTTAAGAACAAGGTCTACACTCTCGAAATCGAACTTGAGAAGTCGGAGTATCCATTAACCTCACAAATCATCACATCATGGCCACCCCTCTACGCAACCTCAATGGCCTCGACGGCTTTGGATCAACTACCAATAAACCCATGACTCTCACCGTCCTCGGCTGCGGTACTCTGGGGATCGCTATTCTTGGCGGCATCCTCTCCAGCATCAGCACTACCTCAACTGCTCCTTCCCCAGCCTATCCCGACTCCGGCACCGCAACTCCCACCACCGACGGTCCACCGCAACGAACCCCCACCAACTTCATCGCCCTCGTGCGACGCCCCGAATCCTCGAAACGTATTAAACGAGCCGTTGCCGAATACACCTCCACGCCCGTCACCGTCTATCAGAATGAGAATGTCCGCGGTGTGACCGCGGCTGACGTGGTTATTCTCGGTTGCAAACCCTACATGGTGGAAGATATTCTACGAGAGCCAGGAATCAAAGAAGCCCTAGCAGGGAAATTACTCATTTCTATCTGTGCCGGAGTTCCTGTCGAACAAATCGGACGAGCGCTATACGGCGAATCATATCCTCAAGGAGCTGGCGACAATGCATGCCGGATCGTTCGAGTCATGCCCAACACCGCGGCAGTGGTGCGCGAAAGCATGACAGTCATTGCAACAAGTACGCCACCTCTAGCGCCGGAGCAGAATGCTTTGGTAGAATGGATTTTCACTCGGATCGGTCGAGTCGTCCATCTTCCCCCAAGTATGATGGATGTGTCCACCGCACTGTGCGGGTCTGGTCCTGCGTTCCTTGCTCTCATGATGGAGAGTTTGGCTGATGGTGCTGTGGCCATGGGCCTTCCTCGTGCAGAAGCACAGTTGATGGCTGCTCAGACAATGAGAGGCACAGCTGGGATGGTGTTGGCTGGCGAACATCCTGCCTTGGTGAGGGAAAAAGTCAGTACTCCCGGTGGATGCACGATTGGTGGTTTACTGGTTTTGGAAGAAGGTCGAGTTCGGGGAACTGTGGCAAGGAGTGTAAGAGAAGCCACTGTTGTCGCTTCACAGCTTGGTAGAGGTGTGAGTGGAGTCAATGGTACCAGGTTCGAAAGGCAGTAACGAGGCAATCAAGATTGGTTGAGATGGAAATGAATTAGGCGTCAATGATACGATTATAGATTTGTATATACGGCAATAAAGGTAGAGCTCGGCGTCGCCAGTTGGACAGACCTTGAATCGTTTACAAAAACAAGAAGCACACCCTTCAGTCCACAGCTCACAGCCCACGAGTTGACTTTACAAGGGACAGGCAGGCAAGTGATTAAACTCGTTCCGCGGCCTGGAACTGTACAACGCTTATTTTGGGTCTGTTCCAGATCTGTAATGTACACAACATCTCCCAAACCATTGCAACAGAGGTCTATTCAGTACACCTGGCTTTACCAAGCCATTGAATCCCATCGACCCCTTCTTCCGCCTCTTCTTTGGATAGGAAGTGTGTTTCAATTGCCCCATGGATAGAGCAACCAAACACCACTGCAGTGTGCCTCTAGCCCGAGGTCTTGAAGCTTCAGCCTTGTTCAGCTTCCTTAACCAGGTCGATGGCACGTGTCGTCGATTGGAAGACTCGAATCTCTCTCTCTTTCTTCGTCACCTCCACCGTAGCTCGCTCCCTCCCTGTTGACCCTCGTCCTGACTCTAGTCCTCTAATCCATGCTGACAACAGCTCCCAAAGCCTTGAAAGCACTGATCATCTTCTCCGCATCTTCCTTTGGCACACTTTCCTTCAACAATTTAGGAGCAGCCTCGACGAACTTCTTACTATCCACCAAACTCAAGCCGAGCAGGGACTTGACTTCCTTGATAATCTTTGGCTTGGCGCCAGCTTCGAACGACTCGAGCTTGACGTTGAACAAGGTCTTTTCGGCCGGTGCAGGTGCGGCTTCTTCCTCTTCGACGGGGGCGGCTGCGGCGCCGCCAGCGCCAGGAGCTGCTGCCGGTGCAGCAAATGCCATATCAGGGATGTTGAGGCGGGACTAAAACAAAAAGGTGACATGTGAGTATACTGTAAATGGACAATGGTATATAATATTGGGTGGGCTTTACCTTCAAGCTAGCAACCAAATCAGCCGTCTCCAAGAGCGTCAACTGCGATATTTGATCGACAATTCCAGCAATCTTGGGGTTTGCAGGAGCTGCTGCTGCTGCATCTGTGGACTGCCATCTCCGCGAAGACATCAAACCATCAGCTTTCCTCTGTTGTTGCCGGTGTTGAGTGCTGGCGGAATAGCTCGTTGATGAAAGTCGGAGACATTGTGATGAGAGACTGCGTTTTTGGGTCCGACTTGCTAGCTGGCAGCAGCGGTAGGTGATGGAAGGGAGTTGCTGAGACATAGCGAGATTGGTGTAGAAAGTCTTGTAGAGACCGTTTACTCGCTGAGAATAGGTGGATGGCGAGTTGGAAGGTGAGCGCAAGTCGATTTTCTAAATTGTCGTTACAATAAATGAAAGCCCGGCGGTTGGTTTCAATTCGAAGGAAACTTACCTTCTTTCCCTTTCGGGCATTCGCGCCACACAAATTGCCAAGACCACGTGATGAGCGTTTGTTCTTCATCTTTCGCAACGTCAAGTCCAGAATTTACTTGATTTTTGATATATACATGGTCCTTTTCCTTAGCTCTTGCATAGAGAGACGACTTCTGACTGTATTGGTCGCTTTGACGGTGCATTCTAATGTATTTGCAGTTCGACGCAGGTTACAGGGAAATTTCTCGCCGAATTCGGCGACAAGTACCGCCGCTTTTGGGGGGTTTCTTCCCTTAAGGCTGGGTCCCGTGACTCCCGCCCATACTCCTCAAAAACCATCTTCCCTCCTATACCACGCAACTATGTAATCATCACTGTCAAATCAAGCCTCGACTGCTGATATCTCCTTAAATATCAAATCACACTTCCCCGCTGCTGGTATTAGCAGAAAATGATCGGTCATCGCCATAGTTCCCTCTGTCGTACCAGGCGCAGGTGAGAACTCGAAAGACTTTACGATGATAGCAGTGATGATTTTAAGTTCAATCATGGCCAAATTCTTTCCCAGACATGCTCTTGTACCTTTGGAGAATGGCATGAACATCTCTTTCATCTCTTGTGAAACACTCTTAGAGTCCATCCATCTCTGAGGGTGGAAACGCTCGGGGTCTGGATACACTACTGGATCTCGGTGTGTGGTGTAGCACTGCATAGATACCACGGTCTACCTAAGGTCAGAATTTCTTGCCCATGTCTCGACCATTGGAGTCAATAGCCACTCACATTCTTAGGGATGAAGTATCCATTCAATTCCCGCCCCTCATGAGGAAGCTCCCTTGGCAGGCTCGCCGGAGCCGCAGGGTGTAAACGCAGTGCTTCTGTAATGACGGCGTCTAGGATTGGCAGATCCATCACTTGCAGGAAGGTTGGCGTGGCATCCGTATTCGCTTTGATTTCTTCACGGAGCTGATCTTGCCATTGCGGATGCCGCGAAAGTTCCCAGAAGAGGTATGTGAGTGTTGTGCTCGTGGTATCTAAAGATATTAGCCTCCGCAAACTCTTTGCGGATAGGGGATTGCTTCTTACCTGTCCCGGCAAAAATCAAGTTGCCAATTTCAACCGACGTTTCTCGGTCACTCAATTGTGCTTCACCAGTCTCTGCTTTGGCCGACAATATTTTGGTCAGGAGATCCCTGCGGCCTGAGGATCGGCCATACTGGTTGATGTACAATTGGAATGCATCGCTGCCATACTGTCACAGTCAGTCTGCATTCAGCTTACATCCGTCTCACTGGAGAATGGAGATCAAAGTACCTGTGCAAGGCGTTCTATTGCCCCTAAGAAGTACTGCACGCGGCTTGAGGGAAGGTAGGAGAGAAACTTGGCGATCCAAGGGTTGTTCCATTTGACATCACTGAGAATGAAATACATGTCCATATCCGTCAAGAATTGCGGTGGCTCTCCCGTTGCAAGACCACCAAACGGCTGTCCAAGGAACAGTTCGCCTACACCAAGGTGAGTACATGCGCACAATTGAGAAACACGTGGACCTTACCAACAATATCAAATGCTGCCAGTCTGAATAGCTTCAACATGTCCAATGGCTCTCCGCCACTTCTTCGAATAATTTCGATCAACCTCGATATTTGCGTTTGGATGAGCTGCTCGGAATCCAACAAGTTGGATTGTGAAAAGGCGTGACTAAGAAGTCGTCGCCTTTTACTGTGCTGGGTCTTGTCACGCATGCTGAACACACCGATTGGCGGCATGGACAGCGACTCATAGACTGGTGCTTTAATAAAGTTCGTGTGCTGTCCGTATATGTCTTTGACATTTCCGATCTCAGAAACCGAGATTTCTTGCGGCCCGATCAGGACAGTGGACCCGTACTGGCGGTGGAGGTTATGAATTGTCCTTGTCCGATTGCCAGACATGTCGATGATTCTTAAGTATAAGGGTGAAACTCTTGCAAGAAATGGCCCTGGTATCTTTCTCAATGGTGAGAAGATGAGGGCATAAGACAACTTGGTTTGGTTAGCAGCCGCATGATCCAAATCAGAAATGCAAAGGTCATTTACTTTTTGGAGCGTCCAGATCACCATTAGGATCAAGCCTATAGCGACAGGGTTGGTCATCGAGAGAGCCATAACGGACAAAGAACTTTCACTGTCTCGTTGAGATGGTAGGGAGTTCATTGTCGGCTTCAGAACCGGATCAGAAGCAGATAGGGAAGAGTTGTGAGATTCGGGGAATCATCTGTCGATATCTGCCATGGTTCGGCATTGTTCGCTGCTCAACCTCAGGTTCATGTTACGGTCTGAGGCTTGTAACTGCCCGGCTTGCTGACATCTGATACACCATACGTATACTCTCTCCCCAGGTTCGCCCCGAGGTCTTCAAAAGCCGGCAAACCGAAGCTTGCCAGGTACCCCCAGACTTATTCCCCAGTGTGGAGTTCGAAGACGAATCCTTGTCATAGCCACTTGACTCTCGGACCGAAAACATCGCACCGAGAAACACTTGGGCTAAGTAGACCACCCCGTAACTCTGCTCCAAACGTCTACCACCGTGTCCCTGTGTCCCTCGGCTTTTTTGTGATCGATGACTACATCTAGCCAACTGGATTTGCTCGAGTCCATACCACGGGGACTCCTACAAGCGTAAATCATGCTCCATGGCTGGCTAGATCACCTCTCCGTTCAAGCTGGTCATAGGCCATTTGGATCGCCCCTAGAACCAATCGTGGAAATCGTTTGCAATCACTATAATTTGGAACCTTGAATCTTTCTACGGGTTTGTGCCTGGCTGCATCTAGGTTGTTGATCTGATAACTTCAAAGCTACTTAGTAGTCAAGTATCTTTCCGTCCCATGATGCGCACATCTATAGCAAGACTGGTCCTAGTAAACCTGTGGGAAGCCTGGGTGGCCCTTGAATTTGACACCGTCTCGCCAGATCCCTCTGATATTCAACAAATCCCCTATGTCGACGATTGGGTCTCCCTCGACTAAAAGCAAATCCGCTTTCAGACCTGGCGCTAGTCTGCCACGATCTGGAAATCCAAATTTATCTGCTACGAGACTCGTCACCCCTTTAAGAACTTCGATCGTCGACATACCAGCCTTGCTGGTCAAGAGTTTCATTTCAAGATGGAGATTGGCGCCGAAGACCAGCCCAGGTGCTCCTGCTGCTGCATCCGAACCACTTGAAGGATATGGGTCAGTTCAGTCAGAGGTGAGCCGTGGAAAACGAGAACTTACCACACGATATCTACCCCAGCTGCCATGAGCTGTCGAACGCTATCAATCGCATACTCCCATTTTGCTCCACTAGATTTCATATGCAGACATTGATGCATTCGCTCCAGATCGTCTGCTCCAATTCGACTGCTGACTCTCGGATCCTGCGAAAATTCTTCCGATACCGGTTTCGACTCGCAAGTTAGCGCTCCTGCTGCAACAAGGGTAGGGTTCAGCCAGGCTCCCGTGGATACATATAAGTCGATGCACTCCTGACTTATAGGCTCATCATAGAATGTGTGTGCCAGTCCATCCACGCCGGCTTTCAGGACTTCTATCGTGTCTTTGAGAGACAATGCATGTGCCACAACCTTGAACCCCTTACTGTGCGCACTTTTGACCACGGCTGCTTGTACGGACTGTCGAGTCTGAACGAGTCCCGAGCCACTCCCAATGCCAAGGGCTCTGCCACCCTCATGCATGAGTTTGATATAGTCTGCTCCATCTTTCAATGATCTTTCAATGAAAGAATCTGCATCTTCTTCCCGTGAAACATTTGGCCAATCATCGTAAGTCGAATGCTTCTAGTTGTTAGAATCTGTATCATGGTAGGAAGGCCATGATCGCCTGCAGTTTGCACCAACCTCATTGTTGTTCAGCTTTTTCTCGACCCAGGCCGGCCAACCGTCGTTTATGGTCGCTGCGAAATGGCAACTTTTAACGTCAGGATAGTCGCTTCTTTCCCTCGCCCATTGCTTCTGAATCACTGCATTATCGTGAAGATTATGCATGTCCATGATCGTTGTGATACCAAAGCGGAAAGCCTGCTCCGGCAGATTGGACTGTCGATAGGGATGACAGTGAGAATCAATGAGACCAGGCAGCAAAGTGTGTCCTGGCATGGAAATGACAGAAACACCAGAGACATCAACATCAGGGCCGACTTCTCTTATTATCCCATCTTGTACGAAGACTCTGCCATCTTCTAGGACTTTTTCTCCGTCGAATACGCGAACATCACGTATAATGAAGGCCATGATTTGACTAACGAGGACGACTATAATTTCAACAGCTCACGTGTTGAGCCTCAGGCGTCTTCAGCGCTGCCAGGCTGTCGAGATTATATGTTTTCCGTCGTTGGCTGATGAAGCGGGGATGTAAATCTGGGGGACATTGACCATTTCGGACCGAGATGATGAGCTGTCACCACGAAAGGCTCCATATGCATTCATTGACTGATCGGTACGAGATGATGAGCCGTCACCCCGAAAGGATCCGTAAGCAGTCATTGACCGATCGGAACGAGACACACGGGTGCAAAAGGCAGGTGTTGACTACTCTCAAAGTAGTGCTTATGTCTCAAGCAATTTCATTGTGACCACCGTCTCGCTCAACCGTCGAACTACCTCTGATCTTTGCGAAGGACACATACAGTTGGCTCTTTAATCTCCAGGCAATTTCATCATGGCCTCGAATATCAATGATGCGAAGACATCTGGAAATGTCAATGTACAGATGTCACGTCGGCCAAGTCCCATTGCTCTCGCGCACATTGTACTTCGAACGACACCGGAAAACTACAAGAAGATGGTGTGGTTTTACCAGGAACTACTTAACGGAGAAATTGTGCTCGAAGAAGAAGCATTTGTTTTCCTTCGCTATGACTACGAGCACCATCGCGTGGGGATCCTCAAGACACCTGATACCAAGCCAAAAGAGGGCGACCACGCCGGACTTGAACATATCTCCTTTACGTTCGCCACCTTGACGGATATGGCCAGGATTTACCAGCATTTGAAGGATCTCGGCATTGAGCCTTACTGGGCAGTCAATCACGGCATGACCAGCAGCATGTATTACCGTGACCCAGAGAGGAACAAGGTCGAATTACAGATCGAGAACTTCGACACACCGGAGGAGGCGGACGCATTTGTGCGAGGACCGCTATTTCAGTCCAATCCCATTGGTACGGATATTGACCCCCCATCTTGGGCGGATAGGATTTTGAGCAAGATGAAGCCAACCGGGGAGGAAGGACTTTCCGAAAGTGAAATGAGAGAAATCAAATTAAGAAGGGAAATCGGTCCTCGTAATACTATGCCAGACTATGTACTCGCTCCCTGAGATACCTTCCAGAACAAATGAATGTATCGCATTGCTCAACAATGCAAGACCGAGCTTAAAGTATCAGCTGTAAAGCAGCGATGGAGATTAATTTGCCGAATCATTCAAGCCGAGCGCTTTCATCGCTGTTCGAATCTGAGTACGCTAGCTTGAGAAATTGGTAAAATAATGATTTGGACCACGAGTCTCTTCATCATCTATCTATATGCCTTATGGATTGTGGGTGCTCGTAGCTCAAGCGGCCATTTGAATCATCCTTAGTACTCTTATTCAGGTGCTACAACCATTTTGTTGTTTATCTTCCCTATTCCCTCAATTTCAATCTCCACGATGTCGCCGTCCTTGAGCCAGTTCCGAGGTTGGATGAATGCAGCAACACCGCTGAAGAAGGTCAGCCTATTTCCACATTGGTGCTGACTACATGTACTTACTTTGGAGTGCCAGTCATTATGACAGTTCCCTTCCTGAGTGTCATTCCCTGACTTAAGTGCCGGATGATGGCGTCAATCCCAAAGATAAGATCATCCGTTTTGCAGTTCTGTCTGAGCTCCCCGTTGACCCACGTCTTGAGAGCTAGACTTTCTGGGTTGGGGATTGCCGTGCGAGAGGCAATCACTGGACCTATCGGTCCAAAATTGTCAAATGATTTTGCATATCCGTGCTGTGAGCCGGACATTTTAGGCCACTGCCAGTATCTCGCAGAGACATCGTTTCCAACAGTGTATCCCAAGACGTAGTCAAACACGCTGTCCTCCGGCTTAAGATTTTTAGCATCTTTTCCAATCACGAGCGTGAGTTCTCCTTCGTAATCAAGCTCTTTTGCAATCGCATCAACATGGATGTCTTGAAATGGCCCTGCAAGGGCGTCTGTTGAGGGTTAGATTTTCAGGCGACGTCCTAAAGTACAGTCTCATACCTGGGTACTTTGTGAACACCACGGGATATTCCGGTATGGGCAGCTGCAATCCTTCATCAGCGTATTTCATTGTCTGAATACATATCATCGTCTCACCCCAGCTTCTTCGGCATGGACTTTGTAGTTCAGGCCAACACAGATGATGTTCGGCGATGCTGCCAGTGGGCATAGTACCTGTTAAAATCAGTCGCGGCCAATTGTGCTTATTCTGAACAAGTTCACATTTGCAATCTTAACTTTCTGCCCAGTCAAAACAAATTTATTGTTCTCGATGTCTGAAGTTTTATATGTTGGTACGACAAGGCCCTTCAGTTCGACTTGCCAGTCGTCTCCGGCTTCACCATAGTGAATCGTACCATTGAAGTCCTCGAAACGGACTAAACGAGAGAAGTGAGTGGCCATGGCTTTGGGGAAAACGAATCTGGATGATTGATCACTCAACTTCTTTGGTCGGTCAACGTTTGTATATCTTCGTCGGTATCCGAGAATCTGAGCTTCCGGAGCTTCAAGAATTGTGGGGGGCAGTGAAACTCCGATTGCTGTAAACTTGACGGCCGAAGCGGGTTTCTACTTACGACTTTTCCAATCGCGGCGGTATAGAGATCGGCTCGGTATCATGCGATATGGTTGCATTTTGGATGTTTTTACACCGGCTTTCGGTCCGTTGTGAGTGGATGCTCTCGTCAATTAATACGACGCTTGGTATCCCAGACAGGGGTTGGGCTGGATGGCTCTCGATCTCATGACTTCCGTGCGAGGTTTATGCCAGAACTATCACAGTCATCTCACAGAGTTGTTAAACTCCTCCAACTTCTCCAATAGCATTTGCAATACCAATTGATTAGAGAATCAAGATGGGATCAGTACCAGGTTTTCGCGTCCTGATAATCGGGGGAGGCATGTACGGCCATTTCCAATTGTCCAGCTCCAAATTTCCTTACATTAATGATAGGTACTTGCGCTCTGGCTTTAGCACGGGGTTTGGAACGGGTAAGTGTGGCTAACGACACATATTCTGAAGTCGGTGTTGACTAACACTGCTCAGGATGGGATTTCTTACACAATCTTTGAGCGCGATTCCAAGGAAGACTATTACAATAAGACGCGAGATTGGGGTGCGTATCCACGCCTGCTGACGCTCTCCACGCTGAAATTTCACGCAGGCATGTTGTTGCATTGGGGGAAGGAGTTCTTGATGAGCACTCTACCGCCAGAGTTTCAAGCTCGCTTCGACGACACCCTGGCTGATCCATGGTACAAAGGAGGAGATGGTATCCCCCACGTCAACGGCGCCACGGGCGAGATCTTGGGAAGAGTCTCAATGCCTGGGTTGGTGCGTGTCTCGAGAAAGAAAATGCGCAACTTTTTGACATCGGATGGGCGCCTGAACATCTCTGTAAGTTTAGAAATGCCACATATAACAACTCCACACTCTGATACTAAAGCGAGTAGTTCGGCAAAAGGCTCGTTAACGTTGAATCGGACGGGACTACAGCCACGGCATACTTTGAGGACGGCTCAACAGAATCAGGCAACCTCATCATTGGTTGCGATGGATCAAGGTCCAAAGTCCGTGAATTCTTAGTCGGTAAAGCGGCCTCGCAGCCGCAAGAGACTGGAATGACCCTTATAAATCATGCATTCTCGGGCTATACTGCCGAACAAGCTCTTTCATTCAGGAGGCTCCACCAGGTTGGCACATGCGCATACCACCCTGATGTCCACGGTATATTTTTGTTAACAAGTATGTTCGGGGTATCTGCCGTTTCGCTAGCTTGCTAACCTCCATAGTTGTCGATGCTGCAGATCAGGCGAATCCAGAAAATTGGAAGTTTCAAATACACCATGCATGGTTTGGAGCTCCGTTTGCCCAAGACCTGAAGGAGCCAAAAGCTCGCCTCGACTTCTTAAGACAACGATTCTCGCAATTATGTGAACCTTTCGCAACTGCTGCCAACGCATTGCCGGACGATACAGTTCTCCCCGTGGATCCCGGCCAACAGTGGTCCCCAATCTCGTGGGACAATCGTAACGGCACAGTTACGATTGCAGGCGATGCAGCTCACCCTATGCTTCCAAGTAAGAGAATTTAACTTTTTGTTTAATGTCTTGGTTGCTGTACTGATACTCTTAACGCTTTAGATCGCGGTCAGGGCTTAAATAATGCGATACAAGACGCAGCAGAGCTGACGGGTGCTATTGTTGCTGTTGTGTCGGGGGCATCGTCCTTGAAGGATGCAGTGACAGCTTTCGAGGTTTCCATGCGACCTAGAGGGGCGAGGGATGTTGCCCTTTCGTTGGAAACGGCAAAGAAATGCCGTATCGAGGATGTCCTCTCTGGGCCCATGTTCAAGGTCGGCTTGAATAAAGTCAATGGCCAGGATGCGGACGAGCGGTGAATTTGAGCCAGAGCTAGTTACAGCATAGCATAGACAGTTCCTACTTTCATCGAATGAGAGAAAGCCGATGAACTCGCAAATCATTCCTAGCAATAGTTCTGAAATGGTCATGACGCATACCATATTAGTCAGTGCAACCGCTCCAAGTTGTGCCATTCAAGGCATAGTACTTCTTGAGATACTGTCACTAAAAGCCACCAATGTAATCGATAGTGTCGTCAAGTATGCGTGGCTTCATGTTATCGTGGATGCGAGCTTTCGAGTTGTCTGATACATACGTAAACGCCTAGCTTTAGTACCTTACTTAGGGTAAGAGTGACCAATATCGAGACGTACGATTGGACTGCTTCTTGCGTTTCGCTTGATCCGTTTTACTGACCTGATGATGCTTCCACGAATGGGTCGATATGCTTCTATCTTTGCTGGTGAGCTTGGCTGACTGCACGACGAGCAAGTCCTGCAATTTCACGTGCAAACGTGAAACTAAGCTCGGACCCAGTCACAAATTCCATTTGACCAAAATAGCCAGTTGATACGTCCAGAAGAGCGAGATCCCCACGGACTGATTTCAACGTTGGAAACCTAATAACGTAAATAAAAAGGTTGATGAAGGCGTGCATGGGAAAATGCAGCATGAACCTAAGATAACATCAATCTTAGTGAAGAGAACCAGGTGAAAGAGGTAGATTTGAGGACGAACGCGTGAGTACAGGCACCATTGATGTCGAAATTACGGGCCATGATAATGATATTGCGAGCAGCCGTTGCTACCGCCTCAGAGCTTCTCGTTATTTGCGCGCGAAGTCTGGCAGCAAGGTCCGGGTTTGATTCGAGGGAGGGCTGTCTGATACTCCACGGGTAGACAAAAATCGTGTGTGTAGCCATGATGAGGTCGTAGTATGAACAATGTAATAGTATCAAGGCCAGATTTGTTGAGATTGGATTCGTTTGAAAATGTTTGAGCTCGTCCTGAGGCATGATTTGCGACGGAAGGGTGGCTTTCCAAGTTCGCAGCTCGTTGTCGAGACCGTTCACAATATCCATCAACTTTGATGGCTGATCTTGAAGGTGCCTTGTGGACATCAATTTCCGACACAATCGACTTGAGATTTGACAAGTCTGGATGATGGATGTGAATATCAAAGGGTCGATCATGCTATCTGGTAGAACCTCAGTGGGAACCTCACGGCCGATGTCGTTGTCGTCAATGACCTTATGGCAATCGTTAGTTAGCTCGAACCAATCGCCAGAATTTTCTGTAGAAACACGTCTCTTACGGATGGTCGGCCTGTACGCTGGGAAATGTTCTTCTCGCAGCAATATACTGCCCAGAAGAGCCATCTTCGCTGCAACAACTCGGTGGTCGAAGGCTGTCCAAGTGCAGGCAGCCCTCGATGGAGTCCCAGAGATTGGGCAACTAATGATGCATTCGCAACCAAGCCGGATCCTAGGGCAGGGCTACCCAGTCCTTCCGCAAACAATGCCTGCCACACCCAATTAGCAGATCAAGGAGATTCATGCGCTAGACGAGCTACCAGTCTCACCATGGCCAGCAGAGCTCGCACCGCCCGTATCGATGGACTTCGAAGCAGAAGATCACTATGGACCGAAAGAGCGTTGGAAAAAAAGCGCCATGCCTCCTGCTGTATGCTGACAAAACTATCGGAATGGTTCTGAGAGCGATAAAGTCGGCAGCCAGATGCATACACCGTATTCCGAAGCGCGAGCCATGCAGGATCATCGTCACAGAGACGGTTGGACAGGTGTGAGCGCAGATGATGTTCAAACTCCGGCCGATGAATGACATCGAACAATGAATCAACGGAGCGTTCGAAGTATGCTGGTAAGTGTAAGTACATTGCGTAGTGAGGTTGAAAGTGAACAAAAGTCCGCACCGTGAGTGTATTTCCAAGCAAGATCAGCCTGTGGTTCGGCGCCTCTCTGAGCTGCTTCATTGCGACTTAGCCTTAATTGCTTCGACCAAGAGGCTGTCAGATCTGAAGCGATGTTCGCAAAATCGTCCGATGCGACTTGATTTTGTATCCAGGCGATCCCGGATGGTGAGCATACTGATAGCCATGATTCCCGCCCTATTAGTCTTAGCAGTTAGGCTTTGATCTGATCGACAAGAGTTTACCGTAGTTCTCAGGAATGATCTCTCTGGGGGTTAGCTTCTGTTGAGACTATGGCGAGCCGGAAGGAACCTACATTGTACGAGTCGTCCGAGTACCCTGCCGAACTTGGGCTTGCCTGGAGCGCAGGGCTTACAACCGGGTTTTCGACATCGCCGGCTGTTCCCACTGCATATTGTACAGCCTGGTCGTCCTTTGGGGGAGAGGCGAATAGTGCGTAGATCTCGGGGTCAAATTCAGCTGACTGACTGACATTCTGTTCGGTCACGTTTGAGGCGCTCTGAGGCACAAAGTCGCCTATTAGATCCTCAAGAGGAAGTCTGGCATTGTTCTCAATCAAGCCCCACGTAGCATGTTCCGAATTTTGAAAGGACAGCTGGCTACAACCTGGAGAACTGAAGATTTCGTATCGTTCTTCCATGTTGATCTGGTCGTAGTCACCACCCAGTTTGTGCGAAATCTATCAGTTCCTGAACGGAATAAGCAAGCAGCAAGTTACAAGGAACATACTGTCGTGGCGATGAGGAGGTCAGTTAGAATAGACTTGCACCATGTTCGCTGGGGAAAAATAAGCGTTATGTAGCAGAGGTGTTGTTCATGAGACCAGAACCTGCTTGACAAGGATCGATTGATTTGAAGAGGGGACTTACTTCCCGGCAAGCCTGGTACTTGGCCATTGAGTTTGGTCTGGGAGTCACCCGCAAAGCATGACACAATGCCCTGGGATTCGAATTGCTTTGCCAGATGGGTGTAGTGGGTCTGTGCTTGCCCGAGGGCCAGGGCACTTAGAGGCATGAGGGGATCCTGGGGTTTGCCTCACTTTCTGGCCCCTCAAGCGAGCTTTCCAAGAAACGCTAACCTGTCTCATTACGCCGATTGATCTCGTCGTGGGAGTTGAACCAACTACAAGGACTTAAGTACCCGGCGAAGCTACCAGAGTCCTACAGTGAGTGTCACCTACCACACAATCGAATCATAGAATTCGCCAAAGATATTGTCCACTGCAGAGTTGGTTACCTGGGATGTCACTGGTGCACGAGATTACCACTGTACACTTCAAGGATAACACGTCATCGCCATCATTTGATTCAGTGGGAGCAACTGGAGTTGCGGGTGGTTTCTCATGTGAACAAGGCAAGGATGCCCAACACGACCACTCACCAAAAAGCTGACCGCCTCACGGCGGCTTGTCGCAATTGTCGTACAAGAAAGGTTAGGTGTAAGGAAGGATGAATCGTCCAGAATAACGTCCGCCCCGCTGACAAGAACAAGGCAGTGGTGGGCAGCCATGTCGAGACTGTGACAGACTCAGCAAAGTTTGCTTTTATCCCTTAGTACAAAGGCGCGCCAAAAAGTCGAAAAGCACGTTCACCTCTGGAGGGGGTAGAGATCAGATCAGCGACAACCAGGTCGTGTCGCAACCGGTCGACCGTGGCTTGGGAGGCAGCAATAGTCTTGACCCAAGCTCAGATCATTTGGTCCGCGAACAGTCAAATGCTTCTCAATCAATACCTTCTGCGGTTATCATAGAAGCGCACACATTGCCGAAAGCCTCGCATTCAGAAGCACAGTCTGGTCCTCGTACATGTGACTCTTCGCTTACAGGACCTGGGTACGCTCTGCAATTAGGGGGCCAACAAGATGGCCAGGACGAAAGCTCGTTCGCTGAATTGGCAACGGAGGATTCAGACGGCCAACAAAATAATGATCACACTGGCAATAGTCTACGTGGTACTAGCTGGGAGTATCATGAGCCTTGGTCCTGGATGTCCATCTGTTCTCAGAATGGGTTAAAATCTATTCAAGACATGACGGGAGATCAAAATTTTGGTGGTATCGCTGCTCGATTTACCCTTGACCTTGCCAGGCGTTGGTCAAGTCATGATCTTACTTCGATAGGCTCGAAATGGGCGCAAATAGAAGAAACTACTGCATGGACATACACTAACGGTAAGTTTGATCATATCCATGTTACTATTTTTGACGACTTTCTTAGCATTCTTCGAAGAAGCCTGGGAAGCGAAGCTTGCCATCGTTCGTCGCGATGACTTTGAGGCTCTACTGAGAGACTATTTTCGCGGTCCCGCACAGAAGGGGCACCTAGCGTGGTTCGCCCTGAGGAATACCGTCTTTGCCTGTGGGTATCGTAGTATCTTAGCGAAAGATCCTGGCGTCTCCTTCTCAGAAGCTCAAGTCAAAGCCGGACGCCTTTTCAATTACGCTTTATCTGTCCTAACACAAATTCTGTTACCACCTTCGAGTTTGCTTGCAATCCAAGCGTTGACCTTGATGGTAGGTTCCAATGCTCGACTGAACTAAGGTTCCATTTTGATACTTGACGGCAGGCTTGTTACGCTGAAGGCTTAGGAAACCCTGCTTTGAAGCACTTTCTGTGCTCTAACGCCGTGCACGCAGCTCAGAACAAAGGTTTACATCGTCAACCAGAGAAGTCTTGGGGCATATCGGAAGATGAAGCTGCAAAGAGAAATGGGCTCTGGTGGACGATTTACACTCTGGAGAAGCATCTATCTATGTGCAGTGGCAGACCATCTGCTATTGACGATGACAACGTCAGCGCCTATCCGCCAGCTGGTATCTTGAGTCAAAGCGATATTGTGCCACAAAGCCTTTTCTTTGCAACTCAACATGCCCAAATATGTTCCCAGATATCGCGAAATCTTCTCTCCGCAAGATCATTGCAATTATCCACCCCCGAGCTCATCAGCACAGTCAATCACTTTCACCAAAAGCTTATGAAGCTACTGGATGAGATTCCAGATGACCTCAAGATTGGGACTCTTGCACGGCCTAACCATCCCACCCCTCATCTCATTCATTTGTTGTATCTACATTTCTCCATTTACGGGAGCCTGATGGTAGTACACACCCATTTTTTCTATCCCTGGATGTCCTCTCGATTGAACGCGACCGGTTCCGAAGCTGCCATGGAGAACCAGATCCGAATATCATCAAGTGTGGTAGCAGAGGCTGCCCGCAAGATTATCCTTGCTGTTCGTCTAGTGACCACCACGGTCGCAACGCCCTCATGGCTTGCCTTCTACTATCCTATATACGCTCACATCAACTTGTTCATTTACATGCTCAAGTTTCCACATTTGTCAACGACAGCTGCTGACCTCGGATTGCTCGATGTCTGCGCGGGCCACTTTGGCCACATCGATTACTTAACGTCCGCCCATATCTCAATCTCCCTGCCCAGAGAAACTGCGACTTTAACTTCCAAATTTATCAAGGATATGAAGGCTAGGTCTCAACGGCCAGCAATCCAATCATATCACGAGTATCCTCAGACGCATCCTCAGGCCCGGGCAGATACGAGTCCACAAACCCGGACAGTGGAAGATTCCACTATCAACTTTGATGAAATGAGCAACGATTTACCAACAATCAGTGATGTATGCCCTCCTCTCCTTCATACTGAAATGCAAGACATACTAACTTTTCCCTCCGAAGAATAATGATTTTCTGAATCTTGACGCCGCTACGTGGAATATCTTCTCTTCATTCGACATGGTGACGACGAATGAAACTGATTTTAGGGCATTCTAGCTCGGCGCATTCAGTTCATGTACTCAATTCTCTTGCAATGAGAGAATCCTTGACCACAACATGAACTCGGTGCAGTATGGTTGTGAAATCGATCGGACATTGCCATTATTAAGCTATAGGCTAGCGATCACTGTCGAGCTTGTTTGGATGACTTCGAGACTGAGATTCTCCTCTGATTTCGGACTTTCTTCCCCGACTATTGGATTGTGAGCCTCAAGAACCGCCCCACCCCGGCCCAAGGGCCCCTCGGCCCCGCGTTTCTAATGTCTCGGTCCGACATGACACCCCCGCTTCAAGGGAAAGGCTTTCTTCTCGGTCCGAACGACGCACTGCTTTGATTGAACATGTACAGAGACTCCGTATACATAGATGCCAAGACATCATAAGTACGAGGCATGGTCACAGCAGGGGGTTCGATGCGAATACCAGACCGCGCTGAGGCACTAGTCATTCCGACTTGCCTGGAAGAGACCTCATGAATGTTTCTTTGTCGTTCATTGAGAGAATTCACCTCGAAGAGCTCTGAGAACGTTTTGTTCTGCTCTGCAATCAAGATATCGTTTTTATGCCTTGCGGATTCGAAGACCCCATAACGTATAGAGAGGACACCGTCACATTTCAAGATATTTATGGCGCTCAAACCAGTATACAACCCTCCGATTGGACTCAGAACCTCTCTGGACACTTTTAGGGAGAAGCTAAATTTCAAGTACAACTTGAACTTGAGTAAGTCAAGCCCCCACAAACTCATTTCAGGACCGAATTTGTCCATATCATGGCGATACTGAGCCTTTTTTCTGGACAGAAAATTTCACAGACGTCCACGACTTCTCAGTTCAACGGCTGAATGATTTTTGGCTATCAGTATGGGAATTCACTAATGTAAAAGCTTCTATTCAGCCGACCAAGGTATGTCACACCCAATCTGCTATTTCTTGGATCTCAACTGATGCGCAGCACAGGCCGTCCATGAAGATGAGTCCATCGATTGTTTCCCCTTGTTCTTCGAAGAAACGAGACTCAACTTTGCGGAAAACATGATTTTTCGCCAGATCGAGGGCATTGCGACAATCGATCTTAATGAAGGAAACCTGGGTTCGCCTGAAGAGTATACTTGGCGGGACCTGAGGGAGCTTGTGCGAAAATATTCGAATGCATTAAGGTCGTCCGGCTTGCAAAGAGGAGGCGTCGTGGCTCGTATGATACCCTGTGGTCACTGATGTTGCTACTGACACCAGTTGCAGTCATCGGGAGCAACTGCACTCGCTCTCTTGCTTTGCTTCTCGCCACTGCCTCCGTGGGGGCAGTATTTGCATCGTTTGCAACAGACATGGGAGACAAGGTACTCGAATGATCCGATTGTATCAACTCATCAAGTTAACTGGTATTAAGGCTCTCGATGATCGTTTAGGAGTGCTGAAGCCGCAATTCTTATTTGCCGAGTCCTCCTACGTGTACAATGGCAAGAGGCATAATATTGTTAATAAGATTGATGTCTCAATTTCAAAGCTCCAGCGGGATGTCCCATGTGAGGCCATCATCATAGGCCCGAGCGACGGAATGACTTCTCAGCGGTAAAGCTGTCACCAACATTGTCCGCAGAGTATGCTGACTATTACAGAACAAGCTTCAATCAATTTCTAAAGCGGGCGACCGACATTGAATTGGTGTTCGAGCAAGTTCCTTTCAATACTCCACTTGTGGTCATGTTTAGCTCAGGGACGACTGGGAGTCCAAAGGGCATCGTACATTCGCATGGCGTCCGTCTTTCACCGTGCAATTATGCAATTACTTGAGCTAATTCCCGTCATAGGGGCTAGTCCTGAACGGATTAAAGGAGTTTATATTGCACAACTGTCTCGGCTCAGGCGATGTGCACTACCATTACACAAATGTGATAACCTCTGCGGGTTAAATCCAACTGCAATGACCTTGGCTGATAAAACTGCAGATTGGCTGGACTTTATGGAATATCTCAATTGGCGCCTTATTCGCTGGGTCAAGTCTGGTGCTGTACGACGGGAGTCCTTTCTACCCAACTCCCGAAAAATTTCTCGAATTCTTGTTCAAAATCAAGTAAGTGCCAGTCCAAACGCTGCAAATTTGGTAATTGAGTCTTCTCATTCAGTATCACATCATTCGGAGCCGGACCACGCTACTTTTCAGAACTACAAAAGCTGAATGTCTCACCGAGTAAGTAGATCCCATTCTTTGCGTGGCCAGCGGTCCTAATCAGATCCTCCCCAGAAAAATACACCAAACATCTCCATTCGCTACTATCAACCGGAGCGGTCCTTACGCCTCCGCTTGCCACTTGGCTTGCCGCAGCCTTTGGTCCTGTTTGCCAGCTGTCAATGTCTGGCGGAACTGAACTCTGTGGTGCTTTCTTGCACGGATCCCGCTCAGTGCCTTCCTATGCTGGCGAGCTTGCGGTCAAGGCTCTGGGAATGGATGTCGTGGTCTTCTCGCCTGAAGGCAGACCTGTCGCCGACGGTGAAAGCGGAGAGCTCGTATGTCGCAAGCCGTTCCCCAATATGCCAGTTAAATTTTGGGACGACCCCGGGCGCTCCAGGTACTATAACTCTTACTTTGCGAACTTCCCAAGTAAGTAGTCTCAAGCTGATACCCGCACTCCTAATGATGTGAACTGACTGACATTGTGAATAGATGTGTGGACACATGGAGATTTTATCCAGGTCAACCCGGTCACTAAAGGTGTTTACGTGCTGGGCAGGAGGTAAACTCTCATCAGAGGGAGACACTCAAAGAGTTACTGACATCCTCTACTTAGTGACGGTGTGCTAAACCCTTCTGGTGTACGTTTTGGAACCTCCGAGATCTACAATATCATCTCGACCCCAATGTTCGAACAATTCATCAGTGATGCTGTGGTAGTGGGACAACAGCGCTTGGTTTCAGGTTATTCTGACCCTGCGGAACGTGTGGTTCTCTTCATCAAATGTACGCCAGAAGCCACATCAGGTACTATCAATCCGAACCCGAAAATCATATCAATGATCAATCAAGCCATCGAGAGAAACCTCAGTCGAAGACATGTTCCTTCATTCATTTTCGAGACCGGAACCGTTCCCTACAATGTCAATGGCAAGAAGCTGGAGATTCAGGTCAAAGCCATCCTAAACGGAGGTAAAGAAGCAATGGCCAAATTGAAAGTGACGAAGCAGGAGTTGAAGCAATTAGAATGGTACGAGAAATTTTTTGCCATTGAGGATTTTGTGAACAACGGTCCTTTGCGAACATCGAAGCTATAAGTACGCCACAGACACATCACCTACGACTCTATAGAAACACGCAGCAGTGCGCAGATAGACAGACAGAGAACCAGATGTTCAGTTTGATTGGACTGACAAGGACATCGATTTCTCGATCCCGTTTAGACGGCGTGTATCAAAGCTAAATCTCTCTAGCCGGTACGACCAGACTGGTGAGAGGACCAAACCCAGCCTGTCCACCGTCAGACGTGGGAAACCAGCCTTCCATCGTGAGCTCATCGCCATCTTGAAGCCAAGACATGGGCTTGCCGTCAATAGCAGGCAGAACGTGCTTTTGCGCAAACACCTCCAGCAAGCAGCCGTTGCCAGCTATAGTACCGGCAGAAGACTTGTCCGTGGTAGCTGGCAGCTGATTTGATATATGTCAGTGTCGTGATGATGTGGTATGAGATGGTTGTCAGTAAGATCCTTCCTACCTTTGAAGAAATGGTGCCGCTGGCAACAAGGTCTCCAGTATGCAAGCCGATAAGTGATGAAGATTGGTAGGCTATCATCTGTGGAATACTCCAGTATGAGTCGGTGAAACTGGAGCGAACAAGCTCTACCAAACAATTGGTTCCACCTAAACCAAAGGGCGTTAACAGACAAGTGGTTCACCATGCAACAGCAACATAGGTAGGTCTTACGGCTAATCTTGGCACTGAATTGTATATCATAGACACCGTGGTTACTGTCATCCGCGACAAGCATGGGATGGATGTCCCTGGAATTGGAAGGGGGTGGCTGGTGCATACTGTATCGCAGTGCGTCTAGAGTGACTATCCATGGAGATATCGTGGTTATGAATCCTTTAGAGTGAAATGGACCGAGAGGGGGCATTTCGTACTTTTGAATATCCCGGGCAGACCAGTCATTCAAGAGAACGTAGCCAAAAATGTGATCAGCCGCTTCTTTTGCGTTGATCCGAGTGCCAGTCGGGATCGGTTTGGAAATGAATGCTCCTAGCTCGACCTCGAAGTCCAGCTGCTTCGTTTCCTGAAAGGTTGGCCGACTATTGCCCTCGTTTACAAAGTAGCCTTGTGGGCGGATGACTTGTGTTCCGGACACACAAAGTGTGGAAACTCGGCCGTTGTAGCCCATCGGGTACTCTGTGAGCGCTGAAGGTATTTCCAGACCAAGAGGATGAAGGCACTTAAAGACAATGTTAACGACAGCTACCAGAGTTTACAACGGTTGCAACTTCTCACATTCTGGGCATGGATCAGGGATGAGAATGAGTCGGTGTAATCAGTCACCCGCATCGGCATGTGCATCTCGACTTCTGCCATCGGTGTAAAGACCCCTGCGTTGAGTTTTGCATCTGTAAAGATTGGAGATGTTGCCGTAGATAGGTTTTCAATGATTGAAGTCCTGATCAAAGTTCTTTCCGTGGCCGGCAGGTTTGCAAAGTCATTCAATACCGGCTACTGATCATCAACGTTTCTGCAAAGCATAGAATCATTTATTTTGGTTCTTACTTGGAGGAACATCTCTTCTAATGATCCTTCATGTTGGCTACCGAGCACTATCACACCACTCCTTGCGAGGAGGTAAAGCTCGATCACGAATGAGCCTATTGCAACACCAGCTCTTCGGCGATGCTATTCTCCTATCGTTAGCAATACAGGAGCAAGATCGTGGAGTTGTAGGGCAAAACTCACCCCTAGTCCAAGATCTGATCGAGTACTGAATATGCCAAATGGTAGATTCAATAGACTGAACGGGCTGTTCTTGTCAATTGGGACGGGAAATGGCACAGAAGCATTCATGTTGGTCGTCTTTGCCCTCCCTAGCACCGAGCATGTATCGGGGTTGTAGTATTGAAACGGGACTGAAATAACTTACTTGGCAATCCGGGAATTATATACGTGACGAACTTCAGAATCTTATCTCCCAAGACACACGAGCTTAGTTAACGAGGCTTTCGTTTCTCGTTTCTGTTTGCTTCGGACCGACGCGATGACTGTAGGCTGGGGCGGAGAGGCACTCCGCAGATGGGATAATTGTGGGGACCCCCCTCGGACTGGGGTAAGCATTCAGTCCGAGGTCGAGGTCGAGGTCGAGGCTGGGAGGTCTACGTCGGCATCGGGACTTCGGTATGATTTTACGATACCCTAGGCTAAGATGAGGAAGAAGATCTGGGCTGTGGTCTCTGACATTTTCAGCTATCAGAATGATCAGGAGCATAAATGGATGCATCATTCCCAGGGGAAACAACTGTCTACTGGTGATAGTCTACCTAGAAGTGTGCTAAGTAGGCGAAACGAAGCAGCTTCCACCTTTTATTACTTCCAGTAGTTCTCCTGGATTCATCATGGGCAGTCCAACCACGTCTCATGTTGAGGCTTCTTCAACGACAAATGGTCCAACATACTGGAATCATTTGAAAACAACGATTCTGATCCTGGTATGTTCTTTCAAAACTTTCTCAACTGGCACATACATATCAGCTGACCGATAGGGACCAGGCCGTGAACAGCATATATTTCGCACAACTTACACTTTTGGTCGCCGGCGGCGTCTTCGCACGCGATGTCGCTGCTGTCGTTGGCGGAGCTTCCCTCACAGCATGGCCTACTGCAGTACTCGGACTTTTGACAGCCGCACTGTCTCCGCCAGTCTCGCAGGCGGCTGATTTCTGGGGCCGAAAATGGTTTCTTGTCGTCCTCACCGGGTTTGGCTTCGTGGGCTGCATCATTGTGGGCCGGGCGACCTCGATGCCAATGGCTATCGCAGGATATACGGTTGGGGGCATCTCCTTTGGAGCCCAGCCGTTGCTTCATGCTGTAGTTTCAGAGGTTATTCCAAGAAAGTATCGAGCGTGGGCGCAAGCAAGCGTCAACGTCTCGGTCTCCTTGGGTGCCCTTTTCGGTCTGATCATCGGAGGTTTGTTAGTTCGCAACAATCACTCCGGATTCAGAACATTCTCCTATATCTCCGCCGGTATCTACGCCGCATCCGCAATCTCTTGTGCTTTGCTCTATCATCCCCCACCACGAGAAACACAATTTGGCAGCACCCGACACAAGTTGGCACAGCTAGATTGGGTCGGGTATGGCTTACTGGTTACTGGAATTGTCCTCTTCTCTCTTGGCTTGTCATGGGCAAACAACCCATATCCGTGGGATAATGGCCATGTTCTGGGTCCTTTCTTGGTCGGATGCCTTTTCCTCGGGCTCACTGGGATTTACGAATGGAAATTCAAGAAAGACGGACTGTTTCATCATGACCTTTTCCGCAATCGCAACTTTCCAATCAGCTTGGTGTGCATCTTCATTGAGGGTATGGGAGCTTTTGCCGCCAATTACTTCATTCCGTTCCAAATCAGCGTTTTGAATCCAAACCTGGACTCGTTCAGAGTAGCTTTGTGCTACAGCATCTCTTACTTCTCCTTCATTGTGTTTGCCCCCGTTGCAGGCCTTGTCATTTCATGGACCAGAAGAGTACGAGCACCAAGTGTCATCGGGTTTGCATGCTTCATCCTATTCTTCATCCTGACAGCGATTGTTAAGGTGAGCACCCCTGAGGCGAATTTCTGGGGGTACATGGTCTTCCTGGGCGCCGGCCTCGGTTTTCTCCTGACAACATTGGTCACGGCGGCGCAAATTTCAACTCCACCTGAGCTGATCGCAATTACATCTGGGTTGATGCTCGCCATCAGAGGCCTTGGGGCATCTTCAGGCCTCACGGTCTTCAACGCAATTTTCAACGCAGGGCTAAGCACCAACCTGGCTACGAAAGTGGCGGAAGCCGTGGTACCTCTAGGAATTGCAGAAGATTCTGTTGGGCAAGTACTTGGGGCATTAGCTGCGCATGATCTTGAGCTAGCATTGGAAATTCCAGGAATGACTTTGGAGATCTTTGCCGCAGCTGCTGAAGGTCTCCAACAGGGATATCAAGTCGCCTTCGCATATGTATGGGCGAGTGCTGCCGCCTTCTCTGCACTGGCTCTCATCGGTGCGTCCCTTTTTCCTTACATCTGTGCGTACTTTGTTTACTCACTCCGTCTTTTAGGGACTATTTTCCTCCGCGATACTAGAGAGGAGTTCAACGCGAATATCGACGCACCCTTGGACGTTATTGCACCGACTGGTGCTGCAGCGGAAGAAGTACAGATAGAAAAGCGTGCCCTGAAATAGAAGTCGTGGCTCTATGTACCGCCCCGGGTCGAGTTTAATCACTTCCTTCTATTCTAGAGAATATACAGCCAATTTTAATTTTTTTCGGGGTGTGTCTCTACTATATAGTGACTGCCGCCGGGATTATCAGCTTAAACAGTAGTATTATAAGTACTCTTCTACGCTCACAACAACGCCTAGGTATAAGGTATTTCTACGAAAGGGGAGGGGCGCGCGGGTTTTTTCGAGGTTAAAAGCGGCGGCGTGCTCAGACCGCGACTATGCCCGAAACGGTAGGACGGCCGAGGGGCCTAAACCGTAGGCGGGTTTCCCGGTCAAGAACTTGATAAAACTAATATCGCGTCTATCTCACGTCAAACTTCCCTTTATGAGCGTATGCCTCGGTCTGGATTAATACCCATGGGCAACAGTCTGAATTGGATATATCTCAACTCATATTTCTGAATGGAGGAGATTCCAATTTTCCGCGCCTCGAAGCGCAGAAAACACAACAAAGTCCATGATGATTCGACCGCAGAAATCGAAGTTGATCATCAGCCCATAACTATCTCAGAACCAGACCGTCTTATTACCGAAGGCGAACTTCCCCAGAACGACACCCAGGACGAGGATCATGACGATGAGTCATTAAACGCTGCTGCTGGTGGTGGTGGTGTCATCCGAGCACGAAAACAATTCCGGCGACCCGTGACCGGAGTATCATTCAGCAACAGCAGAGCATCTGAACGCGACGAGAGAAATTCATCACTCGTCAAGATTTCCAGTTCCGACGAGGCTAAGAACCGACCTGTCGAGATCACCGATCGCTTCATCAGCAGTACTGGACAAGTTGTGGATGTTGATGAACATATGTTCGTATTCCCCCGGCGTGGACTGACTTAGTCGGCCTTGGTGGTTTTTTCCCAAGTGGAAGAAACTATTCGAATTGAATTTAATTTACTGACGAAGATAAGGGTTGCTTATATAGATTCGGAATTGGCTAAACGACGAATTGGACATGGGAACGATCCATCTTCATCTTCATCTTTATCTTTATTACCATCATCACAACCCCAAATCCAACCCAATGAATCCACCCTCCCCACCAACTCAAACACAAATCCCTCCGCCTCCGGCTCCAGTACCAGACCCCCATCATCAATCCCCTCCATGCAGATCCGCCCCTCGGTCACCCAACTCTCCGAAGTCGATCTCGGCACGTCGACGTACGAAACCAACCTTGTGCGCACAAAAGAAGCGCTCGAACGAGCCCGTCTAGGTCTTCCACCACTCTCCACCGACCCCAAGCCCCCCCGACCACGTAAACCCCGGATTGGTCGGGACGGCAAACCGATGAAACAACCGCGAGCACCGCGGAAACGACGCGATAGTGAATCCTTGGCACGTGATGCACTGGTTGAGAGTCTTCTCCATGAGAATCGTATGGGAGTCGGGATATACGAAGGATCTCCCGGTGTGACTAATCTTGATCATAATGCGTCTGGAAAGTCTCGGGGTGCTCGTTCGGATGCGAATATCGAGCAAGCAGCAACGAATCAAAACGACCATGGCCAGAATGATGCCGACGCAGATGCAGATGCAGATGAAGCATTAGCAGAGCGGTTCCGACAGGAATTCATGGATGCGATGGCTGAGCGGCAAAGTCGACATAAATCGTCTAATCAAGCGAAACATTCTGGTAACGCCACGGGTGCGACGGGTGCTGGTGCGACGGAATCAAAAGGTCCGAAGTTGGGTGGGAGTCGTGCGGCGAGGGCGAAGATGGCGCAATTGCAACAACAGCAGCAGCAGCAGAAATTGCAAGGGGGTGCTTCTTCTTCGATGAAGAAGTGAATTTTGAGGGGGGGTTTGAAGTACTTATGTACACCTGAAGTCACCAGATGTCAGTGTATACAAAAAGATTCAAAAGTCAAGACTCCAAATCATTGTTTCATTTGCTTTGCTTTGCTTTGCTTTGCTTTGCTTTGCTTTGCTTTGCTTTGCTTTGCTTTGCTATACTATGCAAGTCTTGATGGGCTTCAACCAAGTGCAAACAACAAAAGACAACCACAACTCCACAGCCAGCCTTCAGTCTGGTTATGTCCAGATATACAAGGCGATGATCCAACAAGGATGCAGGGTAGGAGAAACATGTTTGTCCAATGTCAACGTTCTCATGGATATGATCAAGACTCCCCAAACGCCAACGCTAGCCAACGTGTATTTACATGTGTAAGTCCAGGCAGTATGTATGTATGAAACAACGGAGTGACAGAATGGTCACAGAGTGTGATTTACTGTCTCGAGTAGACAAAGACAGGAATGGAGGACGGGAGCTTATTCTCGGTGTAAGAAGGTGACGAGGCTGACCTTGGTCGGGGGCGCGGTTGAATGATACGCGGGATCACTTTCTTGTTTGGTGAGGGTGGTGTCACTGGTGGTGAGATTCACAGCTGACGTTGACGTGATTTGCATGTCGGCTGCTCTTAATCGACACCCGCGTAAAGATCAACGACAATGTTGATGCAACTAGTATGACGCATTGGTGTTAGTGATTGCAGATATTCGACCGAGGTGATAGCTGGGAGTAATAGCGGGGGGTTATAACTTACGCAACGAGAATCTCTGCAGCGATGAGGACAATGACGATCCATTCCAAAACCTCACCATGTCTCCTGCTGCCTTGTTCGCGGAGGACAGCGAGAAGATCTAGAGTGGAATTAGTCTCCAATATATTCGACGAAATGCAAACATCTGTTGTGTACTCACCTGCAATGACATCTAATCGTTCTGTCAACAAACCAACTCGTTGTTCAATCTCAAGATAGCTTCTAACTGCCGCGTAGATTGGTTCCAAGTGTGGTTCGGCCCACATCAACTCAGGACTGTCGAGTACACTTCCTTGAAGATGGATGTTGATTCTCAGGATAAACAACTCGCCGATTTGCATGTTCAACTGGCGTCTTGTCAAATTGACACTTCCAGTTTGCGCAATCAAGGCTGGTAGGGGACTTGTCGTCTCGATTGTCTCACCAACCAGATCTTCAAAGAGACTGGTTTTCACACTCTGAGACAGTGCGTGACTGATGGCCAGTTTCGTCATGTGATTTCGCGGGTCACGGAGACTGATGAAATCATTGTAGATGCGTGCTTGGTAGTCCTTCGTGTAATAGAAGTTGAAATTTTCTGTTTGGACACTTTCGGCTGGCAATGGTGCTTCGATGAATTTGGCCATGTCACTGAGAAACCTCGTTTCTTGTTGGACGGTCATGCCCCATATGACGACGGTACCGTAGTCGAAAATGAAGATCTCCGGGATATGAACATAAGTTGACACGGAATCGTCGTTGGGTTGCGCGAGCTCGTCGGTGTCGGCATGTCTTAGGTCGGTGGAAGAATGGGTTTCGGCGATGGCAATTTCAACATCAGTCGGTATACTAGGATTTCCCAACTCGTCTTGTAGGTCGATCAAATCATCTCTCCGATGCTTCCGATTGTCCTCGACCTCAACAGCACTGTCCGAGTATCGCCTCTCGCCAGGATTTAACCTCGGGCTAGCCATGACACGCGCCAATCTTTCCTGTACAGGACTTGAACTCCTGCTGTCGATCTTGTTGATCTCCTTCTTCTTGAGATACTCATAGTCGTAGGGACTGTAGATGCATTCGTCAAATAACTTGGGATTGGCGCCTCTCGTTCTCGCGCGAGATTTGAGAAACTTCATAACTCCGTCAAGTCGGTAACCCTGAGACATACAATAGGCCGTCACTCGAGGTAGGCGATCTCTGTCTGCTTTGCCCAACCGTGCCGCATCTCTTCTGGCCGTGGGATCCTTGATTCTTGTGAATTGTGAATATACATCTCGACCGCTCTCCTCATCTTGGTCCTCATCATCGAGCTCAGGAGTGGGCAGGATCTTCAATTTTTCTGTATTTTTTGTGGTTCTTTGAGCACCAGCTCGTGGAGCGGTCGTGAATGTTTGGGTGGTAGGCAAGGGCGCACCGTGGCTATTTCGTCGGCGTAGTTTCGAGTTGAGGGCACTTAGCATCGGCTGTTGCTCGCGGCCTGGAGCATTGGGACCTCCAAAAGCGGCCGAGGGACTTTGCATCGGTCGAAGAGAACCAGAGGATGTGGCTCCAGACTGAGTACTGACGGATGTCAAGGGGTTGAAGGTGACGGTACGTGATTTGGTTAGACCCGGTCGAGATGGAGAAGTACCGCCGGGAGAGGTTGGGCCGAGGTTGGGATTGGGATTATGTTGCGGCAGTAACGGTGAGGTTTCTGTCGTGGTCGCCATGTTTTCGAGGCCTTGCAGAAGGGCGAGTGTGGGAAAGTGATCAGAAGGCGAAGACGCAAGTTTGGTTGTTGGGTCGGTGGAGAGATGGGACAAGGAAAGAGCGGCAATGAGCTCGAAGATGAACTAATCCAACTTATGAGGTGTCTGAGTTGAACCACAATGCCTTTGATGCAAGCAGAGATGGCAACGGGCGTAGATGTAGGAGAAGTGCTGGTGAACGAAATATCAAAACATTTGGGTTCAAGTATCAGTGCCTGGGCCGGCAACAAGACTCAAGTGCTTTTGTTGCGTCGACTTGCATCATCGGTTTTGGCATCTGGAGACTTCGGAGGGTCACTGAATGCAGTAGTGACAGTAGTTACAGTAGTGTGAGTACTTAGTGTGAATAATTAGTGCACTGGACTCACACTTTGAGCCTAGCTCGTGCCTAGCTCGGAGCACGTGTTTGTTCATTAACTCATCCATATACTCCGCCCAATACAGCGGACTACTGTAACGATTGAGACCATATCAGATTCACTCTCGATTTTGTCAGGTACTGCTGTCAACAACGAGGACCTAGTTCTGATACGCCGCACCATCTCATCGCCGTTTACTCGAGTTCAATTACATGCTCCCATCAACCCCGCCCGCCTCAGCCCTATCCCGCGGGCGCCCCCCCTACGAAATCCAGTGGCTAAAATGTACACAAGACTCGGAATCAAAAGCTTTTGCAACCCCAGAATTCCTTAGTAGTAATAGGTCTCATCGGGTGTTCGGCCGCGGAGGTATTCTGGCTCGCTTCCACGGACGTAAATATCCTCAAAGAGGATCTTGGGAGTCGGCTCCGGTGGGGCCATTTGCTCTGCCTCGGCCACTTCCTTGTCCACCGCCTCTCGGGCTTTCTTGTCAATGCTCTTGAGGTCATCTTCAGTGCACACGCCCCATTCGAGGATCTTCTGCTTGAGACCGGCAATAGGATCGTTGGTGGATCGCATACGTTGAATTTCTTCTCGTGTTCGGTAGGTGGTACCGGGATCGGACATGGAATGACCGCCATATCGGTATGTGACGTATTCATAGACCAGAGGTCCGTTCTCGTTGGTGGTATATTCTCGTCCATACTGCACGGCGGCTTTCACTGCCAGGACGTCCATGGCGTTGATCTTGAGACCTGGGATGTACTGTCCTCGCTTGTAGTAGTCGGTCAAAGCGGAGGATCGGGCGGCCGATGTACCCATACCGTATTTGTTGTTCTCACAGCCGAAGATGATGGGAAGGTTCCACAGCTTGGCCATGTTGAAGGCTTCAAACACCTGACCTTGGTTGGAGGCACCATCACCGTATAGTGCCAGTGTGGCCGTCTTGCTGCCGGTGTACTGATGGGCAAAGGCAATGCCAGCGCCGACGGGGACCTGCGCACCAACAATGCCGTTTCCACCGTAGAAACCGGTGGAGAACATGTGCATCGAGCCACCTTTTCCGTACGCAATACCCTCACGACGTCCCAGCAGTTCGCCAATGATGGACTTGACTGTGCCACCGCGGAGTAACGCGAAACCGTGACATCGGTAGGCGGTGATGATGGCGTCTTCTTTGGTAATGGCGTGTTCGATGCCCACAGCCACAGCTTCCTGGCCGGTGGACAAGTGGCAGAAGCCTCGAATCTTCTTCTCCTTGTACAGTCTATCGGCGGCCATTTCCATACGACTGGTATTTGGTCAGTCCACAAGTCCAACTTTAACATCGCAATGTTCCACGAGGAAGTACTGACCGGACAGAGACCATGTCATAGTACATCTGTTTCAACTCTTTCTTGGTGGTTTCGAGCGTGTAGGGGGGAGGGTCGAAGTTGTAGGTCTCGAAGCTCTCGTCGGACAGCTTGACTGTGAAAGGCTGTTCATCGTCCTGTTGATCTGTGTCAGTTCCTCGTACTTTCCATCAGCCTTGAGAACTTAGTGACGAACATCTGGAACCTCATCCCTCTCAGCATGCGAGCTGGCGGCATCGGTCGTGACGCTCCTGCGAGCGAGTTGATAAGCCTGTCTTTTGGGAACGGCCTGTAGGCCAAAGCCTCTCAGGCAAGCTCTGGACAACATGGTGTGCGGGAGAAGGAGCTGCAAGTATGAAAGCAAAGAAAAAAGGAACAAAGAAAGACAACAGTACCCAAGTTGATGGGTCTGCGACGAAAATGATGGGCTTCAAGGTGGACAAAAGACGGGCTTATTCTGTGGAAGCTCCACCCTGGTTGCGTTGGGGATTCCCAAAAGGAGGATTAACGGGCAGAGCTATCCGCGAAATGTCAAGTCCGGAGATCACGTGACTGTAATTTCGCCTATGGTTGATGGGACCAACAACTCATTATAATCCACCTATTGTTTATGACAGCCAGCGAACCTTGTAACATGAATACCTCACGTAGGCACCTGAGTGCATGCTATACGGATTCATCGTACTTGATATAGAATCACCACAAGACGCCTGCGCTGACCGCCAGACTGTGCATCGACATAGGCCGACCCAGCCCAGCAAAAACATCTCTCGTTGAATCCTTTGCCCACCTTCCAACCCACCCTGTATGAACCCTCTCGTTCCATTGCTGTTGTTTGACTTCTTCCAGCCGTCGTCTACGCATGATCAAGGAAATTAAAGTGTCGTTGTAAACCCCATCCACCTGCTTCGTCGAGAAATACCCTTTGCGCATGTTTGACTTTTTGACCGCAACCCGCAACCCTGCACCAACCCTCAGTATGCCCCATGGCTCACCAACCCTGGCTGTGTCCCATAAGCCCCTGCAACATTCTGGTGGCTTCCAAGCTGTCCTTGCTGATGTATACCCGCCGCCACGTGTGCCCGTCCATGTCCAGCATAATTTGGTAAATCTGAAAACCACGGATGAAGAAGAGCGTCCTGCGCACTGATGCGGTTCTCTGGTCGTAGCTGGAGGAGTTTGCTCAAAAGATCGAGACCAAGTTGGTCGACCTGTGGGAGGAGGATTGCTAATGACTGGGTCGCATATGATGGGAAGTTGCTCTTGTACTCGGGAAGCTGGGAAATGCCGGGCCACGTTCGCTCGGAAGGCGTACCCATCAATCGAAAGATCTTTTGAAGTTGGTCTTCGTTGGTCGTGCCCGGGAACAACGGTCTGCCAGTGTACATTTCTGCCATGATACAGCCGGCTGACCAGATATCGATACTGGTGTTGTATGTCCTTGAACCCAGCAAAACATCCGGAGCTCTGTACCAGAGAGTGACGACTTCATTAGAAAAGGTGTTGACGGGAATGCCAAAGGCGCGAGCGAGACCAAAATCCGCCAATTTGAGTTGACCTTTTGTGTTGATGAGCAAGTTTTGTGGTTTCAGATCTCGGTGCAGGACCCTGTTCTCATGACAGAACGCCGTCCCTCTCAGCAAATCTTGCATGAACCTTTTGATCGTAGCCTGGTCCAATTGTCCTCGATCACCCCGCGCATCCATGTACTTTTTCAAATCTTTGTCCATGTACTCAAACACGAGCATGAGCTTGTTCTCGGTGTGAATAACATCGTGCAACGTAACTATGTTCTCGTGTTTGAGTTCCTTCATAAGGCTGATTTCTCGAATTGCGGTGGAGGGAGTGCCTTCTTCTGAGTCGAGGTGGATCTCCTTGAGGGCAACCAGTTCTCCAGTTTGTCGGTTGCGGCCTTTGTAGACGGTGGCGTAGGTCCCCTCACCCAGCTGAGAGAATGAATCAGCGCTGCGGACACACGCAAAGAATACGATGCAAAGGGAAATTCCCAACGTACCTTTTCCAGCTGCTGGAATGAACTTGGGTGCCTCCGGTCCATGGCGGTGGTACCTCGTTCTGGAACCCGGCGTCTGACAGAGGGAGCGGAAACCGAGTGTTGAAAGAGCACTGAGCCCGGAGAGATGACTCGTTCAGCCAACTGCTGGGCTGTCAAAGATGGGGGATTAGACCGTGAGGACTGTGAAGGATGAGAGTGGTGTGATGAAGTGGTGGATGAGATTGAAGTTCGATGTGGAATTGTAGTAGATGTGGAACGCGAAGACATGACCAGCAAGGCAGGAGCGCGCAGGCTTGGTCGGGGGAGACGAAGATCTTCGCCTTTTACATGAGACCCAGTCCAGTCCAGTCCCTCAGATACAGATACAGAGGCACACCAAGACAGGCGGTTAATCGCCTGCAGGGTTTCAAGCGTCTAACAAGCGAGGAGAATAGTGGTGCCTAGCTCGATTCCAAATTGAAGTGAGCAGTGAATACAAAAAGGATGTACAGGCCCTTGTACACCTGAAGCATTTTTACATGAAAGGACACTTCTTCTCGACCTTCTGTATGCCTGGCCAGTGTGTCCAGTGTTTCCAGTTGTGCCAGTGCGAGTCGAGTCACCTGGTACAACCAAATTTGAGACAAGGCGTTTGGTCGCGGGGCCGTGGCCACCAATGCCACCAATGCCACCAATGCCACCCTAAACGTAAAGCCCGAGCGTACAATTTGACCCCCGAGGCCCCTCGACCCCTCGTTCTTCACTATTATCCGCCGCCCAGACTTGACATCAATCCGCTAACTAAGTTAAAGTACTAGGTATTCGTACAGTGACTTGATTAGCGCCTGAGTCTGAGAGGAGATGATTCATTATTCATTCAGCTTCGGGAGTCACAGTCATACAAATAGACCATACCCGTACTACGAGTCTTTATGCAGGCTCCTCCGGTCATAACTATTAGTTACTCAATTGGGTAACGAAGCACCTAAAGTCCATTCAAAAGTCCGAGGATTCCTTCACTCCACGTCTTCTAAGTAGGCCCTTCTCCAGCGCACATGAGCAGCTGGACTGACGGACAGGGCCATACGCACTTGTGAGTCCATTTCATCCTTTTTCTTGCTTGGACCATTATCCCCATATCCCCATCCTAAATCGTGTGCAAACTCTTGCTCCATTTGTACCACGCCAGCAACCCAATGCCGTATCTTATATTATCTCTATTATCTGATCGACTTCTGCCTGCAGAGTCCAACCTAGAGGAACTATATATCCCCTATATCTCGAGAATTAGAGGGTGTCGTAGGCTTGCGCCTTACTCCTGGACATATTGCCAGTCTGTTCTTTGGTCTTTGTCCTAACCATGCATATCAGAACTTTCCTCTGGTTGGAGAACTTCCACCTTGTTTCGCATAAGATGCGTAATTGAGTCAATTACCTAGTGATCAATCAACGCCTGGCTCCGGTACCCATCATTTATGTTCATATCTTCGTCCATTCTTTCGTAGTTCGTTAATCTCGTTTCGTATGCTTCATTCTCTCTTTCTCCAAGCCACCAGACCGAGGTCCAGACCCTCGTCGCGAAGAGATCTGGGGCCGGTCAGGTCGCCCTTCGAGCCCCGCCGGGGCTGGCTTTTGTCTGCCGTTGATTGCCGGCAGTAGCGAGTGTTGGTACCACCGGCTCACTCATGGTCCGTCTTCGAGTTTCAAAAACGGGTCGCTGAGCATATGCAATAAGCATCTTAAAACTCGAACCTCGTGCCTTACATTCGCCGAGTACTCCTTTGTCGGCAAACACGCTTTTGTTGAGATTGCCATCAGCAATCACTGTAGCTTCAAAACAGTGCTGCCACCACCGCCGCGCCGTGCTCGAAACAATCTTTCCAATCTTGGCATCCGCATTATCGGAATGGTCAGCAATGAGATCATTCAATGACAAGTGCGCTCCTTTCCGTCCGTAGCTATCACTAAACGTCATCCGGGGAGACGCCGTCGCTGATTTGGAATCTCCCGGTTTGGTCAGACCATCAGACCCGCCGCTGGACCGCGAGGAGGAAGAGTCTTCAGAACCACTCGGTCGTCCAGCCACTGGAACTCCCACAATGCATCGACTAATGTTCGAGAATCCTCTTGCGCCAAGAACGCCTTGAACATTGTCGATGATCGGTCTCAAGCTGATCTGTTCATCGGCTGTGGTCATCTTGAACTTCAAATCCCGTATAGCTCGGCGCGTCTGCACTCCCATATTGACAATATCCAAATCGAGCAACATCAGCTCGAGATAACCGCCGGGCAGAAGAACCCGTCTGCACTCGGAGATGATGTTCTTCATCTTGGCCTCAGCCATCGCCGGAGGGAATCGAAGCACAACTGCTGAGAAGAAAGATGGCGGAAAGGGGAATCGTTCGTAAAAGTTTGACACTTCTGCGCGCCGGTGATTGTTTGGACTGTTGGAAGATTGGCCCAGGTCTCTGGCGTGCTTCGTTGTCGGCCTTTCTCTCAGATTGTGAACAAACGCCTTATGGGGCTCGTATGTAACAGCACAATAGATAGACCAATCCCCATTGCCCAGTCCGTCAATCACCAGAACATGACGTTCTGCAATCGTCTGGATTTCGTCATGGGCTGGCGAGAATAAAACGCGTCCGAATGACAGCCATTTCGCTACCATGAGGAAAGCATAGTGTAACTCAGACTGTCGAGCAGGGTCTTTGCTTCGTTCGACCACATCTACCAGAGTGGAAGTTTCTTGATGGCTTTGATCCCCAGGGCCTTCAGGTGCGGTAGCGGTAGTTGTTACGCGTTCCAGCGATTGGCCAGCCGTAGATGTACTCAGTCGCTCTGAATACCTGCCGCTGTCTCGAAGTGGTGTTTCGTATTCGCGTAGGAGATCTCGTATCGAAAATGGCGATGAAGGATCCATCGAGGAATGCAACGCAGATACAATTCGTGAACGTCGAAGTCGAATATCCTCACCGACATTTCTCCCCGATAGAGCAGAAGATGAAAATACCACCGGCGGAGTCGCAGAGGTGACGATCGTAGGTGCAAACACCGGTCGTTTCACTCCGAGGGCGGGCTTTCTGGCGGTGCTTTCAAGATCGGTCTTAGCCGTTACACGAGAGCGTGTAGTATCGACATGGAGGTTTCGGCGCGCCTCAAGGTTGCCTTTGATATTGTCACGCTGTCGCAAGCCAACCGCTTGCTTTTGCCGACGTTCCTGAGATGGCGACATGACTTGGTCGATGAAATCATCGTATTCATTCCAAACCTCATCCACACTAGGGTTACCAAGATCATAAAGAGTGTCAGGCCATTGCGGGCTATGCAATGACGACGACCCGCCTAGTGTTGCTGCCAGTGCCGGGCCGAAGTGGCTGAGCGTTCCTTCGGACGTGCTAGAAGATGAGAAGTCTGAAGCATGTCTTGGATCCAATTGTAAGAACTCGTTTTCCGCACGGGGCGGATGATCTTGAGCCGCAATTCCAGGGTCCTTTGGCCAGTTTCTGTCATGTAACTGGCGGTGCTCAGATTCCAATGAGTTTTCTAGGCCATCAAAAGAACCCTGGAGTGTGAGATCTGCATGCTGAGGACCCTGCTGCCGCACAAAAGGCTGTGAAAAGGAGGCTCGGCTTGGTTTATGCTGTCTTTCATTTCGTGGCACTACTGGGGGGATTCTTCCAACTCGCGCAAGTCGTGGTTGCTTTCGGGGCTGTTCACTAAGTTGAACATGGATTCGTTCCGAAGGACTCTGAAGAGGTACCGGTGGTGGTGAGCTCGCGAAGGATTGCAGCGGTGGTACCGAAATGTTAGGCAGGAAGACGTCATCCTCTTCTGGCCGTTGTGGCGATTCGAAAAATCTCTCGTTCTCGGATTGGAAGAAAGGGCTCACTGCTGGCGACTGAACCGTATGAAGAAGATGCTGATCGACATAAGTGTTTGCATTTATCTCGCTCTCTGAGTCCAACATTGCGTAATATGGCATGGGTCTTGAGACGGGAACTGCAGAGACACTGACAGACATCTCTTCCGGAGTGGGTGAGGATATCAGAATGGACTTTTGTGAATCCGGTCCAGCAACCTCTTTCTTCCGAAATATGTTCCATCGTAGCTTCCGGTGCTTCTTAGCCTGCAACGTGTCGGCTTTATTTGTTTCAGCAGTGGTACTTGCGGTTGATGTTGAGGGAGCCATCGGTAGAGACTCGCCCGTTTCATGGCTATTGAGGTACAGAGGCGCTGACAGGTCTTCAGTTCGTATGGGAGTTGGGAGACTAAAAGGCTCTCTGTCAGAAAGAAAGCGCTGCGACCGCCTCACTGCCAGTGTCGGATGGACATCGTCACCGGATGTAACTTTTGGAGAAGGACTGGCTTCTTGCCTCGCGTTTGATGAGGCTATTGAGTTCTGCGACTGCGACGGAGTTCCCCACTTGTCATGGTCTATTAAAGGCACAGGGGCTTCATGATCGAAATACTTTCCCTGATCTGGGACTGGACTTCCCATGCTGGAGCCAGAACCCCCTCGAATCGGTGTCGGCTTAAGCCTTGTGGCAGCGAATTCATCCAGGTCAGATTGACTGGATCGATTCTGTCGGCTGCTTCCTCGACTGTCTCTGCGACCTGATGTTGGAATTGGGATTCGTCGTGTGCTGCTGACAGATCTCTCACTCTCACTGTTGTTAACGGAGGAGCTCTCCTGTGACTGCTTTCGCCCCCTTTTCCCATACTTTCCATAGCCTTCATGACCTGTGCCTGCGACTGGACCTTTTCGTTGTAATTTACGTGGGCTCCTCTCAACTTCGTTCGCGGGAGACTTCCCGCGCCGACTGAAGAGACCTAGGCGTGAAAGCTTGCCGAGTCTGCTGGGAGAACCGGAGACAGGTTCCTGGGGAGACGGGGGACGGGGCAGCGACGTCGAGGATGGGCCTCGAAGAGAGGCGTCAAAGGAATTTGAAGAGGTTTCATCACCGGATTCCAAGAGTTGCTGATGTCTACTGGTGAATCCAGATCTATGAGTGTTGACCAGAACTGGTCTGCTGTCGTCAAGACCTGTCACCCCATGCCGGCTTGGTCTTGTAGGTGCTCGAACGAGAGATTGCTGTAGATCATCATGGGCCTTCGCTATGATGCTGCGTTGCAGGGAGTCGCCAACGTTCTGAAGGCCTGGGTCTGCATGTCTTGCCAAGGGGCTGCGGTCGAGCTCAGTCAGTGATTCCGTAGGATCTTGTTCAAGTTTGCGACGTTGTTTGTCGCTACGACTGCTTGTGCGGCTGAGAGCCTGTTTGGCAGATGAAGTCCTTGGCGGAGGTGTCGGAGCCGGTGTGTTTAACGGAGTTCTTTTGGTGCTAGGTGATTTTCTCAATTTTTCTCGTGTTACGGATTCCGTTGACGCTGACGGGTGAGACTGAACGGGTGGAAATGCTTCAACAACGGCTGGTAGTTTGGGTGTCTTTTCACGTCTGACAGTTGGGACAGGCACGGTCTGAGACCTCTGGCTCTGTGGCTTGAGCGGGACATGCTGCACGATCCCGGGGGATGCTGAAGACCACGATGTAGGGGTGGTCGTGGTTGTGGAAACGCTCCAGGGACTCGGAGTGTTTGAGAATCGGGTTGACGGGCTACTAATTGAGCTGGCGGACTTTGAGTACATGTCTTGCTGCCTCGAAGACGACGCGGCCAAAGCCTGCAGTTCTGGGATGAGTCTGGGTGGAAGATCGGTAGTCCGAGTGGTGAGGTTGCTGCTGGATACAGATAGTCCAAACGCGGTCTCGGTCCCGGCTTTGGATGGTAGCTGGCTCTTAGCATACCTAGTGGGAAGAAGGGTTGCTTCTGGTCTCATCTCTCCCATTCGTGTTCTTGGAATCAGGCCAGTATCAATGAGCAAGGGTACTTCTTGTGACGAGGAGACTGAAGGAGCCGCGGAACGATGTGAGACGGATGGCAGAGGCGGCTTTCTCGAGGACTCCAGTGTCCTCGGATCTGGGGAGGTGTGTATAGAGCTTTTCCCGGTGGCTTGTTTCGTGTGTAGGTTTCTGTCCACAGTCCTAGATGTATTGAACCGGGGAGGCTGTGATCTGGAGGCAGAACTTGCCGTGGGGCGTCCATAGTCAAGCTGGCGGTCATCCTCTCTGGAACTTTGCAATCTGCCCGCTCGTGGTACGGTAGCATCTTTGGTTCTAGAAATACCCTGCCGGGTATCATTGGGTTTTGGTCTGTGTGACATGTCGACGGATACTAGTATTCTCCCACTCAATCCTCCTTGGTTGTGAACAAGAGTGAAATTGAACAGGCCTCATTCCGCAAGGAAACGACAGAGCGGATATGACGATCCGGAGTGATCATTTGCGGGACTCTGATTGCTCGCCGGAGCGAGGAAGGGTGGGCTGACGGGGGACTTTGACTCAATTGTCTCTCTGAAATGCGAGACGGGTCCAGGACGAGCTGGTCATATGTCGCACAAGGCTATCTTTACCCGAGACCAAGACATGAAGAAGACGTCAAGAAGGCTGTCAAAAACTACCGAGGAGAGCCAAATTGGAGGGTCCCGAATGCGGTCGTTGGACGACTGCACAGTCATGCGCCACACTTGGTCGGCGTGACCGGATGGCGAAAATAGTACTTGGGACCACACGTGACACCGGGGGTGGAAGGTGACCTGTGAGAAATGCTCGCTAAAGGACGCGTAGACTTGCAGAGTGGCACTGCCTTGCGACAGGGAAACAAACAGGGCAGAGGCAAAAGAATTCCTAGGTCAGGAAATGCTTGAAGATGAGGAATGGCCCCGGTAATATGGCGTTCAATGTAGACGAGGGGAAACCATCTCCAAAGAACCGAAGCGGCTTAGTAGGAGCCGCGAGACGGCGAGACTGCAGCAAAGCCTGTGCGTGATGAGGCTTTTGAGCCATTCGGCAGGGTTCGATGGGATGAAGGTCTGGGAACAAGCAAGGAGGGCGACCAAGGCAGGCTCTTCGATGGGACAATGGGATGGAGTAGGAAGAGCGGGTTTTGGAGGGCAGGGGCGCTAAAGAGGCCGCGCATAATTCGTATTCCGCGCTGAACTCAATTGCTGACCAGTTGTAGATCCAAGGATACGTATGCGTATGCGTATGCGTAGACCTGCAGAGAGTAGAGCCCACCAAAAGATGGCACATGGGCCCCATCAGAGTTCAGGTTTGACATCTCCATCATGGCTACTCCCGTCCCCAGCGTGGGTACTGTAGGCTAGGGTTTCCAGCTGGGTTGAACCCAATGCTAACCAGCAAATACTTGGGTCACCTAGTGGGGGCAATATCGAGACGTTGCCATTGGAACCAAAGGTATTTGACATATGTTGATCTCGTCTCCGAAATCGTAGAATGTTGCCTGATAGTGGTGCTGGGCGGTAGAGCTGTATTGCCCACATCGCCCAGGTCTGTTGCTGTATCGGTCATGTGCCGTGTTACCTAGGCCAATGTGGGAGTAGATTTTGATGGCCGGACCGCCATAGGCAGGATCACGCCGAAGGCCTGGCAGGTGGATGGGGCTTAGCTGAGCCTGGCCGTTTGGCCGCTCTGGACGCTCGACAGAATTGTCTGGAGGTGGGATTGGTACTGTAGGAGGAGAAGGAGACCCGCAGTCTGGGACGGGAGATAACAGCATGGTGAGTGGTGCAGTCGTATGGGGTGACAGGGATGGTCTTGACGAGGTCGGCTGCAGGGATGCGTTGAAGTGGGCAAAGGACAATGGGCAATGGGCGTGGCATTACTGTCAGTACCGTCCACAAGTGTGTGATTCGTGGTGCGAGACAGAAAGATGCTCGTTCAGATGGAAGCTGAGTGGGAGGGGACGGGTGCATCCAAGGCCAGTGAGGCCAATCCCACCAGTGGCATGTCGAGGGCAGTATTTCAGGTGCTTGTGGGGGCAAAGGTAGTGGGTCGTGGGTCTCGTAGGCGGTAGGCTATAGGCACAAGGTGCCCCGGGCCGTAGTTTCTTGGGCGGGCGTGGGCGGTTGACAGGCGGGCGCCAGATGAGGAACGGGCCCCTCGGCCCCCCGGCCACTACGGCCGTCATTCAGGTGGCTGAATCTCCGGCTTCAGAACCATTCGGCGACTGTCTCGAATCCTTATGGAGACACAGCCAGTCGTGCCAGTACAATATGTTGATGATTACTCCGTAAGTCCTCAATGTGTTGCAAAAGGGACATAGCCCCTTGGCGGCTTTGGTAGATTGGTTGGAATCTTCAACAATTCTCAAATGATTCTGGGGGCCATGTCCAACACTTCTGAAATGCGATTTGCTTCTTGCGGTGACTCTTGTCAGGATGAGCGCCGTAGCACCTTCCCACTTCTCTGTGACGGGCTCCTTCTCTGTCTTGCCCTTGTTTTGTCTCTTTCTTATCACATCCACTTCTGACGATCATGATCAACGTATGGCTCTGGATTGACACATCTCCATGACTCCTTCAAACCTCCTTGCTCCGTTCAAAGAGTTTATCTCGACCCTGGTTCATCCTTGCACTTGAATATTCCAGGTAAGAACCAATCAGACCGTTTAACCAGGATAAAAGCCCTTTCTGTGGCTGTTATTTGATACTCGCACCTGCCCCACTTGCAGATCCGGCGACTTCCTCCAACATGGGCATCCTCCAATGAGAGACTCAATGCCCATGATGTGTCGAAATTCTCCGACCAAAACGTGGGCCAGACACCCTCTCGTCTATCCAGAGAGATTCTCGCTGTTAAACATGCTGTATCTGGATTAATATTCAGAAAAAGAGGGGAATGAAACGGTGGGACCTTGTCACCTGACCTAGGCAAACAGCCTTGGGAAGTCGATATGACGTGACCATCAGGCGAATTGCCGGCACAACTTACTGGAGACTTCTAGTGGTTGAAAGGTAAACCAAAGTATTGATGTGATGCACACGACTCTGAAATTGCCATTTTCATCTACTGCCAGTAACGCCTATGGTCCAAAATTGCGCCACCAAACAATCCTTAAAACATGTCTCCTCTTCAAGGGGGTTGCGATTGTGGTCAGGTGCGCTACGAGATGGAGGCACCTATAGTGGTTCACTGTTGTCAGTGAGTCAGATTCGCTCCACATGAATTGAATCGTCTGAGTAACACGATCAGCTGCCGGTGGTGCCAGCGCGAAACAGGAGCTTCATTTGCTCTCAACGCCATGATCGAAACGAGTAAGCTGAAGATACTTGAGGGAGAGCCAGAGTGGACACTAGTGCCTAGTCAAAGTGGTGATGGACAGAATATCGCCAGGTGCCCCAGATGCAAGATCGCTATATGGAGCGTCTATCATTATATCCGAAACAACAAGGCTGGTATGGGTCCATTGCGAATCGTCCGTGTGGGCACGCTAGATGATGCCAACAGCTGTCCTCCAGACATCCATATTTGGACAATCCATAAACAGGGCTGGATCATTCTGTCCGACGAAACGCCAGCGTTCGGAACTGGAACGTATGATCGTGAAAAGGTTTGGTCTACTGAGAGTCTAGAGAGATTCACTCGAGCGAAGGGCGTAGAAGATTCAAAGTGAGATTTGGACTAGCTATTCGGTGGCATCCAACAACATCTCTCACATATCTCCAAGATATGATGTAGTGGTACATCTGACTAGATCTCAATCTCACGGGACCAAACAACTCTTCTGTTGGACCGATTGGCCTCTTAGTGTCACTGTAATGGCGTCCTGAGCTTCCTTCCTTTTCAGTGTTCAGCTGCTCGCGAGCGAGCGAGCCACAGACTCTCTGATGCATCCACGGTACGGGACGGACCAGCCTCACGAGAAACTAGGTTATTTGACTCAACTTGACCTGACTTTTACTATGAACCTGTTTTACTTTTAGACTTGTTCATCAATCAAGGCACTTATCAGCTCATTGGCGCTATACTAGTACAAGCGTGCATCATGTATGAAATCTCAATGGTGCAGCACAACTGCAGCCGTGTCATGCCGCAAGCCTTGCGTTGGATCTCTGGGCACACTGGCGAACCAATCGGTGTACGCGATCAGGATGACCATGCCAGCTGAATCTACCAACAACGTGGTTCCACACAACATGGACAATTCAAAACTTCGGCCTGAAGATATTATTTCGAGACCTGCGCTAGTGTCTTTGGTGAAGATTTTGCTCGCAGCGTGCGCCAGTCCCTCCTTGACGATCTCTTCGTACCAAGAGTTCGTAGGGTTAAGCTGGTCGAATCTGAGGGCTGGCTGGGGTTAGCACGCCTCCGTTCCTGACCAAGTTCGTGTCCTCAAACCAGAACCGATCCGTCCCTCGTTTGACATGTGCATGCAGCTCAGGGGTATTCGAAGTCGTCCAGTCGTCGGTAGGACAGACGCAATACGTACCTAGATTGAATTGGATGTGTTGTGCGTTTTCTTTGTCTGAAAGACCTCGATGTTCACCCGAAGGCAGATTGATCACGTGATAAGGATCCTGACAATCAAGTTCTTCCGTTCCGGCACGTGCCAAGCCCTTCCGCGCGAGGGTCTCGCCCATCCTCCCGTCCATGCGCGTCACCGTGAGAACGGCGGAGAGGACATAGTATGCGAACTAGGGAGGTAATTGTGATTTCAACCTCTCACTGTTCTTCGTAACATTGAAATCGACTTTGTGACCGACCAGAAGATAATCGCAATTCCTCACTCTACCACATCCGACATTTACACCTGCAACGCGCCCCCACAGCCTTGCACGCGCCTCTACCCACCAACCTGGTCGAGACATTTGCGCTTCGAGCCTAAACCTCACTCATCATGGTCGACTATGCAAAGAAGACGGTGGCCGAACTCACAGAGATTCTGAAATCACGGAATTTGTCACACACCGGCAAGAAGGCTGAACTTGTTGCGCGGTTGAACGAGGCCGACAAAGAAGTCGAAGAACCTGGTGAGTCTGGCAGTACATCTATATTCAGACCCAAATGCGCCAAAAATGCGCGACATTACCCTCGTCCCTATGCTGCGCCAAATCCCAAGAACCATCGTGATGATCCGAGACTAACCACGCCTACAACCCTAACAGCTCCTGCGGCCGAGGAACCAGCTGCACCACCGGCACCAGAAGCACCAGTCGAAACCACAGCTCCTTCGACTCAGCCGACGACGACAGAAACCGAAGCAGCACCAGCATCAGCACCTGCTGCGCCTATCCCAGCTGAAGAATCCCTTCCTGCCAACACAGACTCTGCACTAGCCAGTGGAGTCACATATGCGCTGAACCTCCCTTCGTCGGAAGTCGATGCCGAACTAGCCAAGCGGAAAGCCCGCGCCGAGCGCTTCGGCACTGTCAACGGCGACAGCGAGAATAAAGAAGCAGACGACGAAGCCCAGAAAGCTCTACAGCGAGCGAAGCGATTTGGCACGGGTGCACAGTCACTGGGTAAACTCGACGAGGCACTTCCACTGGAGAGGGAAAGGGGTAGTAGAAAGCGCGGTCGCACAGAGGGCGGTGGTGGGGAAGACGGGGGTCTGAGGAAAAACTTCCGACATCAGGGTGGTGGTGGTGGGCGTGGGCGTTTCCGTGGTGGTGGTGGTGGTGGTGGACGAAATGGGAGAGATAAATCGCAGAGACGACAGGGAGAGAGACCTACGGGTGTGGTCAAGTCGCCGCCTGCGTATACCTCTGAGGCGGATAGAGCGGCTGCCGAGGCGAGAAAGAAGAAGTTTGGATCATGAGAATGTGATTCCCGTCGTTGAGATCACCATGTGATGAAGAAGAACAACTAGTTGTATCTGTGGAAATCGGATGTTTTCTTCGCAGGGCATTGTCTCTAAACCCAGCAACGGTTATGAATGTCAACCCTCGGTGAGGATCGTCCGTCCATCGATGCGATTAGACTAGCACCACCACCAATACCATATGTACTACTGACCAGGAAAAAGGAATGGAAAGGGAAATTTCACACACAAAACAGGAAGGGGAAGGGAATGGTCGAGATGGTTCTAGGTTTTCAGGAAGCGGAAAAATCTCTGTTCCTGTCACAGACGTATCCCTCTTTAAAAAGACACCAGGATCATCTTGGACCAGATCAACCGTGACCATGGCTTCAATCCCAACCAAAAACTTGCTGGCTGTATGAATGATCAAGTAATTATCTCGAGCCCAAGACGGAGGGATGGATTCTATTTTGAAGAACACCAAACCCCATCAATCTAATCTTCAACCCAATCGACACGGGGTCAAGTGCGATGCGATGTCCCCAGCAGAGCCGCCCTCTCTGACGATGTGCCAGTGTGCTCTTCCTGGTCCTGCGACAAATCCAATAAATGGTTCAACTCGCCTTCACCCTCTGCTGAACCACTCGCCATAGGCTGTAATCCAACACGACTGTCTTCGCGCTGGAGGATATTGTCTCTGCTTAAAGGAGTACCCCTTTCAGCGACGACGATGGCCTGGCGATGACGTCGACGTAGATGTTCCTCTTCGAGACTTCTCTCGCCAGCGCGAGCCGCAGTGGGACCGAGACTCCAGCTCGGAGTGTCGCCGCCGTGGTTGGTGTGGTCGCCTTCACCGTCGCGGTCGCCGCCAGAATCAACATCAGCAGCACTACCAGCAGCGCTACCAGTCGTACCAACCTCTCCTCCCGACGCTTCCCCCGCCGTATCCTCACCATCCGTCATATGCACATCATTGTCCTCATCGAACCACGGCTGAACGTTCCACTGATATTGGCGACATCCACCGCTAGAATAATCCGACATGGGGGGGTGACCCAACAGACCTGCATCTCTCAAAGGACGTAGTAAACCCGAGTATTTCTGCAGTTCTTTGAAAATCTCAGCCATGACTGGATCCTCGCCGGGCATGAGAATAAATAAACGCATGACGTCGCGTTTCTTGTAGTTGAAATTGGCGTATTCAGGTAGACTGCAGGGGAATGGGTAGTGAGCTAGCCAGTCGGTGATCATGCGTCGTATGACGGGTGAGAGGTCGGCCCCAGATGCATCAACTCCCATGGTAACTTGGCGAAGGATGGTGGTGAGGATTTTCAGGAGAGCTGTTTCGTGAGACGGGCGGTGGAGAGGCCGGAGAGGGGAGGGGGGGAGAATGCGACGAGAGGGACGAGAGGGACGTGATTGTGGATTTTTCATGTTGTTGGTTATGCCTTTGTCGTTGCTTTCCCCGTTGTTCTTATCACTGTCGTCGACATTGGTACGGCCATTGCTATTCCTCTGATGCAGAGGTAACATATGAATCAAAGCACTGATGACAGCATCAATCGCAGCGACACTGTTAAATGCACTAGAAATCCCACCATCCAACGCCGGATGCCACAGAAGCATTGATAAAGAATTGATAGCATTGTCGCGTCGATCGAAATCATCCGAAGCCAGATCTCGCAACAGGAGTTTCTTCACGGTTTCCGACCGCACTGTTCGACTGGCGACGATCTTGATTGCCGAAGTCCGTATATCAAAACTGTGGCCATCGACCAACGTACGTAGAGTTTCGATCTTCAACGAGTTTTCAGAGTCTTTCTGCAGTTGCCTGGCCGGGGCGACGGCAGCATCTAGTGGTGGTGCCCTTGATGCATCTTTGACTCGGTTGAGGAGCCTGGGGATGGAAAAGTACGCTGTGCTCAAGCCTATGAGAACGGTGACCCAGAGGAGTCGATCTGATTCAATGAATGGCATGATCGGTCGATCATGGTGACATGGATTGGGATGCTGGTCGATCAAGTAATGGGAGGATACAATATGGTGGTTGGTAGAGAGTTGGAGTTGGACATCGGACATCGAGAGAAGTGACCGAATATATTTGGAACTATAAATATGGAGGCCTGCATGTCACATGTTATAACTATAGCCTTACAACCAAACACTCCAATAATGGTACAAACACAGGCAATTATTGTCCGAATTTCGAACTATTTTAAGTACGCAAGTTCTCACATTCGGACCAAGTTTTGTGCCTAATAATGCCAGCGAGAATGAGCGCTTAATCATGCTCCTCCTCCGTCAACCCCGGACATCCATCCATTTCCTTGTCCGGATATTTATATTTACACCAAAAACAATAGTTCCACCTCTCACGAAGATATGTGACAAGTTTGTTCAGCCTCTCTGGTGGTTCGAGAGCTTCAACTTCGTCCAATTCTTCATCTTCTTCGTCCAGGGCCACGTCGACTTCCTCTGTGTCTGCTTTCTTCCCTAGGGCGATTCGATCCTCCTTATCTTCCTCGGGGTCGATGTAATCTGCCCGTCTCGAAAGTGACTGGTGGAGATCGTATCTCATTCTCCGGTCTCGCTCGTTCAAGGCTCTCTGTTTCACGAGACTTCGCCAGAGGACATTGACACTTTTCAAGGGCTTGGTTCGCTTGCCATTGCGAGCCCTCACATCCTCGTTCTCATCTTCCTGGGTCGGCGTATTTTCCTCTTCCTCTTCCAGCCGCTCACATACCTTCATCGCACCCCAAATCTGACCGTCCATCCTCTTCAACTCTCGCTCTTTATGCTGTCGTTCTCGGAAATCAAGTGCATCGGTCTTCCTCTTCTTATCCGCTTCTTCCTGACCCGCCAGCTCTTCTCTGAACTTCCGTTTTTTCTCCGCATCAGCACCAATTCCACTCCTTGAATCCTTCATCTCCAATCCAATCGGCTCGAGCAGTCGATCGTCCTTCTCTTCACTCCCATCCTTGCCAGCTGGTCGTTCCACACCTAGAGCACTTCCGGGTTTGTATCCCAACGCCGCCATCATCTTGTAGCCTTTACTGGTGGTGTCCATGGTGTTTGAGTTCAGAGCAGCCTCTCGCTTTTTGCGTTCTTCTTCTGCTAGCGCCGCCTTGGATTTTGGGTTCGCTTTGATTTCGGCTTCCCGCGCCAGGCGCTTCTTCTTCTGTGTCAATGTTTCCATCTTTTTCGTTCCGAGAGGTTCCTCAAATGTCATATTCATGTAATCATCGTCTTCATCCGTAGCATTGGCCATGTTGATATGCGAATTGGGGGTAGTGGGTGAGATCAATATGGGGTGATAGTGGCACTGACAGGTGTGTGTGGCGCTAGAATCAGTCTGGATGGGTGTGACTGGAGGTCTTGAGTAAAGAGGATCAAGGGCAAGCGAGCACTGAGCAGAGAATTACTGCTTGAAAGGACAAAGCGGCTGGGGCAAGGTGGAAAGGAGAGGCAAACCGTCTCTGAATATCTCGCCAGCGTGATTACGTCTGGCAAAGATGGTGCATTGACTTGTGCCTACCAGGAGGGTCGACGTAATTCAATCGGCCGACAGTTCAGTGGTGTCTAACCAGCCAATGACACTGGAAAAGTATCTTAAGAAGTTGAATGTTGTAGGAATATTCCCGATCACATTAAATTTGGGAATTATATGACCATACGATTCCAAATTTAGTGGGAAACACTGCGCGGAGGGGTGACGTCGTAGGCCAGCAAAAAAAGATCTTTCACGTGACTAAAAACCATTTCTATAATTATTAAACCATCAACAAATTGCTCCCAATTTCGTGCAGAGCTGAGGTCGATTTTCCAATCAACACTTTTAGTCCTGCACGCAAATTTTCCCCAAAATCCCTGTGACGCAGTTGGTTAGCGTGTCGTTCTTATACTGTATGCTTGCATATAGCATGAAATCTTTCTCAGAGATGCGAAAGTCGCGAGTTCAAACCTCGCCAGGGATATTTCTTTTTGCTGTTTTTGGGGCCATGTGGACTCGAGGTTACTTTCTTTTTTGCGCACCTGACTCCTCCTTATGAGTATCAACGTCCAAATCCAATGATTTCCCATGCTGAATTAGAATTGCTATGCTTCTTACATGACTAAAAAATCATCTGTGTTCATACGTTGCACAGAGGAGACTGAGGTCCATTTGCTATGAATCTTACATTCTTGCTTAATACTAGAACCTGCCTTTCCTCTTCGCCTTTTCTCGCTCATAGCTCTTTGATTCTCTCCCTTCCTCTCCCTGGATCTCCGCCACCAATCTCTTATATTTCTTCTCATACGCCTCATCCTTCTCCTTCTTCTCCCGAAGCTGCTCTCTTGCCATGAAATTAGCATCCTTGCGTAACTCGCGCATCGCTCCCTTGCGTTCCTTCTTGTGTTCGGCCTTGAGCTTGTTGAGCTCTGCCCGTTCACGATCAGGATCGTAGTGGCGGTCGGGGTTGAAGTTCTCGATGAATTGTGGGATAGAGGATTTGATGGCCAGAGGTCGGTGATTGTGTAGGAGTAGGGGCAAACGGGCCGCACTTTGGGATCTCTGCAACGCTTTGAGAGTCGACAGGGTTGTGGATAGGAGTTCGCGTGTTGAAGGGGCCAGGTATTTGTCATGGTGCGACACAAAGGCAATGGTCTGGATCAAGGGCGAGATAAGTTCGGCAAAAGCAGACTTCTGCTGCCATAACGTCGCGGCCTGATGAGACAAGCGCAGGTAGGTGTTAAGGAGAGAAGCAGACATAGCGCTCTCGTTCTCTGTATCACGATTCATGATCAGAGCCTTGAATGAGAGCTTTTGAGAAACCTCTGCTGGAGATGGCTTGACACGCAATGAGATGGGCGGTAGCCGAACTGGCACGTTCAATGGCATACCTCCATTGTCCCGTTCTGGAACCGGTACAGGCGCGAGAATTGACAAGGCATTGACAATGTAGACCACGACCTCGGGCACAAATCGCTTTGCAAGGCTTTGGTACTTCAGAGCCAGTGAACAGCAATATGCACCGATCCCGAGGTCCTGGTGATTTTGCACTGACTTTTGTCCGAGATAGCGAGCCAAGGTGAGCATTGAGGGAGTGACCACGGAGTGGAAGTGGTCGGAAGTGGGAAAGATAGTGGAGACGCCGGAAAGAATAAAGAGATCGCCAGCAGTCAGGTTGAGAGGACGATGGTCGGCAATCGCTTGAAGATGCTGACGAAATGCTTTGCCAGCGGCTTGAGGGGAAGACTTTGCCATGGAATGGACGTGGCGTAACAGACTCTCAAGGACCAGGATGGGAACATCTGGATCCGTGTCTGCAAGATGTGCGATGTGTTGTGTCAACACCACGGTGAAATTGTCCAACTTATCTTGATTGCCTTCGGCTAGGCCTTTGTGATAGAGTGCTCGAATTCTTTGCACTACTGTTGGTACGTCATCCACTTTGATGTCTTGTAGAACCTCAAGAAGCTCTTCGTGTGTTTGTGGACAGGGGAAGGTGAAGGCCAAGTTCTTGGTCTGCGACTTCTGAGTCGTGGTGTCATGCTTGACTGATGATTTGTGTTCAGGTGGAAGAACTAAACCATTGATAAAATCGTCATCTCCATCATCTTCTATTTCTGAATCAGAAGAAGAGTCATCGGAATCCTGGTCACTGGCCATGTCGGCACCAGAGTCGCTTTCAATGAGATCGTCATCGAGTATAAATTCGTCCTCGTCCTCGACATCGAGTACCGGCCTCGGAGCATATTCTGGAGCCGCAAGACCAAAAGCCTCCGCGTCGTCCTGATCAATGTCTTCATCTGGTCCTGGCTCAGCTTCGTCTGCTGATCGATCATCTTCATCATCTGAACTGTCAACTTCTCCTTTCATTCTTCGAATGCGATTTCGCTCCAATTCTTCCAGGCGTGCTGCTTCTTCAGCTGCCTTTTCTTCATCCGTCTTAGTACGGACACTTGGTTTGGAACGAGCATCCATCTTCAGTTGTCGTAGATTGGCCTCGTACTCTTTCTCAGCATCTTCTCGGCTCTTGCCAGCCAACATTGCTGCTCGAGAAGGATCCATATGTGGATCTTGCGACGCTGTCGTTGATGGCTCTGGTTTCTTTGCTGGAGCTTTGTGAGATCGCAACGCTTCGTAGAAATCTGACATTCCTCGATCAAGTTCAGCACGTAAATCGTCATCGTCTGCCTTTGCCGCTTGACGTTCGGCTTTGTACATTTTCGATTTTGCAATGACCTCCTCCATGACCTCCTTCTTACTTTTTCTGCGTGGTGGAGCACTGTCTTCGCCGTCCATGCCGTCAGCATCCGATTCTGCGTCAACACGCAGTTTCTTCCTTGGCCGATCGTCCTGCGCCTCGAAATCGGCACCATCACTGCCTGAATCAATATCTTGTTCCTCAAAATCGTCCCGCCCAGCTTCACCAAAGTCCAAAGACCTTCCACCGTGTGTTAAAACCATCTCTTCATCACTGTCGTCTTCGAGATTGAACATGGAAGTCTTCTTGATCCTCTTCTCGTTCTGCCTGGCAAACCTTTCCGCAGCTTTCTGTTCGGGGGTCATGTTTGGATCATCCTCTCCGAACCGACGATCAAGCATGCCGCCGACTTTGTTGCGGCTTTGCATTTCTTTCAACAGGGTTTCTTTTCTTCTCTCCTCTCCTAGTCCACGTGTGACACCCGGTCGACCGATTTTAGATTTTGTAGGTCTCCCACTGGTGACCTCGAATTTGTCCTTTCTCGCCGGTGCCTTGACTTCGAATGGATTGAAATGTTCTCGGATCGTCTCGAGGGCAGCATTCCGCTGCAGGCGTTTCTGAGCATCTTTACCGGTGGCCTTTTTCTGCTTTTTTGATTTTTGAGGACCCAGGACACCATGCTCGCGCAATGATGCCTTCAACTGCTTGAGCTGGGAAGGTGCCATGTTGGGTAGGCTAATGCTTCAAAGGACACGGAAAGTTGTCTGGGGAAAAAAAGTTCCCAGAGTCGGAGAATTGCCTGCGCCGAATGCCAAGATTTCAGGGTCTTATCGATAACACGTGAATGTGGATTGGGTGATTGGTTGATTGATTGGTTTGATTCTGACGCTGGCTGCGCTTCTTGTCTGCTTCGTGTCCTTTTCCATTAATGAATGTGATAATAATATCTCACTTCCACCCTCACACTCATTCCCCACGTATACAGAGTCCCCTCTCCCGGATCATAGCGAGTTCAAGAACAGATACCAGCTATTCGACACGCTTGTGGATGATTACAAATTAGGGAAACCCTCTCTCTTTTCACCCTTGGACTCCCTCTCCCCATTTTACCTCGCAAACCAAACCACCCCAACCCTCTCCCCTACGCCAAAATGCAGTGGCTTTCACTCCTCATCCCTATAGCCTACCTAGGCATTCTCATCGGGTCAATGGCGACCTTTTCACACTTATACCGCCAACGGCAACACACGTCGAAACTGCGCTTGGCTCCATACTTTCCCCCACATACGACGCGCAACATCTACCTGTCACTGTTACACCTACAAGACGACCCGGCGACGAAAGTGCCCGACACGATTTTGAGGGCTGCACTGCTCAACCGTGCCATCGCCGACATTGAACGATTCATGGAAGTCAAGACCCGAAAACCCGCTCTTGCAACCCTGTTACAACGTGGGGTGGTGGGTGACGAGATCTTTCAGAGATTAACTCGTGCGGAGCAGGAGATGGAGATTGAAGTCAAGGATGTCATGGCTGAGGCTAATGCTTTGGCTAGCGGCTGGGGTCAGTACATCTTCCAAAGTGCGAATGAGATTGTCCACAATCGGCAGTTGAAGGAGAAGATCGATGCTGTAAAGGGGAAATTGGAAGCTTCCAAGTTGGAGTGGGAGGTTACGAGAGAAAAGGCGAGACTCGAATTGGAAGGTATTGACTCTGGCGTTGTCGCCACCCCTGCCGCCCCCGTACGCTCTGCGCCTGCGCCCGCGCCCGCCTCTCAGACAGTCGAGACGCCGCAACAAGATAAAGTGAGCAAGGCTGGCAGCAGTGACGAAGACGGAGTTATAGTCGATACTCCTCCAACAGATTCAAGTCCCGCCAGTGCTGCTGGTGGTGGGGCAAAGAAGAACAAGAAGAAGAACAAAAAATAGTCTTTGGATCATCAGAGAGATTCGTCAGGGGTCAGCATGTCGGCATATTGGAGCATAGCGAAGTGTTGTGTTATTGAATGGGAACCCCCCTTTACCCTATTGCTTGGACAAAAGGATCTCCCCCTGACGCAGTGGGTTACGAGCTTCTATGACACTGGCAGGGCCGGGATCCATGTACTTTGTAGGAACCAAATTTCATCGCATGCAAATTGAGATGACTATTATTTCAACACGTTTTTCTCCCATATTGTTACATAATCTACTAGATCAAGCTTCAAGGTCAACCCAGTCTCTTCGACTGTAGACCTCTTCTGGAATCTTGACTTTCATCTCTTCCGCAGCCTCCCTGATCGCATCGTTCATGTGCACTCTGCCAGGATACTTGCGATCCAGTACCATACACATGAACGAGGTGAGGACATCCAACCTCAACTTCTGTGCTTCAGGTGTGTCTTCATCCATTTCCAGGAGATCTGTATCGAGGTCTTGCTTGTCGACTTTGTCCAACGTGATTTTACCGATCAACTCAGTCAAAGCCTTGACGACAGCTTGATAGTGAGAGCCCCGGAAACGAAGTGGCGTCCGTGCCGACTTGCGACGAACACGTGCTTCGTCGATGACTGATGGAAAGGATCTTGCAACTTGCATCACCAATAAATGATTGACTTCCTCGTGTGGTAGTAGGTCAAATGCTTGCCGGAGACCATAGAGAGCACAGAGCATGCCTGCAGGATCGGCCGACATGCAGACACATCGGATCATCTGGTCGTAAAGCATAGCAGTGAATGCATCGTGGGCGTCTGCTTTCTCTTTTGCGTTCAGCGTGCCATGCCACTCCATCATCTCCCGGAACAAAGCTCGAGGGGTTGGGAAATCCTCTGGGTCTGCACCTGGAGTGTTCAGATGGACTTTCTCTGTGTCCCATAGAGCAGCAAAGGTCTCCAGATCGGCCTTGACCTTCGGTTTCCATTCCAAGTATGTATCCCATACTAGGCGAGGCTTTCCGGAACGAAGATGCCCAAACATCCAGTGGTTGACGATGAAGGAATTCGGTTTGATCTCGGCGGGACCGAGGAGAAGTTCGGTCAGATGTGCCGCTGCTTTCTTGTTGTTTCCTCGTATGTGATGGAGGAAAAGAATCGAAAAGGTCTCGACTGTAGCGGCTGGGGCATCTCGTTCCACATAGAGAGGCTTCTTCTCGTCCTTGATGGGTTCCTTTTGGGTTGAAGTCGCTTCGTGTATTCCCTTGCGATTTTCGACCATCTTGACTCGAGCATTTACCATCGCCCATCCGGTGGTCACAGCTTTGTTTATCGCTTTCGGTGATCCTTCGCGAAGCCAAGCTGCGATCAATCCATTCACATGCCTGGCGTCTGGTCGTATACCTCGCTCATACATGAGTTCAAGAACCTGTCCAGCTTCGTCGATCCGATCGTCTCCCAAAAGCCATTTGATCCAAGATGCAAAGAAGTATTTGTTGTGAAAGGCTCTAGGGAGGTCGGCCAAGGCAGTGAGGCCGAGTTTGTTGATGAGATCCTCAGTTGGACTCTGAGCTGCAGCCTGAGACTGTGCTAATGTTTGGAAGACCTTCCATGAATCCTGTGGAGATTTGGCGATGATCAAAAACATGTCCTTGAACACTGCTTGAGCCAATCGAGTTCTTCCATGCTGAAGGAGAGTGCTGCTGACTCGACCTAGGATCTCTTGCATTTTCAGGTCATCTTCAACGTTTTCCAGCCTTCGGCGCAATTCGAGGTAGCATGACCATGTTTTCTGCTCGGCATCTTTTCCTTGAGTTTTGGCCCAGGCCCCGAGGACCATGACCAAGACTTCCGGGTCAATGAATGTGGTGTATTCATAGCACTCAAAAGCAACCTTTTGTGCTTTCTGTGGCCGTCCTAATGCCATGTACAATCTCACACCGGTCATCCAAAACTCGGGTGCAAACTCTTCATTGACCCCTAAGCGTGAGCGGAGAGATTCCCACATTCCTAAAGCGGTCGACAAATCCCCCAGACTCTCTAGCGCTTCCAAATACTGAAGGCACTCTGCTTCTTCCAGGTCGACATCAGCCTTCATCATATCTTGGGCGAGCATTCGAAGATGTCGAGGCCGGTAATTGATGGCGCTGTATTGGGATTTCCATAGAAACCGCCACACGTTCTCTGGAAGAATGGCTGAAAAGTTTGCGACGTTCTGCTGACAGCTCAGATACCATTTCCAGAGAGATAAATAAGGCCGAGCATTCTGTGTCACTGCCTCGGCTGCCTCCAGAGCCATGTTGAACCTCTTGACATACACCTTGTCTTTGGTCGGAATTTTTAGACTGACTGTTAAGGCATTCGCAGACATGCGCCGACTTGGCCTACCATTAGCAGCATCTGCGATTTCCTCGAGATCTTCCGGACTTAAGAGGTCTTCATCCTCGTCGAATCTTATCCCCTCTTCTTCCAAAGCCTTGAGAATTTCCTCACGTTCATTGGGAGGGAATGCCATCATAAAATCGCTTCTGGGTCCGAACGGTCCTTCTCGTAATATAGCAAGTTCTTCATCCAACTCCTTTAATTCCTGCTTCATGCGCTCGCTTTCGGTATCGATGGGATCGAAGATGCGAACTCGGGAGGATTCATCTTCGCCGGATTGTTCAAATTCTCGGAATGTGACATTTCCTATTTGAGAAGGAGGGGCGTTTTGTTTTCGAGCCGATGACCGTTGCGGCTGAGAGATCACTCTACGATATTGACGGACAGGAATGAAATGTGGCAGACAGTGTTGATGTCCCGAGAAACTGGGGGACCGGCAGAATTGTTGATGCCATCGCCGCGACAGCTGACATATTCCCCTCATAGAGACAACGCAGAACCGTCCAAGCCGAGTGTATGGGTTGAGAGATGAAAGGGTGTTCAGTGACAAAAAAAAAGTTGTCGATGTCCATTTCGGAAATTGATTTGATACTTTAGAATGTTACGCAATTGCAGAACTTATGCTTCGCTGAACCATACTACGGCGGACCTTAACTCCGACACCATCGGCCGACGCGCTTTCACACGCGTAAAGTGGTTTGTTGAGTATTGGTCTTCATGTACGGAGTACATCGACACATGCCCTGGTGCCGGGCTACTTCGAGATTGAGTCGATCCCATGGACGGTGAAGAAGTCTACGTCGAGGACTACACTCACACGGTGAGTCTGAACTAAACTAATCCTCAGGACACCTGGACTAACAAGACCGACAGGGATGCTACATCTTCCAACCTGCCACATCGCAACCCATTGGTGAAGAAGAACATGACGAGGTAGAGCGCAGGCCGCGAAAGAAACGCCGGACTACAAATGATGAGGCTACAATTTCATCGACTCCTCAAGACGGATACACATGGCTCCCACTTCTAAACGGTCAAGAACATTCCTCCAGTATCGACCTACGACGACAGACCTTCCACACGATCTGGACTCGGTACCAGTCCAAAATTGACGATATTGTAAATCGACTAGATGAACAATTCGTGACACAGGTGTTGGACTATGTTAACGGAGACCCTGCACGCAGAGGAAGACTGAAGACCGGTCTAATCGTCTCTGGAACCACGAAAAATGCGCAACGAGACCTATCCCTTGGCTGGAACAATGCTCCTCAGTCGTCGCAAGACAAGGACAGCAACGCCGATTTACTCGTGCAACTCCATCCAAATGCATCACCGAATCTCCAAACCGCGTTGAAGAATGTGATCAAGCTAGCTATATCTCAACACGGTGGGGTCGAGGAATATACCAACTTTCTCACCCGACAAAAAGCGCTTATCCCTATGAATTTCGATCTCGAATTATTGCAGCGATATGTCAAGAAACACAAAATCTCTCGGGTTGTGGTATCGATCCAAGACGTCGAGACCTTCGACACAGGAGTGATTTCCGAACTCATTTCAACTCTTCATTCATGGTCTGGACGGATTCCATTTATTTTACTGATCGATATTTCAACCACGGTCGAATTATTCGAATCGAGACTTTCACGATCGACATGGTCTTTGCTAGATGCACAAGTTTTTGAATTGACACGGAACAAGCTCGACCCTCTATTGGAACCATATCGCATCTTCCAATATGACGACGACGACGCTGATGTTTTTCTGGGACCTGGAGCGTTGAATGTCCTCTCGGAGTTGGCCGAAGACCAAAGCACCAGTATCGAAGGATTCGTGCGAGCGATCAAATATCTCATGATGACACATTTCTTCGCAAACGCCGTCTCTGTCCTAGCCGCAAAGCCCATCACCCGTCTAGACCCAGTCGAGAATAAAAATATTTGTCAAGCGATTCGCAACATGCCTGAATTTCAACAACGATGCGACAGTCTCCTGAAAGACAGGTCAAAGATTCAGAAAGTGCGCGATCTTATTGTGGCGGATGAGCTTCTTCTGGAAGATAGTATCCAAACCGTGCGAGCTAATCAAGCTGAGCTCAAGGCTCTACTCAAGGGAGTTCATATATTACACACGATTCACGACCTACTTCCACTTCCGCCTGTGCCACCATTGAAGCTCGAATCTGATCTTCTCAGCAGACTCCCAAATCTTCTCCAATCAGACATATACCTAGACATTGAGGACGCACTTAAGAGTCTTGACCGGGAAGAGTATCGAGACTTTGTGGATGCACTCATCGTTGCAACTGAGGGGACTGAATTCTCCAACTTCGAGGCCATCGCAGATGGGAAGGAGCAGGACGAGGATGAAAATTCGACTCCTGCAATTCCCTTGCCTCTCAAACAACTATCCTCATCTGACGATCACGAAGATGATATTAATACCACCAATAGCCCATCCACTTCACCAACACATTTCATCTCCCTCCTCCAAGCCTATATATCCCACACGTCGAGGAACTCTTCTCAGAACCCATGGACCACCTACCTCTCCACGGCAAGTACCATCAACGGACGAAACCCACTCTCTTCCATCATTCACGCGGCTCCACGATTCGCACTTGAACGAGCATTGACACGACCGGCGGATTACCTCAGTTGTGTATGTTGCTCGACAACGACAAGAACGGCAAGCATTCCTTCACGGTCGGATTTACCTACCACTAGTTTATTGTTGACACTGCTCAATGAAGCGGGCAATGTCGTCAATGTACGGGATTTGTGGGATGCGTTTCGAGAGTCTTTGTGTTTGTCTCGGACGGGGTCCAGGTCGGGATCGGGGTTGGCGTCTGCCAGAATCAAGAAACGCTATATCAATGGTGGTGATAAGCAGGGTGTTGTTGAAGATGGAGATGAAGAAGCTGATGACGACAACGACGACGACGACGACGACATCAGCGGCGATGGTGATGAAGATGACGAATCTAAAGAACGACAGACCCTGGCTCTCTTCTACCGTGGTTTGGCTGAACTTCGTCATTTGGGATTCGTCAAGCCTAGCAAACGCAAGCCGGGCGTGGATTGCATTGCCCGAACAGTGTGGATGGGTCTATAGAGGAAAGGAGGTTTGAGTCCGTAGGGGCTGGGAAAATCCACTTCACATAAATCTAGACGCCCTTCGTGTCCTGTCACTTGAGCATGGCTTGAATACGTGATCAATAAAAATCATCGGATACGTTGTATTCTTAGACAATACATTCATAGACACGTGGACAATGTGGTGGCTTGATCCACCACGGACGTCTTCCTGATATCATCAACTCGTTAGCCTCCATAAGCGAAGCGTCATTGCATTCATTAATTATAGCTCCCCATACCAACGCCTCGTTGATACATGTCGTAAAGAGGCATGAAGTAGATGTTACTTTGAAGAAATCTCTGAAATACCAAAACGTTCCGTAAACATTCCGAAAGTTCGACGTGAAAGGCTATGTCGATAAAATTGAAACAGGTGTCTTTTTGACACTTCCTTTGCGTAAGGGGGCATTGATGCCCCGCCTTTGTCCGAATGAAAAGTAGAGGCACTTGTGCCTGATGCCTCATAAACCCCACGCAAGAGGTAGATGATGACCAGGATTAAGAATGTTTCCTTGTCAGACTTCGTGCCAACGCCTATCCAGTGTAGACACGTAAATGTTCTTTGTGAAGCTGTTGCTTAGAGCCGCCATGTGCAATCGGACCAACTGCCCAAAGTATTGGAGGTGGACATCTCTTGGCCATCTGGCTGACATGTCAGCAAAAATAGACGTTCCTCTCATTGTGGCCTGATGGTGAGCTGCCGGTATCAAATGTCCATGTCCATGTTCATGTCCATTTCCATTTCCATTTCCATGTCGACGTCCAGCTGCCCTTTACCAAGTTCACAGAGGTTGCAACGATGATTGTTACAGTCGGTACAAACTTTGCTCAATGCAAGATTATACGGAACGTAGCACTGACAGCAAACGATAAACTCTGCCAACTCTGCCGTAGGTTTGCCTGGCCTCCGTTTCTGACTGTGATCATGTGGTGTTTTGTTTGTTTTATGGTCTTGCAACGGAGCTTGCGTTAGAGTCTTTGGTTGACGCGTTGAGATTGTCCCGCGCATTTGCTGATCCCATCCAGCGCCTGCTGAATACTGAGAGTGACGAGGTACATTTGAGTTCGCGTCAACAGAACACAATTGTTGATTGGGCTTCATATCGCTTTGAGACTGTGGCGAGGGGGACGAGAAAAGGGAGGAGGCCGATGATGGTGGTGATGGTGATGGTGATTCCTGATCCCTGGTGCTTTGATGTTGGTCATCATCATTACGGGCTTCGGCATCGCGGTTGTTATTGTCCACGTCTTTGGCCGTTGAACAAGCTTTTGCTTTGATCATCTCTTGAATCTGTGCCTTTGTGTTGCCACGGCCGCTAAACTCTGTCCAATCTTGCCAGTCCTCTCCTTTGAAATGAGTTGCAATATGGTCAAACCGGAAGGCGATAGCCTCAACGCCTCGCAGTTCTGGCTTAAGGACAATGATTTTGTTGCAGAACCCGCACCAGATACGACCTTGAAAATTTCTGCTGACACGGTTTTCTGCGGCGATTTGGGTTGCCTGATCTTCTCGTCCAGAGTATTCATGTTCCTCGGCCATATGCTTCACAAGGGCTTCTTGATGGTGATAGAAGACTTTCCCACATTCGGGGTCGTTGCATCTCCAGCTATCCTCCTGCTCATGTTGGCTCTGCTCATGTCTTTTCCAATCATTCTTAGACCCGAAGGATTTGAAACAGCCATCAAAGGTGCAACCAAAACGTCTCTGATGGCGTAAAATATGTTTCTTGAGTTCACTATGTCTCTTGGTTGTCTTTCCACAGTTCGGGAAATGACATTGAAACACGGTTGCGGTGGGCTTCGATGGTGCTGAAGCTGAGGTTGCGCCAGGTTGACAAGCGGAAGAACTGCCACCATTGGTCATGTCGTCCAAGGAGCGCAATGTTTGTCTGAAACGTTTGACGAAATCTTCTTGGCTGAAAGACCTGTCACTGTCTGCTCTAGCCGTGAACTTCTTCAAAAAGTCCTGAATATCGTTTTCGAGGACCTGGCCCCAAGCCTGGAATTGCTTTTGATCGTCATCCGGGGGATGCACTTTGATGCTGGGACTTCGAAGTTGTATGTCGCCAACATTTCCACTCAAGTCGGGAAGAATTTCATCCTGTCGGGAGGAAAAAACGTCTATGTTTGAAGAGATTGGAGATGCATCAAAGTCCAACATCCGATTGATGTCCAGAGCAGGATTGGGGGTGGTGTATGCTCTGAATCGTGACTGAGGAGCATTCAAAGGAGTTGGTCCAGGGATTGAACCCGAGATGCTGAAATCCCATGAATCGCCCGCTAGAGGTTCATAGCTCGCGCTTGAATCTTGTCGTATAAGTCCGTACTGAGTCACAGCAGGTTGCGAAGTTTCCATGTGGGACAGAGTGCGTTTCATTGGGAAGCCTTGCGACAAATTTTTCGCCTGGAATCCTGTATGTGGCACGTGAAGGCGATGCAGCCCGGATACTGGATCCGGGGTTGAACACCGTCGAATTCGACGATTTGGTCCGTGACCGGTGGGAGTGAGTGATGGATCGATCGGCATGTTTAGGAATGAGGGATTGTTTATAAAATTGCGCTGCTGAAACAGTCCGAAGGGGTCTGATAGTTCATTGATGGATCTTGGATGGCCGACCGATCTAGTCTCGGACGACACATGCAACGCTTGCCGTTGTGATTCAAACCATGTGTCAGACCTTCCTCGAAGTCAGTTTCGGGTCTTCAAATGAACTGACTGTACCTACATTCGGATCAAGTCGTCTTGGTCCTCGTTTGGGTGCATTGTTTTGAGATGGTGCCTGAAATTGTCGGCACGTGGCCAGATCTTATCGGGTTTCGTGCAACCTTTCGCAAAGCACTTGTAATCCTTGCTTTTTCTGTTGTTGATGTTGTGGACCGACTTAAGATGTCGGTCCAGGTCGTTGGATGTGGGGAAGCCACGTTTTGATCGCTCACAGCCAGGATCTTCACATCTGAATTTTCTCTCGTGCTGGGCTTTGTGTTTACTAGAAGCAGTCAGAGAATGGAAAAGTAATAGTAGAAGAGAAGGGAATGACAAACTTGTACTCGGACTTTGTCCTAGATTGATGATTACACTCAGAGCAACTCCAATTCTGGTGTAGATTTTGGGCTGAGATGGAGCTTCGGTGGCTGTGGTGAGATACTTGGGAAGTGGATATAGACATAGTATCACGAGGCGCGAGACGGATTTGACTGAAGAGGCCTTCTTGGCCAATTTGTTGGGAGGAGGGTAGTGTTGTTTGTTGGCTGGGGGAAATAAAATCCGGTAGCTTCTTCTGGCCTGATGGTTGGGACATCTCACTGGAGGCCCCATATAACCGAGGTGTATAATTTTGGTCCATAGGGACCGCAGCAAAGTCACTCATGGCTTCGTCTTCATGCTTGGAATTTTTGGGCATAGTGAAGTATGTCGAATCTTGAAACGACATCCGGCCACTGGCATTTGATCTTGTCCGGGAGATTCCAGGAAGGGTGGCTTTTTGAGGCGTGGATGGCGGCAACGCTACAGTTTGGTTGACAGACGAGGCAGGAGAGCGTGCTTGATGAGAGATCAACGGGTTCCAGGGTCCAGTAACGCTAGAGACCATTCCTAAGAGCTGGGATGGGTGACTGGTTGCACCACCGAGGTTATCAAATTGAGTAGGAGAGAGAGAAGATCCGGCAAGGGAGGACGACAAGGCCAGGTCGGTTGTATCTTTCTGAAACAAATGGTCACTGTGGGCAGCTTGGTCATACGATGACAAGTCAAGATAAGAATCATTTGCGGAATCGTGAAAGGAGATGTCGCCGTCGTGATCTTGGTTGGACCCGACAGCGAACGAAGACGTCTTCAAATCAGTCAAAGCATGGTCTGAATCAAACGATGGGTAGCCCGCCGCGGCTCCACCAGCGTGAGATATACTGAGACTGGCCTGGGATATAGATTAGAGAAAGCGCATTGATGTGAATTTGGGGGGGCAGTGCGAGGCACCATGCCTTACCATTCGTGGCTGGCGTTTGCGGCGGCCATTGTTATAAGCAGGCATTCCAGCCATTGACGATGAGGTGACAAGACCCAGAGCGAGAGAGCCTAGGTATATGAGCACCAAGGTCCCGGTCTTGTATGGAAAAGTGAGGCAATGTCGCCTTAGTAGAATACAAAGTTCATTCTACTTGCATATGGAGACCAAGGCAAGATTTTTGACGACGACGGAGAAGACGTCAATCGTGTATGGGTAGAAGGAGGTCCGAGGTTGGAGTCTGGAACTTTGGTCGAGGTTGATAGAAGCACAGCCTTCGTAAAGAGACGGCACGGCTGGTTGGATCCGCGAGCCAATCGAATAACGAGGACCAATGAGGCAGGTTTGGCTGCCTGATGCGCTTTGCCTTACACACGAGAGAAGTGAGGCGGTGTCTAAAGACCTTTAGCATGGGCGCAGGAGCCGATAAAGGGCCGTGAATAGAGGTGTTCTTGGGGCAAAAGGCATTGATGACCATGAATACGACGAGAAAGGAGGTTAAGAGAGGGCAAAAGAGTGTGATAGACAGAAGGGACTGAGCATTGGAGGGGTGGATGAGGGGGCGGTGCAGAAGCACCTGGAGGAAGTCGTGACTCACCAATACCATGTATGACATTGACCAGGTAGACAATCACCAGATGTTCAGGTTGCAGAGACAGAGATGGACCATGTAGAACCAAGGATTGCCTGTGGTTGATGGGAAATGAGTAAAGAAAAGGTCGGTGGGAATTGAAAGGCAGCGGGTGTGAGTGGGAGTTGATATCAAGAGATGAAGGAGTGGGAACTGCTTCTGGGGAGTCAGAGGCTAGCCAAGGTAACGACTTGTCTTCGGGGAAAGAACGACGTTGTAACAGGCTTAGGCATCAAGTTTGGTACCTGACCAGATGCACCAGAACCAACAGTAGAATTGTAGCTCCCAAGTACGGTACCTTTGGAAGTTGTTCACTACAAAAGGTCCGTAAGGCCACAAGGCCAACTGTAAGGCGACTAAAACTACGTACTTTCCCAGAAGAAGTGGGAGAGGTTCAACTTGCTCCTTCCGGTAAAGCGGTGGTAATGGAACGTTACGGGCCCGAAACTTTGGCATCTGCTGCCTGGCTGCCTGGTCCCATGATCTCAAGCTCGTGGCCCCGCGAACAATACCACAAATTGGCCAGTGAAACGGCCCAAATCTCCCACTCTTTGCCTGGTCCTTGCTGTTTTTGGACCAATGCGACTCACCGGTTGCCTGTATCTTTCATCTTCCAACTTTCACCCAGATTACCATCCCTTGGTATCCGTGACAGTAACGAGCCCTGTGGTTCCCGCATTCTGGGTACCAAAGAGCCTCCAAGATAAAGGGTTGAAGGGCCGAGGGGGCCGAGGGGCTATGTCCAGCCGCCCGCCCGCCAGACAGGAGTCACCAGAATTGACTTCATAATTCACCTGTCATGTGATGAATGTACCTACCTTCCTTGTGACCATGGAGGAACTGACGATCAATATCCATACTGACGTTATTCATCATTCATGGAACCGCGGCACAGATAAGCTGCCATTTGGGCTGTCACTATGGAGTACTGTTGGGTTTGTAGCAACGTTGGCCAGTCACCTCGCCTTGTCTATCACGTGGTGTTCTGACATTCCACACACACAACATAAGGTATCCACAGATTGTTGCATCCTACGATCATGGCGAGGTAACTACAACCGACAGAGCCTCATCTCCCACGACATCGGAGCACTCGATGCTTATGCAGCAGTGAATTTTGGTGGTATCAGCTTCCGAACTACTGAGTAATTATCTCGGCTCGCCTTTGGGGGCCAAAAGGACTTCTCACACAAAGGCGAATGGGTATCATAATTAGCTTTCATACATTTCTCGTCATACATCATAAAAATGGAGATGCGTCTTCCTCATATCCTGCCATATCTCGCCTCACTTCGGGGATAAATCCTAGCCCCACAACTCTACCGGCGAGGCCCCAAACATCATCCATATGGCATATGTTGTCTTCGTCCAACGCCGCCCGTTGCTCCGTAAACCTGTTGATGCGGCATGTGATTCATTGACTGAAGCCCCAGACCTGATTGTGGATCCAACCCCAAAGCCGACTGTCCATCTTGCAACAATTGCGAAGGATAAGGAATGGTGTACATTGTTTGAAGCTGTTCTTGTGCATACGTGACATTCGGGTTAAAGTACGCGCCGGATTGTCCCTGCGTCATTGGCTGTGACCGCGGTGTCACAAAGTGTCCATGCGGAGAGACGCTGTGCTCGTTGCTGCTTCGGACCGGGCTCGGTGTGTAGTCGATACTCGGTCCGTAAAGTTGATTTCCATCCTGGTACATCTGGCCTCCAGGATACGGGGCAAAGTCCATCCCTGTGATCGGGACATTGTAGTAACCGGCGGCCATCCCGTGGTTGTCACTGTGACTTCTTCCGTGCATCGAAGTCGGAGAGTGTCCGGCTGAGGAATTCTGATAGACCGACGCACTGGTCGGGTAAGGTGAAAGGTTATGCATGTCGTTGCTCGTTTGTGTCATAGCCACGTGTCCAGAAGGAAAGCCCTTAGTCTGTTCGATGGGACTGATAATGGTATCCGCACCCACCTGCGCCATCCGTACCAATTCGAGGATTGGCATGGCAATTTGCTCCATGTGTTTCGCCATATGAACAGATAGTTTTTTGAATGTCGGGCAAACGTTGCCGCAAAACCGGCACGGTTCTTCTCGTGCCTGTTTCGTGGTCTCAAAACGGCAAGAATCGATCATTTTCCACGTTTCGGCGTCCTCCAGTTCTGCTCGGTTACGTACTGCTTTGTTCTTGCTGCTCCCGGATGCGCGACTCTTCGGCTCTTTCATCTTGTGCTCGCGCACAAGGTGTTGGACAAAATTGTCTTTGCGGAAGCATCGATGGGAGCAACCATCATGACGACATTCCCACCACTCAAGGTGTCGGTGCCGTTCATTCTCATGGCGAACCCAGTCGGCCTTTCGCTTGAAGGACTTGGATTCGGTGCAATTGGGAAAGGTGCAGGAGAATGGCTGCACATCTTCATGCACATGCTTGGTCCAATCCGAAGGCTTTTGAAAACCACCCTGCTTCACCCTGAAGCACAGCTGGCATTCAAATGCTGCGGGTAGCCTTTTGACAGGGGGCAAAGGTATCCCGGAAGGGAAAAGGGCTGGGGTGACTATCCCATCAGCACTTTCTGCGTCATCAATGCCATTGGCACCTGATGCGTTAACTTGAAATTGCGTTAGTGTGGTCTCTGGATCTTTGGAGCTCACGCGAGGACTGAGCTGAACTGCCTCTCCACCGAGCTGGAAGCAGTATTTCCCGGAAGTACACTTTTGTGTAGTTTGCACAGCCTTGATATGCTTGACTTTGGCATCCAGCAAGTTCTTGTACCGCCGCAGTTGTTCCTGACCAATGCGTTCAATCAAAAAAGGCTCAAGTCGAGGATTGAGCTTGCGAGCATGGCCTTTGAATCCCTCAAGGGTCGGCTCAATCTCCTCGGCACGTACTTCAAGATCCATGCGGATGGCGGTGTCGTCCGCCTGTTCATCATCTTCATCATCGATCTGGGCGTCCTCATTGTCAATGACTTGAGCAGCCAAGATTGATTCCCGTTCGTGCATGGGAGAAGCCAAAGTAGGAACGGGGGGGCCTCCATGGATTGTCATCAACTCCGCCAAACCCAAGGTTGTTGACTTTTTGTTCGACACATCGCTCTTGCTGCGATGCTTTCTCAACGATTGGAGCGGCCTTCCACTTTTGACGAAGTTGGCGCTGCCGCTGTTAAGCGGAGGAGACATGGGGTTGCTATAGCTGCCATTTCGTGGTAACGACTTGACGGTACTCACAGAGCCATTGTGAGCGTGGCCAGGGCTTATTTTCACGTCTTCCCCGTGGGGCAGCTCTGCTTTGATATTACTGCTGCTGCGGCGCGGTAGGAGACCCCGAGCTTTGCTCAAGAAGCTGCTTGTACGATCACGTCCACGTTTGGATAATGAAGGATGGCGAACTTTGCTTCCATCGACAACCGCGTTGATGTCGGTTTCACTCAATCGACGACGGGTACCCCACGTAGCTGCTCTGGAAGCGGACTCCCATTTAACCGCCTCCTGATTGAATTTGTAGGCAGCTGCATTTGAAGATGTCGGTTGAGTCTTTTCATTGCTGATGCCGGCACTGGCAGGATCTTGCCAAGGAGCTCGCCGAACAAATTGACGGGGAAGAGGCTCCTGCAATTCAGGAGGAAGATCGGTCTCTAGGGTTGGAAATGAAGTCTGCTCAGGCGAGTTGACAGCTTGGAGCTCATCATCTGCATAAGGTGCAGCTTGATCCTGCTCACGATATTCGTCTACAGCCAGCTTCGTTATGGCGTCGAGCGCGGAGGATGTGGCTGAGACACTGTCGAGATCTTCATCGTCACTATCCACTTCGAGGAGAAGTCCTGGGCCAGGAATATCAGGGTAGGTGTTAAATCCTGACAGTTGATGAAGGTTTGGCGTAATGTTGCCTCTTGCTGAGCCGGCACGAGAGCGAGATCGCTGACGGCTGATAGTGGAAGAAATATTGTCACCAGCGTCGTCTCTAGGCTCACTCTTGGACAGCCAGGTCACCACGTCTGCTTTCTTTTCCTGTAGTTCGCGCTCCAGCTCCAATTCTTTGAAAGAGGAGACTATTTCGTCGGTTCTTTGAGAGGGGTCTTGTCCCAGTCTTTCAGATGTGATTGGAATCGACCGAAGGGTCCCGACGTCACTCAGATCCGGGGGCATCAAATGTGCCGGAGAGAGATCTCCGCTGTTATATTGGCCATCCAAAAGCTCCTCGCCATCGTCATCATCAGGCGAATCACTGTCCCGGTGACGCTTGGTAGCGGAATACGGTTTGTGAGAGAGGTAGTCATTTCCTTCGGAGGGCTCATAGCTCGAAATCGTGACGGTGGGGCCCGAGACTGAGAATCTATGCTCTGATTGGGATTGTTGAGATGGGCGGACTTGCTGACGGGGCGAGAGATGGTTATTTGGTGAGGTATTGACAGTTAACGCCTGTGAATGTCTCTTATGTTGGTGGCTGGCACATGAATCGGTCGGAGGCATGCTCTGGGGAGTGATTACTCCTGAGGGTGGGTCATTCGGTTCGTAGCCCATTATATTCGTGTTAGAATATTCTTTCTGGAATTGGTCCTCCATATCAAAAGCAGCATGAAGGTCGGATCCTGCAGCTGGTGCGTGGGCATAATCATTGATTCTGTCGCTATATGGATCAAAGACTTGAGGTTGGGAATTGCCTTGTGCCATGAATTCTCGCTCCCAGATCAGCTCCTGAGGGGTAGTATGTTCACTCAGAGGATTCTCGGAAGAGCCTGCTGTGGTGAGGAAATCGTCGAAAGAAGGGTCGTGCTGAGAAAAGCCGTCGCCAGAGCCGTATATTGGCATCCAGTCGTCCTGGACCTGGAAGGAGGGCGCGTCGGGCCGATCACTACTATCCCAAGCTGTAGTGCTTCCCCTTGAGGCGTTGACTGGGTCTAGTTGCAACAACGGGTTAGATGTAACATTTGAACTGGGGTTGGGATGGCCTTTGGCAGACCTGTTTCCAGACTGGGTTGAAGGGTCCAAGTACGAATGCTGTAGAGTGGATGGTGATGAAGCGATGTGACTTGGGGACACGGCATGACGAGGCCCTTGGGGCTTGAAAGTCATTTTGTCCAAGGGTGTCTGTTGCCCGGAAGATAAGAGGAGTTGTCAGAAGCTGTCCTACACGACAAAGCAAATCCAGTCCGAGCAGGCAAACAGACGTCAAGGGTAGTATCGCATTGCCTGAAATTGGAGTTGGTCGCGGGTGGCTGTGCAGATAGATGTCTGATAGTGAGGCAGGCGCACTTTTGGTCAGTGGTGAAGGTGACCTTGGATGCTGCAGGGCGACGTGATGCTGGAGACTTGTCGGATATACGAATAAGCCAGATGCAGCGAGACTGGTGTGGTGCTATGGAGAGAGTAGTGAGAACAAGGATGGAATTGGCTAGAGGTATCACACAACGATGACTAGTAGCGGGTTGGCGATGAACACGACAGTTGCGACGAACCAGCCTCCTTTGAATTGGACTGAATGCTGTACACCGTTGACAACTGTCGGTGTACACGATGCTTGGGAAGCAGTGAGGTTGAATGATAGCTCGAGAGAAGTCGATGGTGGGGTGGTTGGGGAGATTCAAGTCAACCTGCACAGTGATCGATTGAAGGCGACAGCGACGACAATGACAATGGGTTTCGTTTCGTTCGACGAGGGAAAGATTTGTTAACGTTTGCAGATGAATTGCAGGGCGGCGTAGTTGGGTTGACTGATGATCAGAGTTGGAACAGTGGTTTCAAAAGGTTGGAAGCAGCCTGATCAGATCAAAGGACTGGGCACCGCTTGTTGAAATTGCCCGGACATTGAACAAGGCGTGGCGCATGTAAGTTGAAGACTTGTGCAGATAGAGTTGCCAGAGAACGTCGTGAGAAGTGGTAAATGGTGTAGTTTGGCGACGTAAAAGACGAAAGAGGCTCGGTAACAGCCAGCTGTTTGAAGAAACAAGAGGTCGTGGAAGTGGAAGTGGAGAGGAAGTGACAACAAGTCAGTCTGAGTTTGTCTTGGAAGCGTTAAGCGTCAAGCATCAAGCACGAGGATGGAGGAGGGAGGAGGGAAGTGTGACACAGCCGCAGGTGCAGGTTGCTTGAGAGATACCAAGTCTTCTGTCGCCTATAGCCTGTGGCCTGTAGGGTTCCTCGGCCCAGGGGTGCGCCTAATAACTCGACAATTGCTTGAAAGTTGACTGACCCCTCGACCCTCACGATCCTCCTGTGTGTACCAGTGCGTACCACTGACCTCAGACTTCGATCAACTTCAGCTCCAGTGGCTCCCCACTGGCACTAAGCTGGGGGGTTTTGGGTCACTACCTCTACTTAGGTAAGGTACTAAGCCACCTACACGGTAAAGAGATACGCCTAGTCGCTCGGCCGAGGCTCCACCCTGTGAGCGACGTCGGTCTTGGGGAAGCCGTGGATACCTCTCTCGCCCTATAAGATTTCCCGTGCTTTAGGCGCGGCTACGCGAGGGATTGGCACTAACTACCAGTACCTACTCCGGACTCACATACTGTACTTAGCCACAGCTGGGGATTCTCAACGACCTGTCGTAGTGGGTGTAGATTATTGTACATCATTATTATTGGGGCAGTCTAACCGGTGAAGGAGAGTCCGGATGGCATATTCAAGTTCGAACAACACGTACTGTAGATAGCGACTATGACTACCTTAAGAAGTGTGCCATAAAAGAGAGCAATACCTTAATACTGCAGTGGCTCGTCTTTGATGAACCTGAACTTCTCCCCAAGGTCGGCCTAGCCGCTTCGGCAACCACGATGGAAGTATCAGCCCTGAGAAATGTCAACAAGGCATTGTGATGATGGGAGGCATTCTTTTTAGCGTGGCAGAAACAGGACGATGCTTCCATGTCGATTGACGTATGGTGGGCCTTTTGTTTCTTGAAGCGCTCAGGCAGAATTTTGACATTTGGACAGTGGAGAGGCACGAGAGGCACGAGAGGGCACACAGGGACAGTGGGCTCGAGTGGAGGGGCAGCACGGGCGGACAAGCCCCGAGACTTGAACTTCAAGCGTCTCTCCGCAGGCCGCACAGCCTCGAATCAGCCTTGCGGATGGATGCATGCAGCCACCAACCATGGCCCAATCATACCCAAAGAGCCACCCCTCACATGGGGAATCCCCTTCCATAGGCGAGCCTAAAATCTCCCATGGCTGACTCGTGGCAGATTCCATCCAGATATGACCTCAGCGTGTGGATCCGCCCCAGGAGGTTGCTGATGGCATTATGTGACGGATTGGGTACGGATTGATAAACGATCATCATGTCAACGGCACCTGATATTTCCAAAAAAAACCAAAATCCGCGGAATCAGCCCTGTAGGCATACAGCCCGTCAAACATATGAATTAGGTAGGTCCCTATTGGTGATAGTACAGAAATGCCTCTACTCTAAACAAACACAATGCAATGCAATGCAGGTACTTTTCCCACCCTGAAAGCACCTGACTCACTCGACCCATGCTGTAACCTTCCAAGTTTCCACTTTCATTCGCCCTGCTCTCCTTTGGCATTGACATCGACCTGCCCCAGAGACTGCAGCAGACTGTCCATCCGTTCGCTCTCTCGTTGCCATTCAATCTGCTTGTTTCTCATACTCTGCATTGCTTGAGACAGCTCCATGTGATGCCGATTGGCCCTGTCGTGCCGCGTCTTCAATTGCTGGAAGCCTTGTTGACTCTTTGCAAACTCATCTTTGACAGCGGTATGCAATGCTCTTTCCTTGTCCAGTTCTTTCTCAACAGAGAGGCTTCTTCCCTGAGCCGTCTCAAGTTTATCCTGTAACATTCGCTGCCGATTCTCATGTGTTTCAGTTAGAGCAGCAATCTCTGCCTGCTTGTCCTTCCGTTCTTTTTCAAGCCTTCCGTCGAATGATCGCTTCAGGTCCTGGATCATATCTTCACGCCTCACAATTGAACGGGCCAGTTTTTCAGACCACAATGCAACTTCTTGATCATGTCGTGTCATTATCTCGTCGATCGTTTGCTGATACGCCGCCAGCTCTCTCTGATGTTCTTGTGCTGCTGCTTCCATCGCCTCATCTTTGGCAGTTTTCTCTCCCTCAAGCGCCGTGATGATGGCCCGTGATGTTTCCAGATCCTTATTCTGTGATGTGTGTTTGGTGATCATGGCGGCAAGATCCAGTTGGACTCTAGCCAGTGCCGCTTTGTGCTCTGCTGTGGCATTCGCATGTGCTTCTTCTCCTTCAGATAGACGCCGTTCGTAGTCCTCTTTGATTTCCGCCACAATCCGCTCATGTGCTGCAGCATCGCTGGCAATCTGCTCGTTGAGTGTGTTGAGCTTGTCCTCAACCAGTCCTCTCTGCACATTGGCATCCTCTGCGAAGGCTTTCGATTGCTCCAGCTGAAACTCCACCTCTTGTACCCTGGCCTCCAACGCCACAGATCTTGTCTTCTCGGATTCTATATCATAAACCTGCCGCATCAGATGCTCAATCTTTTTTTCTTGCTCCGACACCAACGTTTTGAGATTGACACTCTCAGCAGCTTGTAGCCCAAGTAATTTGTCGTACTCTTCCTTGGTAATGCTCAACTCCAACTTCAACTTGCCTATCTCTTCTATGTGTTGTGACTCAGCCTGCTTGACCAGATTGTCTTTCTCTGTCAGGAGGCCCTGTGTCTCTTGGTACTGTAACAAAAGACGGTTGATATCAGGAAGGACACTGGACACCTTCTCTAGAAGCCGGTCCCGCTCTTCATCTACATCACCTGACACCGGTCTCGGTATCATTTCAGGTGGGTACATGGGAAAGCCCGGTGGGCCATACATGGGTAGACCCACTGAAGGATCATATACTGGGCCTCCCACCATTGGCGGTGGATAAGCGAAAGGTGGAGGGTATTGCATTGTTGACGGAGGTGGCGGAGGACCATATTGGTGTATGATTGGAGACTGTGTTGGCGGCAATGGGGGGCTCTGGGCAAAGGCCGGGGCATAGTGCTGCATAAAAGGAGAGCCCGGTGCCGATGTAATAGGGCTTCGACCAGTGGGAAATTGCTCTGGGTGCGTGGTAGTCGGCCGTGCAATCGATGGCGCCCTCGGCGCCACGGGATTGGAGATGCCACTCTCGCTCAGATGTGCCCAGGGGCTACCGGCTCTTGCAGGCTGTAAAAGAGGTATCGACGCCTTGGGCGCTGGAGCCAACAGCAACTCATCAATAGACGACTCTGAAGCTCGCGGGTCCTTCGTAGTGGGGTTTGTCTGAGGGGTCTGGTAAAACGCAGCCACGGGAACTTCTTCAGGAAACGAGCCGGGTACCAAAGCAGGCTGTTGATCGACGGTAAGGACTGGGTCTTCTGGTTTCTGGTCCTGCTGTTCCCGTGCGGGTTTGTCTTCAACCTTCTCGTCACTTTCTTCTGTCACCGTGGGTTGCATCGCAGCGACAGATCGAAAGGATCGAGTGGTGCTAGTCGAGAGCGGAGGTGAAGAAGCCTTCGAGTTTGTAGACGCTTGAGATGCCCATTCTTGCCGGTTGCCGTCTATTTCAACATGGGCAGACTCCGTCTGGCGTTCTCCAGGCTGTGGCAAGGACATGCCTGCAATGGTCGCGGCTGAGAGCCCCCTTTCTCGTGAAAGAGGGTCAGCAGGTACTGACGCTTGCCTTTTACGCGCCTGAGGCTCCACGATGTGTGCTCTGGAACCCACTTCTGTGTCCGAGACCCTCGCGTCGATGGTTTTGTTTCGATGAAGATAGATGGCGGGTGAACCGGGTCGGCTGTTTCTGGGCACCGACAACTCATCCAGGGCTCTCGACAAAGTCTTGGATAGTCTCAACGAGGCTGAACTGGTCGCCCGGCTTCGTGCGGGTTTGTCGAGTGTTTCTCCTTGGCTTCCTCGACGACCACGAGGTTTCGCGTTGGTTTGGTACATCGTAGTCGACATTTGCTCCAAATTTGTGAGGACCAATAATGGTTTGAGAATGGTATTGTAGTGTTCTATGTCGGGAACTGTGAATACGACACAGTCTATCGTCGTGGCTGTGTAAGTGCTGTGTTAATGGTTCGTTCGTGGACATACTCGATGAGATGTAGGCAACGAAGTGTAAAGGCTTCACAGTAATTGAATGCAGAGTTTGAAAGATGTAATGTATTGAGGTAGATAAAACAAGGAAAAGAGAGACCTAGCCTTTTGGGCCCGACAGCTCGCAAGCTATAAAGGCCGCATTGCAGAAAAACATCTTACGACAGAGAAGGTTAGCAGGCAGGGGTCTGGGAGATGTTGCTGCCCAACCAGGGACAGGGGCCGTTGCCTGCATCATTTTAGCAGCACAAAATCCACTGCAGGAACAGAAGTTCCTTGGTTATGGGACGATGACAGAATCAGTACAGAATCACGCCGGGCGAGATGCGTGGCCAAAGGCGATTGGTTTGTGATGGTCGTGTAAACCAGATATTCTCATCATGGGAGAATGAGAGGAAGACAAATCCATGTTCTGCAGGAGCGAGACTGGCTATCCCAAAATAGTTTAGTGCCCAAAAGTCTTGGCGGGAGGACAAGCTTGGGAACCTCATCCAAAGACCATCAAGTCGATGAACCACGAGGCTAGGGTCGCAGTCAAGATCACGAGCAATCACCCTTGCAGCCTCAAGACACCATCATGTCGTCCGTCTCAAGAGGGGCAAGAGCAGTCGCTCGTCCCTTGAGGCAACACTTTCAACGCACCCCTCGAAGATACGCCTCGGATCATGCTAGTCATGGCCACGGCCACGGCGCTGGCCATGGAGAAAGCGCATTCCACGCCGAATCAGGTCCCGCGACTGAGTCCTTTGGGGTGAGCAAACATAAGAAATTCCTGCAGAGCGATCGAATTGATGGATATTAACCACGCATGCAGAGGGGTTTCTACATTTCGATCGCTTCCATCCCAATCTTCTACGTCCTTTATTCGGTGGCTTCGTCGCCCAAAGACAACGTTATTTCACGGCTGATTAAGACCTTCGAGACGAGTCAGGAGGAAGAGAGCAGAAAAAATGTGATCCATACCACCATGATGGAACAAGCCGCTGCCGACAGACAACTGTTTGCAGGAAGTCCCCGTGACACCACCGGTTCACCCATGCGATACCCAGAGTATGTTCACGACAGAGAGAAGCCCAGACACCTGCAATGCAGTACCTTAGCAAATTAACTAACTTTCGTGTCTCCAGGGCCTTCAATGTCAGGTCGCCATGGAACGTCGCCGCCGGGCGGGACTCAGTCGACTTGTCTGCATTGACCGCTCATTATAAAGAGCAGGATAGACTTCAAGAGGAGGCGAGGGTGTCTAGACTCAAAGACGGCAAGGTTGTGACCGCCTATGATTAAGATATACCGGATAGGAAACGTGAAAAATCCACATTATTGTACATAGCCAAACGAAAGAGCATGTGAATCACAACCAGAATACACTGTTTACTGCGCAACATCTATCTGAGGTTTGGAATACCTTGTCATACTCGAAAGTGAGCTACAAATTCTGCTTGGGGCCTTGGCCTGGCTCTCCGATGAGCGTCAAGAAGGCATTGTGTACCTCTTCGGTGAGATCGCTTGCTTGTAGACTGCGCTGTCTCTTCTCGAACGCACGCCGGGAGCATTCCCTTGTGATGGCACTTCCGCCAAACGCCGCAACAAGGAGGGTTTCCTCTCGACTCAGCTTGTCCCCTTCAATGTCCCAAAGCCCCTCGTGGTAGATTTGACGCCAAGCGAGAAACGTGCCTAGCGACCCTGTCAATGTGTCGCCCTGGCCACCTGCTCTCTTCAAACCACCCTGGAAATCCGAGATCGTAGTCTGGGTGCCTTGGGAAATATAGTCGACGGCGCCCTTCTGGATGATACAAACTCCACCGAGAATTTTGGAAAGCTCCTGACATGCCTTCTCCGGGTCAGAATTCTGATGATCTAGCCCAACGGCTTTAGCGAGCCTGCCAAATTCCACCACGTTAGGAGTCAAGATACATTCCTTGTGACCTTTGATGATGTCGGGATCTGTTTGAACGAGCCAGAGGGCATCCGCGTCAAGGACCATGGGTACAGGGGGATCATGTTTTCTGGCGGCCTGGATCACGGCCTTGACTTGCTTCTGAGTGACTGTGTCTCGCCCCAAGCCTGGTCCGATAACCAGCACGTGTAGACGGGGAAGCATATCCAGGATCGGCTTGGCGAGCTCCTCACCAGACGCATCCTTGTCTTTCTGGGCTGGCGAAATCGAGGCAGTCGACCTCAAAATCGGCGAGACCATCAGGTTTGGTGAGTAGGACTTGATCGTAGGGGCCGCCGAAGGCTCACAGAAGACATATGACAAGTCGCAGCCAAGTCGAGCCGATGCCATGGCAGAGAAATACGGTGCTCCCGTGTAATCGGCACTGCCGCCGATGACGGCCACTCGTCCAAGCTGGCCTTTGTGGAACTTTTCCAACATGGGAGGCACAATCTGGCGGACTTTGGCCAGCATAGCGCGCGAGGCGGTAGACATGTTGGCCGTGGCAGGATCTGATCCGGAACTCATCAAGTCAGAGTTAGGAGGCGATCAGCAAAGTGGACGAGATAGTGGGTAGAGAAGGATATGCAAATCAATAACTGATATCCAAAGTGGAAGTATAACACTTGACAGAGAATCCTGCAATGCTGCGATAGATGGTCAGATAATCGGAGGCAAGGATGCGGTCCAAGGTGATGTCAGAGCAGCGTTGAGTTCGCGTCACGGTGCAGGACTGTGGTCATCCCCAAGATGAGCATCACATGTAGGGAACCCGACTATCAAACGAAGATGTGAGGACACTGGGACCAATGTCTCTTGTTTGCGGTTGACTTGAAACACCGCATCAACATCAATGCTAGGTGAGTAAAGAACTGGTAAAGGTTAGGCAAAGATTCGATGAATTGCGGAGTGGTCGAGAGGCCAAGGCTGACCGGAAGAGGCTCCAGCCAATCATGATGGCGTAATTTCAGCCTCGTGGCATGATATCAAACCCAAACTGAGATACACTAGCTTCTTAACGTAGATTGTATTCTAGTCCCTTGATCCAGAGAGGAGCCAGAGAAGATCTACGGACGAGTCTCGAGCCCTATATTTAGAGATAATGCATGGCAACTAACGGTCGCTGAAGTGGACCCGCAGCCCTTCTATGCCTTTGAAGCAAGCTCGACATATCGTCCGACCGCGTCTTGGACTTGCTGCTCAAAAGGCTTGTATTTGAAACCAAATACCTTTTCGGTCTCGCTGGCATCAAATGGCACTTTCACCGAGGGCTGAGCTCCAGTCGTGTGCAGTATACCATTCGCAATTGAATCAGGAAACTTGTCCTTGACGATATCTATGGCATCATCCCAGACAATTCCACTGGGACCATTGAAGTTGAGACCAAAGTTTTGATGCCCATCAAGCTCCTGGGTCAATGCAGCAATGTGCACAAAGGCCACGTCATCGAGGTGAACTGTCATAGCCGGCAGCGCGTCAACGTCTGTCCCTTGGACAAACCGTCTCAGGAGTTGGCCGTTGGAGCCACCTGCGGCCTCTGACGGCGTTTCTGCATGTGTATCTGCACCGAGAACAAAGGTAGGCATCAAATTGATGATGGCGAAGTGCGGTGTCTCTTTGGCGATAAAGTCCAGGGTGCGATTCAAGGCTAGCTTCTTGCTTGCAGAATATGCAATGGCAGCGTCCTGGTACGGTCCTTTTGTATCGGGACGGATAGTGTTAGCGTTGAAGACTTGGGTCATTGGTGTTTTGTACCAGTCTTCAGGGAACACAGCGACAACAGATGAGGTTATAACGACACGCTTGATTGTTGGTTGTTTGAGAGCCGAGTAGAGAATACTCAAGGTGCCATGGATGGCTGGCAAGACCAGGCTTTGTTCCCAATCGGTGGATATTTCGGCCTTGGGGAGAGGAGATGCAAGGTGAACAATGTATTGCACGCCCTTAACGGCCTCGTCGAAAGCGCCATCTTTAGTGATGTCTGGAACGACGACGAACGAGAGCTGGGAGAGAAAGGGCTGGATTGTCTTTGCGGTCGTAATCGACGTGATCTTGTCCTCTGATCGAACTGCCGCTCGGACATTATATCCTTTGGATAGAGCTTCGATCAAGGTGTGAAAGCCAACGAAACCCGTGGCACCCGTGAAAAGAATCAAGCTGCTAGACATTGTGGTTTGCATGGGCCCCCTTGAGCCAAGCTGTGTTTGCCCTGTTGTTAGCTAGAAGTTTGAGAGGCATGGGCAAGGGGGCTGCGATAGAGGCACTCTAATATAGACATAGACCTGAACGCCAGCGGGAAAACATTAAGCTAATTCTCACAAACCAAACCCACCCATCACGTCCGAGAGCTCGGCCGAAGCGATTGCATCTCACCTCGAGTAGAGTTACCGTAGCAGAGAAGGTTTTCAGGTTCAAATATGGCAATATAAATTTCAGACCAGTCAAGGTACGAGAGTTGCATAGATAGGAATTCTCGGAGCAAGTCGGTCACCTATGCCATGGCGGGTGCTTGCTAGATTGAGGCTTATTAAACAGTGTTTAACAATCGACCAACAAAGGGATACGAAGCAGAGGTGTGATGACTATTGGTAATGTCTTGAGGCGTATAGCAACATGTGATCAATGAGAACGGCTTGTACGGCTAACTTTCCTTCTAGATGTGCTAAAGCCACGAGAAGGACTTTTAGTGTCTACTAGGCGTGGCTAGGTACTCATAAATTTATAGTGTTTCCCTACCAGCCTATCAAGCAGCCCTGGGCGTTTATTGTCAAGTATTCGTGGTCTTTATGATGTACATTTAGTTCCTTGCTAAATGCGGTGCAAAACTACGCGTACAGTCCCTGCGCCCTACATCCAAAGACAATCACCATACTCTCCTCGGTCGACCGGTCGGCGGTCAACATCTACGCCACATGGTAGTCGATTGGCTGAATGAGACGCTGACCTACCGCGGCCGGTCAACATTTCTAATTTGGCGCGTATAGCAGGCCATTACTAAGACAACCTCCTCCGAGTCACCAGACGATGCTAGATCAAGACGAGCTCGACCGCCTACGCGAGTTTCATGCCGCCCACTTCCCGGGTCGTCCCATTCCAGACCTTCCCAAGGTTGACCGAAGCCATCCAACCCAGTCCTCCCCAGAGACGACCGCAGACGAGCATGACAATGCGCCACTGGGCTACTATGACGATGGCACAAAGAGGACATTGACGGACATCCAAGTCAAAATGTTCAGGCACTCGGAGATCCAACGACTGCTACAGGAGAGACGATTGGCCAAAACCCAAAAGCAGAAACATCACACACAACGACGCAACCTCCGCCCCCACCCTGGGGTTGGTTTCAAGTCACGAACTATTGCTCATTCTGATAAGCCGACCTATGCGACAGCCGTGGACACACTTGCATATGACGACGAGCCCACTCCCGAGCCGACCCTTGAGACAGCCGTCGACGCACTTGCAAATGACGACGAGCCCAAGACCAACTCGGCGCTTCTCCATCCTTCTAAAAATAGTGGGCCGGTTTTTCTGTGGCCCCAGATAGCCAACAAGTGAAAACATGCTACAATTCAGTCTCGACATTAGAACCTTATGAGACTGTCAGATACAACGAGATAATCACATTGTGAGTACCGCCTTTGCACATTCAATTTTGATTCTATGATGAACACACGTATCATCCTTAGCCTGAGTGGTATCAAGAACAGCCTCGGCCAAGCCTGATGATTGCTCTTGAATTAGCGCCACCATAATGAACCAATCTTCTCTCTGAACACTTTGTTCTCCTTCTATCTATCTGGATACTTAGACTGGAACTGATATTAACTTTTGTAGCAGGCACATCCCCCCATTGTGTGATTACGATAAGTTCTGCCTATGCTTGATGGCTTTGGTATCCTTGGACGCTTAATCAGACTCATTTGATGCTTCTTCTCCGACTTCATTTGGACCAGTGGTTGTGGTATCCTCGGACGCTTGATCAGACTCATTTGATGCTTCTCCTCCGACTCCATTTGGACCAGTGGTTGTGGCATCCTCGGGCGCTTGATCAACCTCGTTTGGTGCTTCTACCCCGACTCCATTTGGACCAGTAGTCTCGGCGTCCATCTCAATATCCCTATCCAAATTTATCCCCGCAGGATAACTGGTAAGAGGCATGACTGGCCCTCCCCAAGTTCCGGCTTGGCCGACATCCACATCTATGAGCGACCTGGCCATTTCCATTGTCGTCTGATCGGGGCTGTTGCTATGGGCCGCAAGAGATCTCTCCGGGCGTCGAGGGTTATTCTAAAAGAGTCAGCAGGGCGGCCTCGAACATCTGCCATTCATCCATACCTGGGAAGAGGATCGTATGTACTAATATGCAGCAAGGTCTTGTTAGTTGAATACTGTTCGGGTCACTCTTTGGCAATTTGGTCGACTCGAAGCCCACTGCACGATACAACATAGGAATTGATGAACAGACTTGTATTGCTGGACCATGTCCATTTTATACTGTTCATAATCTACACCTTTCAACACACCGCTTTTTTCATGGCTCCATGCTGCCCAAAACCTTTGATCCTGAGGCTGTTAAACGAAAATCTTCTTCCCCGACGCTAATACATGGGATCCCAATTGTTGGCATGGGTCAAAGGGCATCCTATCAGCCTTAGAGCAATTGGCGTGGGCTTATTTTCCCGCTTCCCGGTTCCGCCACCGGTCTCTCCATAAGCGACTCGAGGAGGCCCAAGACTACGGCGTTCATTTGATGGAGGCAGGGCCAGCCTGACAACAGGGATTCTTTTCGAAGCTCTGAGATTCCTCGTTCCCCGTCCCGGCTCGTAGGCTCGGCTCGTGGGCCGTGGGACATCTGTCCAATGAACCATTCTGTTGTCATTTACAAAAAGTTCATCTGCTATAAATGCCAAGGTTTAAGATGGCTCACTCCTTTTCCAACACACGCAGACGCCCCATTGTGTAGTGTTGAAGTATCTGCTTCCCACACTGACTTGGTAGGCCTCGACTGAACAAGGGCGTGTCGGTACCCGTTTTTAAGGTCAACCATTCTTTATGAAACCGCAAGCGCAAGCGAGCCAGTCCATAATCAAATGCTCACTGGGATCATTCTCAAGAGGCGAGGGTCGCTATTGTTCAATTACTTTGATCTAGGCCTTCTCTTATGGAGTTGGATTACGTACCCTCATCGCACGGCTGAGATCATGAGTCAGTGTGCCTGTCCATTTTTATTCTCCTGTTTTGGAATAGGAGAGTGGCCGGATTTACGGTCGCGTTACGCGCCTGCGGCCCCAAAAAATTGAGAAGGGTTTGACATGCAAGCAATACAGCCAGCGGTCCAAGCCTTCTCTCTAGAAGATTCCACATTGCGTAGCTCGAGGCGCCCGTCTACCACCACCTGGTGTCAGCCATGAAACACCTCAGGAGAGACCGACAGGTCGCTCTTGAAGAAGTGGTGGTGTGCAGAGGCTCAAAACCTCCACGATTTGCGATTCCCTGCACTTGCTTGCGTCTCTCCAGTACTACCTTAGTAACCCCTGTACATATGAAATTAATGATAAGGGATATGTGTCCTGCTTCTGCCTTGAAGAATTTGGTCTAGCAAATGCATCGGGGGTATAACGGACCCACTTCTGGATGATCAGAGGCTTTCCGTCAGGTCTTTGCAATCATCGTCGAGCTGGCTTTGGTGCTCGAGCTCCGTCGAAAGAAAGAGTGTGTCTACGAGATCCTGCCCGGGCTGTGAGGGAAAGTGTGAGTGGGAATGAAAAATGAAAACTTGGCAACCTTTCTGTGAAAGTGAATTACTAGCATGGATGAGCACCCAACCTATCAAACACCCTTGGCAAGGCACTTCAGGAGAGGTCTACGTGTGCTGTGCGTGCTGTGCCGTGGCTGCTGTGGTGTGCTGTGGTGTGCTGTGGTGTGCTGAATGGTGAAATCAGTGAATTCTCAACCTTGCAAGAACTTGCGGGTCCGCCCAAGACTGTAGAGTGGTACTGGCTCTCTATTTTCGCTTCTGACGCTCTTTGAGGAGTTAGCTTGGCTTGTAGAGAGGAGGTTGCAGGATAATTGTTAGTTTCTAGAGGAAGGGTTGCAGGAGGTTACATACTTTGACAGAGGACTAGGCAGGCTACAGGTGGTCAACTCTACAGAAGAGGCTGAGACAATCTTGGCCACTGACTTGACCTTGTATGGCATATTAGGGCATTTGTCTTCTTGAACAGACCTAATTGCTTTTTCGAGACCGTATGATGTGTGGTTTCTGACCTACCTGATGGAAGATGTAGTAGTTTTTCAGCCCCCTTGTGTATGTCAGTGCTTTGACAAGCCACAATGTGTCAAATGAAATGTTCCGGGCAGGTTATTCGACCAGGCTACAAACTGAAATGTCACTGTACTTGGTGTGGTAGCTTTTAGGCAGATGCAGGTCCTGCAGCGAGCCTCTCTTGACAAGTACATGTACCTGTATGCTCTGGATGCCTCGCTTATTGCCTCCTGCGCCCTGGTTGCTTGACTACCACCCAACCCCTTTGAATACTTCATCTCCCTGCGCTGGCTGCGCTGCTTGCAACAGCCAATCTGTACCTAGACAGTTGAACACATTTTCATATTAAATCATAAACCCTTACGTGGCCCCTTATCAGATCGATGGCCGGTTTACAATCTTGACAGGCTGGATACACTTCTAGGCCCTTCACCAAGACGCAGACGCTTTTTGATACTCTCCAAATCAAGCGCTCCTCCTTCCGCTGCTCTTTCAACACCTGCCGTCCGTGCAAGATCCTCTTTTTGTCCATCTGGTGTGGGTACCCCTGAAACTTTACTTCAACTCCCTCAGACTAACGTCCGTCCAGTTGGTGGTGATCTTGAAGCCTCCTTGAAGCCTTACTTCACCTCCCACGTCCCAACAAACAAGTATTCCATGCATGTGGAAGACTCAAAGTGGCAAAAAACAAAAAAAGCTCAATTCCGACGCCGGGATTTGAACCCGAGGCTTCTGTGAATATCAAGAGTGATATGAGAAACAGAGATGTTAACCAACTACACTACATCGGACAGGAACACACGCGTTGAGGGACCACCTGATTGTTGGAAGAAAATGCGTGGCAGAGATCTAAATCATCTGATTTGGAGGCAGGTGCGTCGGACGTCTTGCAGACTGAGTGCTCGCTCCTGCCTCGACACTCTATCCGCCTTCCTCAGTTGACCAGACATCAAACAAGCAGGCAGGTCAATATCCTCCTTCCACACCCACAGCCTTGTGGTAAACTGCCTTCCCACACACGTTCCACGTTGTCTCTGTCGAGGACTCGCCCACATCAAAGCCTATAGGGACTCACCCTGTCCGGGACCTGCTTGCTTGGTTACCTATATGAAGTCAATCTTGCCATTTAAGTCTGCTGATATACTTAACAGGCCCGCATCGTATCTCAGCCCTCAGTCCACATTGGCCAAACAATGAGCCAGCCTCGGTTCCCCGGTCCATGAGACGTCGGATATGACAACGCTTACTGAGTCCTGCCCACATACCCGCAGCTTTACTATCATAACTCCCTCCTTTCCACGAGCCTCCCGACACTAGCTGACCATCAAGAGACCGCGGAGAGTTCACGTTCTCAACACCATGGTTGTCTCTCCTCCGAATATGGATGTGCTCCTGACAAGCATGAGCTGCCATTTCATGACAATCCAAGAACATAAACTCGGGGGAGGATAAGACAGAGGTTTTCCAAAACCATGCTGAACTCATCGAGTTCTATTGTGCTCCTGACAGTCTGGGCCGTTGGTGTATCACGATGTCGATGTCGACGCCCGCTGCAGGCCACAATTCTCACAACAATGGGTCTGCTGAAATAGGGATGATCCTATCTGCACCCAGAGATATACACATATCACAACTTTATGTGAGGTTGGATCCAGAATACCTGGAGAGGCACTAACGCAGGCAGACCGACGACCATGGCAAGCGATGTTGCTATAACGGCACCATATACAGGGGAATGTTGCCATTCCCTACATGATGCCAACACATCATCGGTCAAGCCCATCAAAAGGTGGAGTTGATATGCAAGATGAAGAAATGTCGTGGTCATGGTCATGTTGGCATGGGCACTAACAGACAAGGCTGCGTCTCCTGAGTAGCATCAATACTGCCGCCTCGGCTCCTCTACCTATGGTCGTTAGGCCCACCGACAACTGGGTCGGCGTCATGGCATGCTAGTACCGATATGGAAGACTTTATATGGAGATCAAGTGGGCATGAAGAATGTTACCTATGCTGTCATCACAAAGACAAAGAAACCTGGTGGCTGGGAGTCCATTATTTCTGCTCGGCCTAAAGTTGTTTGACTTTCAATGACGAGTGCCGTGTGGGTTCTTTTGAAAGACATCTCAAACTCAGTCACCCATTCCGCCAGGTGGGGTCCAATGAAGGAATGAATTTGCCGATTTTCATTTCCAACAACCGTCGGCTTGCTGCTCCTACTTTTACTGTCGGTAGTGATGGCCTCCCCAGGTCGCTGACGATGATAATAATAGTTGAGATGAAGACGTTCTATTGAAAGAGCCAAGTGCTTGGCGCCGAACTGGTAGAGCTATCCAAGCTCTCCACCACGTACTACTTACAGTTCACAGGAGGTTGCAGGGAAATTTCCCACCAAGTTCGGCGGTCAGTGCCGCTGCTTTTGGTCAGTTGAACTGCACTCAACCGACCACAGCACGTGTCTTGGGGTTGAATGTCTTCTGACATTTATGACATTAGTATTTAGTGACACGGACAGCAGACACGGACCATGTATACGAGATCATGGTCTGATGTTGACGTTGACATCTGTCTGTCAATCTTCCTCTTAGTCCGCACAACGTTTGACGGATTCCATTCCCGGTTGTTTGTTTGTTTGTTGTCCCAAGGTTTGATGGCTGTTCGAGGCAGAGGGGCCTTTCGCTGAGCATCTTTGCAAAGCCTTTGGCACTACGTTTGAGAGCTCTGCATCTGCCTTGCAGCAGCATGCATTCGTCGGACCGTGCAGATGAGGAAGCCGTTTATCAGAGGGGGTTGTGCAGTAGTAGTATCGACCTCCCTTCAAGCGTTATTCTTTGCACGTGACACAGATACTGCCGCAGATTCTCTGAGACGACATGTTTCACGACCTACCACAACTCAGACATGATTCATTTAAATCTATATCATTTATGACCAGGCGACTCTCTACTTTGACTGTAAAGTATCCAAGCAAACCAGTTCTAGTATCGTTGCAAAGCTCTCAGCCCTCCTCTTTGAGAAAACCACACCACGGACCCCGAGTGAATAATGCCCTGGACCTTTTCTCAGGTTCAATAGAATCATAGGATAAAGGAGGGTGTTGTTGCTGAGATCAACAGGTCATGTCTGCAGTGGTTAGCGGTCGCAAACGGCCAGCCATCCACAATTGTGGCAATTCTGCGCCTTTTTTGGGGGGTTTGGCAGGGAACGGTATTGAGTATAATAATGCATCTTCGGCCACAACTCGGCATGTGAGTTTTCTGTGGTCTACGAGATACATTCTACGGAGTACATCCCAAAGTTGTGAAGATATGGCGCACATGATCATCGCTCTACTCAGCGATCCAAGGTGACGTGGACAGGAGCACTGTTTTACTGTAGTGATAACAAGAATATAAAAATCGCCGAGCTAAACGCCGCAAAGCCGCAGAGCCGCAGACCCGCAAGGAATTCCGCGTTCTTTGATACTTGAATGATATCTTTTGCAGGTGTGTCAGTGCATAGACATATTCTATCCAAGGTCTACTGTACTACGGCGAGAAAGCCATTCTCTTCGCAACCCCGACTGGATGGTGACAACAACAATGACAAGTTTGATAGATACTACTGTAGATAGGTACCAACCCATGCCATTATTCTAAGTCACCACCCTGTCGCCTTAAGCCAGCCGAAAAGGGGTGTCAATACAGGTGAAATCCGAAACTTGGACGCGCCCACGCCCACGCCCACGGCCACGCCCACGTCCGTATGTGGCAGTGGGGTCCGAATTGTTTTGAACGTTTGATCACCAGGCCTTTGCATATCCAAATCACGCACTAAAGGCCTTGTAAGCAAGGAGTGCGCCTGAGCCCGCGGAACGGAAGAGGAGCACAGAGACCCCGTTCGGAGCCTCAAGGGTTGAAAGGCTGTGAAGGGTGATCCGAGGCTCATGGATTCAGGTTCATGGGTTCAACAGACAAGTCAGGGTTCCAATGGACTGTGGAGTCTGTCAGCAACTACGATGACTGAGTGACTGATTACTGCTATACTGTACTGTAAGTACTGTACATACACAACTGTCAAGATAAACAAGTATGTAAGTACACACGAGAACAAAAACAACAAGGGTGTTTAATTCAGGGTACGCCCTGGATCTTTCCCAAGTACCTAGGTATGTAAGGAGGAAGGCTCTGGGTCCCGGAGCGAGGGACTCGAGTCGAGTCGAGCCCGAGTTCGACGACGATCCTCACCAAGAGTGGGAAGAAAGCCCAACTCTGGGAAAGTTGGATGAGAAACAAGCGAAACCACAAAGTTGCCCTGCGTGCCTGGGAGGATTTACCAAAGTCAAACAAAGTCTCTCGTTTGGACGGCTCCCAAGCATTTGGAGATCCGCAAGGCTTGAACCGTCTGCTCGGCCTTGGACACTAATTAAGCCATGGGCGACGTGGCTTGTTTTGAGTACAAGCAACCGCTATGGAGCAGCTTGACACTTTGTTTTTAGATCAGAACATCACTTCACAGCCGAACCAGAAACTTCTGAGCGTGGATCGGCGTACCGGAAAGGTCGCCATGTGGAACCTTTGGAGCCCACGAGTCGACCCACTAAGAAAGGTCCTGGAGTCTCAGAAAAAGTAGAAAGATAACGATGAATCGAAATTGCACTCCCTCAAAATGGGGATTAGTCTAAACAAAACAAGATCTACCCCATCCAGGCTTGACTAAATCAATTTCACTTGTCGTTGCACATGTCCACGACCTTGATCACCTCGGTCGAAGCTTCATTCGTACATACATTGTATCATTGATTCCTGTGGAGACGAAAAAGAAGGAAACACTGTAGTAATTGCATGGGCTTGAACTCAAGCATCGCAGCAAAGCTTGCTCGTTTGGACAAAATCATGGGAGCCCGAAAGCCTTCTACCAGTACAACCAGTGGTGGACCACTTCAGACAGCGACGGTTCTCGAAATCACTCAAGTACATGGTACCCTTTTAGTGTGGATTTTCCAGTGTTTTTTGTTCCTGCTGCTTGAAAAACATACACGTTTGTTGATAATCAGTTTCAGCGGCCACCCCATGTAATTTTGTCCATTAGCTCAAATTAGGAAAATATTGAGAGATATTTCGCTCGCACGTAGCCCTCCAGTGCAGTCGAGTGATCTCCAAACTCGTGACGAATCTATTCATCTTCTTCCTCGCCGGAAGCCTTGGATCCCAGGACCCACTTCGTCTTGCCGTGCACGTCGGTCTCGTGCTCCAGAGCAACTCGGCTGAGATGACCAAGAATGTTCTCCATGGTGGTATCGGCGTGGCTGCGGGTGGCACGGCCGAGGTTGTCAATCCAGCTCATGCTGACTAGGAGGTAGTAGACGATAGCTACGACGATAATAACACCGATTGAATAACACCAGATCACCACAACGGTGACAATCGAGGTTTGAGTGCTGTAGTGGTCTCGGGAGAAAGAATCTTGAGGGCTGGTGAAGAATTCATCTTCGCTTCCAGAGAGCCAGCCAAAGACACAGAAAAGAGTGGAAAGGACATCCACAATGAAGATGGCGCCCACAAGCTTCCACGATGGCCATGTTTGTCCACCACGGGTGACAAAGATGAGCCAATTCTCAACCAGTGAGACCTGAAGGAAAAGCATGAGTTGGACGTTGCCGAAGTTTTGTACAAGACCACCTCCGGGCATATAGAAGGATCCACGCATGATCCAGGTGGAAATGGCGAGGAGTATACCGAGGAAGACCGAGATGACCCAGATCTTGGGCAATTGCCATTCTACAGGTCTAGGTTCGTAGTGAGCATTGTCGTAGGCGACGGCAATGGTGGCAAGATCGGCGAAGAGGGCCAAAAAGACAATCAGATCAGTTCGAATGGTCTCGTTGATGATGATCATCGATGTGGTCAGGTAAAGTTCCAAGTGCAAGCAGAGAGCAATACGGTATTGCACGTAAGCCTTCATACGTTGGAAAATTTGACGAGCGACCTTGATGGCATCGACGATGGTAGAGAGACCAGGAGCCAAGAAAACGATATCGGCGGCAGCTTGAGCGGCTTCGGTGGCACCCTCGACGGCGATACCGCAGTCGGACTTCTTCAGAGATGGGGCATCGTTGACACCGTCACCAGTCATGGCAGTAAGATGGCCACGCTGTTGCAACATCTCCACGACCTGGTATTTGTGCTCGGGGAAAACTTCAGCGAAACCATCGGCCTTCTCAACGAGGTCGTATTGAGTGGAGCCAGCAACACCGCCAGCGATGAGACGATGCGAGTTGTAGACCTTTGTTCCGAGAGCGAGGAGCTTGCAGGTTTCCTTTGCAATGGCAATGGCATCACCAGTCAACATCTTGACGCTGAGACCAAGGTTTTGAGCTTCCAGAATGGTGTGGGCAGTATCATCACGGGGAGGATCGAACATGGGCAACATGCCAATGACTTTCCAGGGCTCATCACCGCGCTTTGAGGCAACACCAAGAGATCGGAAACCACGTCTGGCAAAGTCTGCCGCAGTATCACGGTAGTGTTTGGCGGTAGCCTCGTCACACTCGGCGATGGCAAGGACGGCCTTGGGGGCACCCTTGCAGAATGACCAGCGCTCGCCCTTGAGGGTACAGATGGTGGTGATACGCTTGGAGACAGGGTCAAAAGGTGTATACTTCTCCGTCTTCCAACCTTGCTGCAAGATTTCACGAGCCTTGGGATATCTCTTGAGAGTCAAGATGGTGATTTTGTCGATAGGGTCGAGAGCCTTGAGGTTGTGGGATGAGGCAAGGGCAGCGCAGGCCATCATCCAGTTGACATCTTCACCCTCGGCGACGTAGGGCTCACGAATGGTCAACTGATTGGCAGTCAAGGTTCCGGTCTTGTCGGAGCAGAGAACATCAACACCCTGTGGCAAGTTAGCAGAGCCCATAGAAAGTTCAAGAAACCACTTACAGCCAAAGACTCGATGGCGGTCAGCTTCTGGACAATAGCCTTCTGCTGAGCGAGGTAGGCAGCTCCGACTGCAAGAGTGGTAGTGGTGACAACGGGAAGACCGACAGGAACACCGATGATAAGCAGGATAAGGGCGTAATGCAACAAGTTGATGGAGCTGTCCATGGGAGTTGCAATGTTGAGTCCGCGGAAGAAACCACCAATCCAGGCCATGAGAATGAAGAAGACGACCAACACGAGAAGTGCTGTTCCGATAGAATCCATGATAGCCTTGAAATGGCCCTGATCATTCGCACCTTGGACGAGAGAAGCGGTCTTGCCGACAAAGGAGCCACGAGCAGACTCGGTCACGACGGAGTAGGCCTTGCCACGTTTGCAACCGGTAGTGTAGTAGCAAATGTCACCCATGTACTTGTCAACGGCGAGAGATTCACCGGTGATGGCAGATTGATCGGTGGCAACAATTGAGACACCAATGTGGTGTTCCTCATCATCATCAGAGTCAGTGTGATTCTTGGAGTGATAACCCTCAGGGTCCTGGGAATGGATTAGTTTAATTCGTGCTAAGACGCGACAGGACTTACGTTGACCATCTCCTTGTACTCCTCGAAGCCAGCTGGGTTGTCAAAATCGCAGATCAAGCGAGCCTCGCCAGCAACGACGGAACCCTCTTCGAGAATGAGCTGGAACAAACATTAGCATTCGATCGCAGCAAGGAACTCGTAGACGAAGCATACAATGTCACCAGGGACCAGCTCTCGGGCCTTGATCTCCTGAACTTGACCATCGCGGACAACTTCTGCCTTCATGGCAATATCACCCTTCAAGCTAGCGACGACGTCGGCAGCCTGCTTTTCTTGGTACCAACCGACGATGGCGTTAAGCATCAAGATACCGATAATGACACCGAAATCGATCCAATCTTGCAAACCAGCCGCCAGGAGAACAGCGAGTTCCATCACTGCAGAGATTAGTACAAGAGAGGGAAAAATCAGGTGGTCAACTTACCGTAGAGAATGGGACCACGGAAATAGCCGATGAACTTGACAAACATGTTCTCCTTCTCGGTGGTCAACTCGTTGAAGCCAGTCTTTCTCCGTCGCTCTTCGACCTCGGCAGTTGTGAGGCCTTGCTTGATGTCTGTATTCAACCATTCTTCGGGGACCTCATAGAGATCGCCAGCACCGCCAGAACCTCCGAAGATTCTGGCAAAGAAGCCCTTCTTTTTTGGCTGGCTAGCGTCCGCGACATCATCGCCAGAGACTTGCGAAGGGGCTTTTGAGAAACGGCGGTCTCGGTAGGTAGAGATGAAACGAATCAGGTTGGCATACTCGCCCTCGTCCTTGTCGGGATCCCAGCCGTCGGCGAAAGAGATTCTTTCGCGCTTGGGGTCGCCGTTCTCGAGATCCTTTTCCGCCATGGTTCACTGTGGGAGTGGAGAGGTTAGTATGCAGGAAAAGAAAACAAAGAAGAAAAAGGACGACAAGGACAACAAGGTCAGGCGGAAAGACCAAGCTGGGGAGGAAAAGAGAAGAAGTCTGTGAGCTCACAGCGTACGACCCCTCTTTAAAGTAAAGTGCGTTCACAACATGCGAGCAGAGAGGACGGGCAGCTCACAGGTACGGGCAAAGCAAGTCCACTGGAGGGTAGGGAAGCACAGTGGGATCCACTGTTCCGTTAAGCCGTGGAGCTGCGATAGCTCGAGCAAGGTCGATGGAACCGAGATCTGGTTGGCTGCTTAAGCTTTCCCTGAGGTTGAGGTCAGCCAGCATGCCGCTTGAGCCATTTGATAAGAGAAAGACAAAGAGACGGGGATGTTGTGACAGTCGGAGAGGCTGTTTTGGATACGTCAAGGTTAGAACCAAAAATACGCACCGATGAAAAATAAGTCTAGCTGACGGGGCCGGGACGGGCGTCCGTGCAGGATTAGTGGAGGGTGAATGATGAGGTGTTTGGCTGCGAGGGGACCGGGGGGTAGGATGGAGTTGCTTGAAAGCTACAAGGGTGATGGAGCTGGAGGGAGGGCCAGAGGAGCTTCTGTAGGAGCAGGGCGGATGATGAGTGGTAGGTGATATGAGAGGGTTGGGTGGGAAGCGAGAGATGGAATCCACACGAGCAGGAGAATTTTGGGCTTGTTTTTTGCCAACTCCGCTAGCCAATTTGGTGTGTCTGGAGCTCCTGTCGAATCAGACAAGGCCGTGGACCTACGTGGGTCGAGCAAGGAAGGTGCAGCGGTTCATCACCGACAGGAAGTCGCTACTGTAGAGTCAACCTCCGATTCATCGCGCCTGATTCCACTCTCAGCCCATTCTATCCATCCACTGAGAGAGGTGTGAGCTACCTTGATTAGCTGTGATCCACAAGTCCAGAGACTCCATGATGTATGCGTATGCGTATTCCGTAAATGTCCTGAGGGACCTGGTGAGGGTCAGAGGGTCCACGAGCACCTCATTTCTCCAATTGATCAACATCGACTACCTCAGTCGATCCTTGAGCTACCTGTGAAGGATGCACGGGAGGTTTTCTCAACCAGCCATCCTGAGTAGGTCTTAGATTTATATTGTCATTACAGTACTCGTAGACAGCGGACGCCGGACACTATCTATGGATCCTAAGGTTGTCACTTCTGCACTGCAAGAAGAAAGCCCGTCAAGGTCAACATAGCGGGGTTTCTCATGCTGAAGTAGAATGCGAGAGCTTCACTCGGTGGGAATTCTCTAACTTGGGGCAAAGCTGCATCACACACGCGCTCAAAAACGTGGTCGTTCCTTGGTCGTTCCTGCCAACAAAAGAGGTTGCAGGCACTTGCACAATAATGAACAAACAATAATAGTTTCAAAGGTTTATTTGAATTGAATTTTTTTGATTTCCTTACAGGTTTTAAATTGTTGATTTGACAAGCACTCCCACATTTCCATGTGATTTTTATTCTTCCGTCGCTGCTTGTGTCTTTGAGAAGCCAACCCCGACCGCAACCCCATGTTCCACGTCGGGGCGACCAAAGCCAAGTGCCTACGGAGTACTAAGTTACCTATGCAAGCATCGTTTCGCCCTCTCACGATGGGATCGGACGGCTATACCTTCTGAAAACCCTGGCCCGCCACAACGTCGCTTTTGCTCACCTCACCACATCCTACGTGGCCCATGGCTGACTACACCTTCTACTTGGTGACTGCCAGCCGTCCACCCCTCCTCATGTTTGCAACTTGGTAGTCTGGCGCGACATCCCCTCCAGCAAACGGCTCGCGGCTAAAGGTACACCATGGCTATGATGGAATCTTGCATCATACCCGAAATCTCATGTCGATGATGTTGCATCCGTGTGGTAGATCCCTTTTTTGAGATCCTGCCCTCGACAACTGGCCAAACATGCCATGCATGCCTCACCATCTCCCAAATACACACCTTACTCCGTGCCGTCACTGTGGCTTGCTTGTCCGTTTTCCAGTCGTTCAAATGACATTCCTCGTCCAACAACACTTTGTTGACCTTGTAGCACTACAAAACGCTGGGCCAGGGACTGTAGCTAGCTTTACCTTGACCAAAGGCCGCAACCATGTCTCCATTTGGAAGGGTGGACGCCCTCCCGCCTGCGTTGACTTCATTACGTCGCTTCACTGTGCCCCGTCCGTGTCCGCCTCTGGTTGACCCACTGCCTAGTACCATCGACGGGCTTTGACGGTACTGCATGGGTCGGCCAGTCTGTCTAGCTGTTGACGGTTAGAGCCATTCAGATCCGTAGTTCATGTCATTTGAAGCCATTCTTTCTGCTGGATGTGTATGGCGTTGTAACACTCGTTCTTTCTGCCCTTGACAGAACGATCCATTTCAAACCTTCCAACAGAACAAAATAGATGCATGCCTCGACTCGGCCAGTTCGATACTTTCGCCGACCTAGTTTCGAAGCTCGTCAGTCTCAAGTTCATGCGGCCACAAATCGATCAGCTACAGACTACGAGTAACGTGCTTTCAAGCGCTGTCATCTCATTCTGAACATCCTTCCACTTGGTGAATCGTGTCGCGTACCCTAGGATTGTCTTTGGTTGATCACTACCATGCTGCTCTGTTTAATAGTCTAAAATCTAGCCCATGATTGCAGACAGCCTGTAGGTCATCGTCATGGCTCCACCCTTTGGCCGATGGCCGACGGCCGACAGTTTTGCCTCCCACAAACAATGATGCAAGATGCTCAGTGAGCCAACTGGAGGCTGACTCATCCCCATTTGCTAGCAGCTACTCGAGCCTCATTCGTCCACAGAAGCTAGTAAATTCAGTCGATAGGCTGCGCCCGGAAGGGCGAATATCCCATCTAGGGCTGCACTCATCTCACCTGGGTCACCGGGGTCATGCCTGGACAAGCATGCGGTCCAGGTGTGTCCAGTCGAGACTCGATAGATTCAATCCCAACGCCTGGCCCACCATTTGTATTGAAGCTTAAGGTACGAATTTCCACTAGCGTGGCAGGCGAGGAACAAGCGCGGGCGTCGGGCTTGACCTGGCGGGCCAGTCCTGTCTTCATCCCACACTTTGAACTGGCCAATCCGCCAGGCCCTAAATTGGAATGTTTGACAATGTAAACAAAAAACACGATTAGAGAGATTGCCGCACCCAGATCCCATTCCCAACTGCATTCCTGTCCACCTGCTTGAGCCTCTTGTATGTACGTTCTGCGACGGAGACAATATTGACTGACAGCCTTGTTCGCCTAGCAACCGTGCCAGCTGTTTGTCTCTCCATGCTGCAGACCACTCTTCCTCTCGTTGCGCCTGGGCCTAGTCCGACACCCGCCCCATTGTGGGAGTCTGTCTCGGGTTTTCCAGGCTGGCCCCAGCACCCGAACCGACCTGCACGGAATTTCTTCCAAGCTTCTCTCGGACGGGGATTTACCCAGGCGCGATAATATTATAGCCCAGGGTACCACCACTGTCCCTGGAGGACTCCCCAGGCCTCTCGGGCTCTGGGTCGCCTCTCGGCCTGCTTGCGGCCTGCTACGGAGTCCTGGGTCCAACGCAGAACAATATTTACGGAGTACAGGATGGGGCAAGGACGGGGCTCGCTATGCTATGCATGCACGACCCGGAGTGTCTCCATAATAACAAAATTGTCGTACCCAACTGCCGTCCAAGTCTTGAGGCATTTTATACACGCACATATTTCGACTGTGGGAGCGGTACAGTGGTTCTCCGTCCCTGCAGGCTGCTGCACCACCTCAAATGGAGCCTTTCAGGGTTCTCAAATGTTCAAGCGCCTTGGAGTAACAACAACAACAATAATAATGCGATGCGAGATTTTTGCGTAAGATGGAGAATCGAGTTTCAGATGTCCAAACGTGCAGATGGCAAAGTAGCACTTCTGAGTGTTTGGGCGTTCAATTTTGGTGAGGTATTTCATCTTTTGTGCCGGATAATAGTCAAATGTAACCAAGGAAGCTCTGGCTGGTCCACCGCCGGGCGGATTCTTGCTAAAACCATAGCGAATTCCTCGGTCCAGACGTCGTTTTTGTCGGTATGTTTACTCACAACCATGTTTCCAAGGCCGGCCTCTAAACTTTGCCCCCGGACAAGACTTCGTCTGCATGTGTATGTGTGCGCCGGCCGGACGTCTCGTCTCTTGCTGCACCAGCGCACTTTCTCGTCTGGGCTTGACCACGATCTTGTTTCTTGACCGACCGAAGTGTGTCAAATGCAAGACCTCCCGATAACAACTCGCGACAGGGCCAACCCGGAGGGATCCATCACCCGCGGATTTGGCCGCACTAAACCTGGCAGAAGGAACTCCGTTGCAGCTGCGACTGTGTGGGTGACGGCTGGACCATCATGGACGACAACATGCATCTTGTCGACGGCATGCGCAGGAATCTCGCCCGCGAATTTCGTCAAATACCGGGACACAGAGAGACGGTCTGCTGAGATTCGGGTTATATGAAACAGTTGCCTGAGGTTTTGCCGTGAGTATCTGGCGACCACCACGGTCACTAACGCACCTAGGAATGCGACCTTGTTATACCCAAACGACATCCGCCAGGCCGTGCCCAACAGGAACCTCGAAAAGTATGCATCTTGCAAACGATTAAAGGTTGGCTTTATGATATCTAAAATGCAGTGCCAGATGTAGACTACAGCCCAGCTATATTCTCTTCTATTCTGCGGGTCTGGCCCGCATGAGATGTTCCGAGATGGGTGTGCTGATCTCATCAGCACACGTCTGTCGTTTCGAATTTCACGGTAACAAAACGTTACAACAAAACCAGTGAAGCTCAACGTGGGCTTGCTCTTATGTCTTGGTAGTTGACCTTGTGTCACACTCAGCAGCACCATTGCGAATCTGCAGAGGGGTAGTCAAAGAAAGTCTAGGAAGCAGGGCCGATCCCGTGGAACCTTGGATGATCAGATCCTCCGATAGACCTATCGTGCTTGAACAAGATGACCATGTACGAATGGATCAACCTGGGGTCTAGATCAATACTCCAGGTGTAAATGGCAATATATGGCGACTGACCAAAGAGGATAGACTTTCCTCCCCCGCAACCTGACATTCACATTCGGTTTGACTCCGGGCCGTTTTGCAGGTTGGCAGGTTACTCACCGGTCAGTGACAATGATGATGCAATGATTTGACAGAGGTCCAAGTCGCCGACGAATCTATTGCCCAAGCCTCCAGACAATACCCGTCCCATCCCTCCATCATCATGCTTCCAAGCCAAGATCATCATCACTGCAAGATGCATGAAATAGCGCCTCAACTGCTTAACGTACAAGAAGACAGGGTTTGGAACTGTCAAATGACACAGAAGCTGACCCGACACGAGTCAATTGCTAGCTGTGGTACCTTCGATCTAGACTCGTAATGAACTTCCAAGTATGGCCACGGAGCCGGTTGGTGTCCAAGGTACGTAGGTGATTATGATGACTGGATTGAGGTATGGATTGCGAGTTGTCACTGCCACCTACCCACTATTGAAGATTTGTCACGTGACATCGACACGCTCTTCGACTTCTAACCTCATGCCTTCTCTCTTATCACCATGAATTCAATTGTCGTTCTTTCGAGGATGGAGAATGCTCTATAGAAAGGCTTGGATATGGAGGAGATGGCGGTATGCGATCTACATTCAACGAGCTTCACCAACATTCTCACTAATTTACCTTGGATGAGCAGGACAGCGGGTGACACTATGGACCAGACTGCGTTACTACGAGGACATTTTGATGAACCAAAGTGGCTAGGGAAAGGACAGATTGCGGCATCATATGCCACTGTCTTGAACAAAATGGACATGCGAGCACGGACTGGATGAGGGAGAAGCAATTGAGACTACAACCTTCAACCAGAATGTGGTCATCCGTCATCAGCATCTTGCAGACTTGATACTTGAGTATCCTAATCAAATTTTGGGTATCATTGTGAGTATTGTGAGTATGCATATTTTACTCCTGTGCTATGAGTTAGCTTCTATGGTATGGTTGAGTTACTTACCTAGGTACCTACCTTACTCCCTCTCTGTGCTTACCCATACGCATGGTAATTCTTAACCTTGGGCAGTATGACGCTGAAGTCTCGAACTCCTTTCTACATCGTGCCTTCTTCCACATCAATTGTTGAGATTCAACGTCTGCCTATCTCAACAAAAGTTTTCTGCCTGCGCCAACCAACGGCCCTGCGTGCCTTCCACTCACCTGCAACGAGAAAGTCCTTGTGCATCCCATGGCAAGTCCACCTTTCCTGACCTCTGGTCTCCTTTTGCCTTGCTTTCACCTTCACCTCGTTCGCGTCTCTCCCTCATCTCCCCCTCTCCTCATCTCTTCCACCTCTGCAATCCAGAGATCACTCCCTTGACAAGATCTGACAACTATCAACTGCTGGGATCAGTGCCTCATCCATCTTCTTGGACCTGTTTGACGGAACTCTCTCGCTTACCTTCTCTCAACTCACCATGTGGGTTCATAATGTTGTCCCCTGGACATTGACCTTCATCTTGACCCTGTCTTTGACCTTGGCCCAAACAACAAACACTGGTTGGGCCTCATCGGCAACGACTGATGATGGATGCACCTTGACCCATGTCATGAACCAGCCTGCACAAACTCCTCCTGTCAGCACCGTCTGGGATGTGATCATGACCACCATCTTTTATGTATGGCCCTCCCCATTCACATCAAATCTACTCAGCTAACCATCGTTTAGGCGGTCGATTGCCGTGCTTGCACCGTCACCAACGCGAATAACTACACCTACATTGAGGTAAGTCATACTCCACGACTTGAATGGAGAAGTGGACACTGAAATATTTCAAGGGTGCCTTCACAGAACGAACCACCAGCCCAACCCTGATGATCACTCGCGTTGCGTGCTTTCCGCAGGAGAGTGCAATTACAAGAGATGTTGATCTCACCACCACCTCGGCACCAGGCCTGGCAGGTGTCCTCGACGCCCGCCCCGCGGTGTCAGAACCTCTTCTGGTGGAAGATTCCCTCGAATCCTCTGAAAAGAAGCTTCTCCGTCGTACAAGTCTAGATGCAGCTGCCACGTTCCTGGTCGAGTCAGCCATGGATTTCAGCAAATATATCCCACCTGATTTCCTCCGACTCCCCGGCCAAGCTCAAAGCTTACTGATATCAACCTGGTCAGCTATATTTGCCCTCACGATTGCTGACTCCGGCCTCAATACAACCTCGGCCTGTGCTCAGGTACAAACCCTCGAGGTGAGATATCGCATGAGCCAGTCTTGGCTAGACCCAGATCAAGTGACATCCTTGCTGTGCTTCTTTGCGAGATATGGTTACAACTTCAATACCACGCGAGCCGAACTTTACTCGACCCTGCAGGCCGCCATCTATGCTATCCAAATTGCTGGTGACTTCACCAGCAACAGAACTGAGGTCTGTGAGAGCCTTGGTCTCTTCTACCGGGTGGGTGGGCCTTTGGGAATCGATACCACAAGATTCCAGGATTATGCTTGCAGTAATCTTCCATCAAATACTCCCACTGTATCCAATGTGTACGGAGAGACACCTGTTGTGCCACTGATTCCATATCCGACCAACGGGACTACCTCCTGGGGCCATCCGACTTCCTGGGAGCCTCGTACGACCATATGGCCTACACAAAGTAGCACCCCAGATAGTTTGACACCAAAGTTCCCCAACAGCACGATCTGGGGCACAGGCTCCCAGTCATCCAACTCGGCTGGAACGGCATACAGCTCCACAAACTCAACTGTTGTGCAGCCTACTGGAACAGGTTATAGTTCCCCGACCTGGACTTCTTCTGGCACAGCCAGCACCGGGACTGGTTCCCGCTATGGACTGATAAATTCGACTCAGTCAACACCCAGCAGTGGTCCTGGCTCTTCCACAGGTAACGTCAACTCGACTCAACCAACAACTGCAGGTACTGGGACCGGCGTCTGGTCCAAAACTGTCAACATTACTTCTGTCTTGCCGACAGCAGCCACTAGCACAACAAATACCACAGTATCAAGTCTGCCCACTGATCCTGCGGTGGGAAATAGCTCTACATTTAGCCTCTCTACGGTGGTATCTTCTTCCAACAACGTAACATCAAGCCTGGGAACTGCGTCAAGCTCAACCACTGTAATCGGAGTTCCATCTGATAGTGGTGCAACTACTACTTCAGAGACCGAGACGGTATTAACTTCGGCAACAGAGGCTGCTCCCAAAGACACCAACATTCACCTCCCTCCCAAGCCGGAGGCCAAGGCATTCTATCCGGCAGTGGAGGTGCCACATCCTCGACGTGGTAGTTGGTTCAAGCGATACTGATTAGTGGCTGTGGCTCATCATGCATCAATGAAACCTTTTCTAAAAAGGCTAGAGTGTGTGCGTCACTCTATGTGGTGACAACGAGTGACAGTAGTCAACAAAAGTTTTATGGAGATCAGCAGAAACAACACCTGTATCACAAGGACAATGTATGTTAGATAGGTCAAGGGACCGGAGTGAGCATGTCTCCAAAGTGTAAGATATGTCTTTGAAATGCGACGTTTCCATCTCAGGGAGAAGATGTGATGATGGGTCGGCTGCTTGCAGGCACAGTACAATACTCGGAGGTTCTGAGACACGCTCATTTAGTCGGGACGGAATCCATCAGCTGAGGATAGGACAGCTTCAAGATGACGATAGAAGTATTCAAAGCACGAGTAGGCTAAAAATGTGTCGTGACACTGGCAGTGAATGAAAATGTCTGAGTAGTATCATTGTACGGATAGCAGTACTACAGGTAGGGGTATATTTTGAACATTACAACGCGAGATCATGATTCGCATCGAAGGACCTCGAGCTGGTAAATCTTCCTCCTTTTGAGATTGCCCGAGCCTATGAAAAATATCAAACAGGCAAACGTCCTGTTATCCTCTCACACATCTCCTGCCACAGAATTTTCAACCCATAAAATGGCTGGAATCAAATGTAGGCCCGAAGGCATGAATCTGACATGAAAGATGAAATTGAATCCATCACCGATGGAAGCCAGAGATAGAATCCTCGAATATCCAGCTTGTAGCCCCCGAATTCTGACCATGAACCTGAACATGTTCATCATCATGGTCAATACAATCGTCATGATCGTCATGATCCTCGTGGTTGTCATGGTGGTAGTGTCATACTTTGTTGTTTTGGATTCGTCGCTACCTTTGTTTTGGTTGTGGAAACCCGAATCCAATTTGGCTGTCTGGTGGTATCGTCTGCTCTGGTGGAGGACAACACCATTCCGAACTTTCCTCTTCGTAACCTTGAGAAGTCTGAACTTTGGTCGCAGCAACTCATCGAATAACCTGAACTCCATTGCTAAAAGTCTCGCTCAATAAAACATCGTGAAACGCGGGATATAGATCTTGAGGTGTGTGTGATAGAGGTGATGTGGTGTCGGAAAAAAAAGAATTGAAAGTGCAAGTCGAGATCATATCGGCATGACCACGCTCGCTCTGGGCTGTCTTTCGATGATTGTGTCGGTTGGATGCAGGGAGCTCATTGAATTGCCCCAACCCAATCCCTCCTTGTCCTGGAAGACCTTGTTCAGGTTCATGGCCGATTTGGTGTATAGCATATCAATAGCCTTTTGATCGCGGAAGGGATTGGGCGACTTGTCCCAGGCGTGGGGCACCATGGGAATCATTTTGCTATCGATGTTCTTTCCCAGATTCTCCAGTCGGTCGGTAAAGTCAAGACCTTCACTCAACAACATGTCCCACTCACATAGCCAGACTTGCATTTCTTTCGGTAGACCGTCGCGCAGCATGTGGTCGTGGGCGAGGGCTGGTGAGGCATAGGGACTACAGTGATCTCCTGCGACGTCGGGAGGTGGGAGGTAACTGACGTCGAATAAATCTGTAAAGACTTTGGCGAGACACTTCTTGGGATTGCGCGACTCGCGGATCTTGCGCGACCGTGATTTGGTCCAATCCAGGAGAGGGTACCAGGCAATGATTGTGCGGATTCTTAGCGGACTGGCGGTTTTGGCTCGAAGAAGGCCAGAGTTGGATTGCATTGGAGTGAGGAATCCGCCGCCAGCCTCAAAGCCAGCCTCGTCCGTCTCGGGATCGGTTTCACTGCTACCCATGGTGGTCGGGCTGGTGGATTTGAAGTCGTTGATGACGTCGATGCCATAGTGGTATTGTATTCGGAGAGGGGCTGCGAAGGCCAAGTTGGCACCGGCCGAGAAGCCAGACAGAGCGAAATTGCTTGGGTCGATGTTGAGCTCGGTCGCGTGCTCGACCAGATATAGGATTGCTTGGGCACAATCGTCCACGGGGATGGGAAATGCGTGTTCAGGGGCCCGTCGATAGTTGACACTGACAAAGATGGCATTAGACCTCTGCATGACGATATTAGCCCAGTATCGATCGTCGCTAGCATCTCCTAGCACGAAACCTCCACCATGAAAATTGACGACGGCTGGAAAGCGGAAAGAGGGATCTTCTTGGAGGACTCTTTTATAATTGGGCGGCGTGTAGAAGTATAGTTCAATAGGAATGGTGTCGGTAGGGATCTTGTGTTTGAAGGCAGGCCGTGGCGCTCGTGGGGGGGCCCAGTCGTGAAAGCGCATGCCTAGTATCATGCAAGCTCTCCAAAAGCTTGCCTGAATATGTAACCATCTTCTTGAAGGGATATCGGTTCGCTCAAGGTGATGGGACATGCTTCGACGTCTTCCTGCGGTGAAATAGTCGCCCTCCTCCGTGCCAGTGCAGGGAGTCTCAACAAACTCATTGTCGGGAGTGGGCAGGTTATCGGCGAAAGGGTTACTATTTTTGAATAGTCTAGGAGGTGGCGTCTGTCGCGCAAAGTCTTTGGTGTCGGCAACATCGTTAACGTCTGAAGGCATGTCGTTAAGTTGAATCGTGGGTGGAGGTGGCCGTTGTGGTGAAGCTCGATCCTCCATGATTACTCGTGGATCATATCTAAGTAGGGGAGAGGATGGTGGGGTTCCTTTGGATCTTGCACCGGGTTGTATATCAAGAGGACATATTATGCAATGGTAATCGATAATGAGTCGGCCAACCGCGGCGACGTGGACATTGAGGCTGAATAAAGAAGTGAAGGCTCGAAGACTGAGGTGGAGAGGCTGGTGGAAAGATGTTTGTAATAGAGGTTCAGGCACTCCAATGTATCGCAGCAATCGACAAGCAAGTAGCGAGATCGATGACCATAGCTGTCGACCAGAAATTGTTACAGATATTGTCGACAAAGTCCCTCACTCCACATGTGCGGCAATATGAAACATTTGGGATAAGGGAAAGATGATAAGCCAGGCTGCCGGACTACCAGGGCCCGAGTGGCCTTCTTCCTTGACGATGACGCATGAGGTGGCTGTGTCTACAGGGGCTTAGGCGGTGCCCGTATGGTCTTGGGTGGTCTGGGGACGGGATGTTTGGTGACACCCAGACGCCCGAGCACCTGAGAAACACGAGGGAATAGCCTGAGCGCCGAAACCCTTGGGAGCAAGGCTGGCCCCGAATACAACATCTTAGGCGCCGCGTAGCCCCGGTACGATTCAGGTCAAGGAGATGCATGGGAGCAACGATGATTGGGATATAGACAAAAGTCCAGTCCGGCTTCTCGGATCAATTAAACACTCTTCATTTGTCCGAGCCTCTTGAAGTCCCTGCAAATGACAGATTCAGAGTATGCTTGCGAGGCACGCGAGGTACAGACGTTGGTCCATTGTCGAATGCCAAAGCACGTGAGTGAGGCTGTGAAAGGCACAATTGTAATGAATTGTCAGAATCCTCAGCAACCCATTGGTGTCAAATCAAATGATTGCGTACCCTAAAGGTCTGAGCAGTCACCAGTATCATTCTACAAACTGCATAATGTCGGTGATCGGCCTTTCTCTGCTGACAGACCAGACTGATGTCAAATTATTGACGCATGAATCATACTTGATGAATCTAACGGCCGAGGAGATCGATCACTAGATAAGCTCCTGCTCAAGAGTCTGTTGCAGTTTTGTCTTCTGGCTTGGTCCCTATGCTTGATTACATTACCACAGATGAATATCTGCGTCCCACCTTGAAATGAAAACTAGGTTACTTTTCCAACTCGTGTCACTTTTCAGCAAATTCATTCATTAGAAATCATTGAGGTCCTTGCTGCAAGATGATGATATGGCATACAAGGCACAATCAAATGTTGTCCAATAGGGTCGGCTACAGCTGGACCATGAACACCTACGGCGACACCAGCGTCACGGGTCCCAGCGTATCGACAGCCAGCTAACAATTGACCAGCTTGGAACTTGGAAGGGTTGGACCAGAATACTGGATTGTAACCCGACCAGTCAATGGCTGGAAAAAGCTGATTGTTCCTGGAATCTGACCACTTTCCCTGTCCCTCCCGTCAAGAAAGACTAACCAGGCGTGCTAGGTATCTATTGATAGGCTTTGTGTAACCTATCTGCCTACGTATGGATCGCCGTGACGCAAACCCCTCTCCTCTCGTACTTGACCTCATTTCTGTATTCTAAGGGAGGCTCCTGGTCTCGAATGTTGCCCTGACCACCGAGTAAGTACCTTTTAGTCCACGAGGAAAAGGGAGGTCCCGCGGTACCAGAGATCTTGATTGATGCTGCAAACCTAGAACGGCATTTGTTTTTTACAAGTTCGGGGAAGCCACATGGACAGAGGGAACGAGGGAACCTCACCTGGCCGGTGATGGCCGAAGAAACAATTACTGGGATTGGTTGGGGGAGGCCGCGGGATGGTTCCAGGCTAGAAAACCCCCCTCGACCCCTCCATATACTGTAAGTTAAAGTGTCTTAGTGGCCCAAATTGCCCCTCGTTGATCTTGTATTAGCACCTATTGGTCCCTAACACTGCCCTTACTCATCAGGCCGCAGAGTAGTCAGAACCATGACGTCGGCCTCGTCGCCCAGCCATTCCACCAGTCAGCAACGGCCTGGCCCTGGCCTTACCCTGGTCTTAAACCATACAAGCTACAAACAAGTCACAATCTATCAAACCATCCCACTTCTATGGGACCGCATGTGCTAACAAGTAGTCGCCGATAGCCATTCTAAGTACTTAGGTCACCTTAGCACTCCACCAGAAGGCACTCGAACCCAAAATCATCCTATCCTACCACCAGCTTCTCACCAATCCCTTCCGGGCTTGCCGGGTCACCGTCCTCTTTACGCTTGACTCCTCCATCCTCTACCCTTCTACTCCAGACCTTCTACGGCTGGGTTTGGTCGGTCTCAGTTTCACCGGTCTGCATTATTCCTTCCAGATCTGTCTCTCGAGCCATTACCCAGGGCTGACCTGTGCTGACTGTTCACCTGCTTGACACCACAATTCTTTGCTCGTGGCATTTACCCCTCCACAGCCTGACTCAATTATCGTCTTCATCTCTATACTCTCTCGATCTCAACCAAGTTTTCAGAGTGCCGATATCTGAGTATTGGTTGCAGATAAAGCCTCTTCAGCCAGCCGCACGTTCCGTCTATTAGCCAGAGATCAGACACCGTGCCAATTACTCCGTACACTGTGGCCAACATTGGATCCAGGTCCGAGCGCCACTGCAACAGCCTGGGCCCCCTCCGTCCCGTCACCATCTCATAAGAGTCGTTGCCGTCAGCGGCTGGCATTTCATCTATCCTGAAAACTCCATCAGTCCTTCCTTTCCAGCCGCTCCTGCGGCCGAGTCTCAGAAATGTCTGTCCTGCGCAAGCTCTCCAAGCAGATACACCCCAACGGGAGCGAGACAAGACTTGGTGGAGAGGTCTCTCCGACCTCTTCCCAAAGCCCGGGGCCCCATCGCCGTTCCATCGCCCATTTTCTCCATCTTGACAAAGAAAGCTTCTCCAGTGACAATGAATCCGATATGAGCGAGGTTGACAGTGAGGGCATAAGTAAAAATGCGCAAAAGAGGGCAGTTACAAAACAAAGAAAGCATGAAGCCCGGTCAAGATTGAGCCTTGAACACCGCGATGATTCCGAGGAACGCATCAAGCAGAGGCTCGAGGATGCCGCAAAGGTCGAGACCGACGACATGAAGGCACGCTACGGCGACCTCCCGCTGATGCAGTCAACCACCAAAGGTGCCACCCAACGTCTAGACATCAGCACCATCACCGAGGACCAAGTGGGAACCGAAGTCCAGTTCCGCTGTCGCTTGCAACACGTCCGACAAATGGGTGCGAAGTTGGTCTTCCTCATCTTCAGGCAACAAATCACCACTGTTCAGGGTGTACTTGTCGAAGAGCCAGGCAAGATCTCTGCCATCATGATCCACTGGGCTGAACATTTGAGAACCGGCAACATCCTCCTCGTCACTGGAACTCTGCAGAAGCCCCAAATCCCCGTCAAGTCCGCATCCATCCACACAGTAGAGGTCAAAGTCGAAAAACTCCACATCATCGTAAAGCGCGCAGAGCCTGGTATGCATTCCTGTTTGTGGGCTTTTGCCTGAGTATGCTGACCATCCATCTAGTCCCTTTCTCTGTTCAAGAAGCCGAATTGACAATCCTGGATGATGACCAAAAAGTTGAAGGAAGACAGAGTCAAATTCCTGATCGTGTCCGACTGTCTAACCGCATAATGGACCTCAGAACCGCAGCCTCGCAGTCTATCTTCCGTATCCAGGCCGGTGTTGGCAATCTCTTCCGCACTGCCCTCGACGACAAGCGCTTTGTCGAGATTCATTCTCCCAAACTGCAAGGAGCTGCGACAGAGTCTGGTGCTTCAGTTTTCAAGGTCAACTATTTCGGACGCCCGGCTTTCCTGGCTCAGTCCCCTCAGTTAGCCAAACAAATGGCCATTGCATCTGATTTTGAACGCGTCTACGAGATTGGTGCCGTGTTCCGTGCTGAAAACTCAAACACTCATCGACATTTGACCGAGTACACTGGCCTCGATCTGGAAATGGCCATCGAAGAGCACTATCATGAGATGATGGACGTCATTGACGAGGTACTCAAGGGCATCTTCAAGGGTGTCTACACAAAATATCGTACCGAAGTCGAGATCATCAAACAGCAATTTCCCAGTGAAGATCTTGTTTGGCTCGAAGAGACTCCAAGAATCCCCTTTACAGACGCTGTGAAGCTCCTAAATGACTCCGGTTGGCTCAACGAAGAGGGAGAACCAGTCTCAGCGCTGGAAGATCTCGCTACACGAGACGAGATCCGCCTCGGCGAGCTGATGAAGGAAAAGTTCAAGACCGATTATTATATCCTGGACAAGTTTCCTCGTTCCGCCCGACCTTTCTATACCATGCCTGACGCCAATGATCCAAGATACACCAATTCATTCGACGTCTTCGTTCGTGGCCAGGAAATCATTTCTGGTGGCCAGCGTATCCACGAATCTAAGATGCTGGAAGACAACATGCGTCTGGTCGGCATCGATCCTGAGGACATGGCCGAGTATATGGAGGGTTTCCGATGGGGTGCACCTCCCCACGCTGGCTGTGGCGTTGGTCTCGAACGTATTGTCATGCTCATCCTCAAGTTGGGCAACATTCGACTGGCATCACTGTTCCACAGAGACCCCAAGTCATTCCCAGCCAAACCTGTGGTTCAGAAGCTCAGGCATCCTGAGGCAGACACTCTGCGTCCTCTGTGGCGACAGGAACGTGGTCGTGAGGTTGCACCCGAAGATCGACAGATGCCTGATCTCTATGATCTGATTGCAAACTATGGCGATGCCACCGCTACCTCTTGGGGCGACGAGAGATACCAGATTTGGCGCCACCCCGACACTGGCGCCGCGGTATCGTACGTGCCTGAGGGCCATTATGCCATCCTACCCGGCGACCCTCTCTGCGACGTGAGCCAATACTATCGTGTCGTCGTGTCGTTCCTTCAATGGCTTAAGAAGGAGACCCGTCTCAAACCTCTGTGGCTTTTGATCAGCCCAGACCTTGAGCAAGTCTTAGGTGAACGACTCGGCTGGAAGACACTTTCCTGTGTTGCCGAAGAACGTGTTGATCCCAATAAGAAAACCGCCGAATCTGATCCTGAGGTTGCTCGGAAAATCCGACGAGCCCAGAACGAAGGCGTCAAGCTTACCGATCTGGATCACAATGTTCCTGTACCAGATTCCATCAAGGAACGTTGTAATGCTCGTGTAAAAGACTGGCTGTCCGGCCGCAAAGGAACTCAAATCCACCTTTCCAACATTGACCTTTTCCGTGACGAGAAACATCGACGATACACCATCGCTGAAGACAAAGAGGGTACCATTGTTGGCATTGCTGTCATGGCAGAAATTGCTCCAAGACGAGGCTGGCAAGCCAAGTACACTCTGGATTTCCCCAATGCACCATCGGGCACAATCGAGTATATCACAACCCATGCACTGACTGTTGCAGCCAATGCAGGTGTCCACACCGTCACATTTGGTGGTGGAGCTGCTCCTCATTTGACACCAGGTCATCACATGAGTGGCGCAAAGGTCAAAGTGTTGCAAGCAACATACGATGCCATTGTCAAGCAATTCAACCTTGCCCGGAAATCCGAATTCAGAGAAAAGATGGGTGCTGTGGCTGATCCTATTTGGATCGCATATCCTCCTCATGGTCTGGGATCTAGAGGTATCAAAGCAATCATGAGGTTAGTCGAACCGCTTTTGCCGTTTTCCATGCAGCAAGCTAACCAAGTTTTCCTTGACCAGATTCTTCCAAGACGAATAAGTTATAGTACGACCTAAACATTAATGTCGCCATGACAAACGTACCGACGGAGCATGTCTGGCAGAACGGTAACGCAGACATGTAGCACGATCTATAATGAGTCGGCCTCCCAACCAGCACTCTTGCCTTGGACGACTTGAAGATTGTTTGACCGACAAGTCACAGGGGCCAACCTCCAAAACTAAGAGGATCTACCCGTTAAAATGAGTAATGAAGGAAGTGCAATGATCAAGTTTTGCTAAGAGCTCTGGGGAAGTGTTGTCGAGCTCATCGACATAGCATGGCGAGTCCTTTTCCTCTGGGGTTCGGTGTAAGGAATTGGACATGACAACATGACCTTGTTGAATACGAAAGATCGCTGTTTGGAGTTCCCTGTAGCTTGCTTCCCATACCCCTATCAATCCGCAACGCTTGAGTAGTTGGATAACTTTGTATGTATGTCATTATGAATGTTGCTCTTGACTCGCCAGCTGTATATACCTGTGGGTAAGAACATGTTTTGGATCAGAGAATAAATTTCATTGGAGTTCGTGATATCGCCACATTAAATATCTTGATTCATCAACTTTTCATCAATCGTGTTGACAACCTCGAGTAGTATTGATTCTCGTTGGGACCAAACCATACAATTTATTCAATCAATCAGTCAGTCAGTATATTGACAATCCTCCGAACACAATAGTCTGATTTCATTTCATTTCATGTCATGTCATGGGATCAATCCAGCCACAAGGCTGAAGGACCGAGGGTCTCTTGGATAGTGATCCCAATATCTGGAACTGACAATAGTACAGCCTTGCCTGCCCAACCACTTGTCCATTGCGACGTGTATCTGATTTTCTGTCTACATGATCACGAACTACTCTTCATAGTCCCACAATTCGCACACGTCCACCACATCTCCTCCATCCAATTATGACAATTGGAACATTCCCATCCAATGGGTTTAGCATCGCGTTTTCTGGCGGCTTCGGACTCAATTCGTGCTAGAGAATCGTATGCGTTCAACCGTGGCTGAAGCGATGGATGACGTGAGGGTTTGCTGGTGGATATGATTTTAGACGAGGGGTTGTTACCTCCTCTATTCGCAGAGTTCGGGCTTCGATCTTTGAAGTTGGACTTGGATTTGGTGGAGGTGTTGTTATCATTGCCACTGTCACTGCTGCTGATATTTATATTTCTGTCAGGTGGTTGCGTCTCACAGGCACCACAGATCAGATGGTCGATAGGGTTGATTAGTGTGCAGATGTCGCACGTCCAAGTTTGAGGTTGAGGTTGTGGAGGTGCACGGGAAGGAGGTGGCGGTGGAGGTCTATTATAGGGACCGTTTGACGACAAACGGTTTGATGGATTTGGATTGGTCGAGGGGCGAGATTGTCTTTGTAGGTTCTGTTCGATCTCGAGTTGTTCTTGTCGAAGTCTGTTTGCATTGAGATTACCCGATCGACTGGACGTTGATGATGCGGACGCTGTTTCAGGCGTCGTCGTGGAGTCATCTCCAAAGGCTGCGGCATCATCTTCGCGAACCAGCTCAATCATGGCTTGGATCCACGCTGCTTCATTCTCGTCCTCCCTTTCGGCCTGTGTTCTCGACACGGTGCCACCTTTGCTTGCTGTACCGCGAGCGATTGCTTTTCCTTGGGCGGTATCATTGCCACAACCACGATCGATTGCAATTCTTTGTTCGGCTGCCCTCGCAATGATGTCTCGAACGTCTTGTCCTCGAACAATGCCCTGACCGCCGAGTCTGGTACCGCTGTTTTTGGTGCGGATCGCACGCTCTTCGGCGGCTGCGCGGGCTCTTCTCCTTACTTCGACCATGGGCACATGTCGACCACCCAGTCGATTACCATGGCCGAGGAATCCTTCCCCGGTATACCCTTTGCGAGTCAAAGCCTCGTGTTCTTCTCGAAGTCGGGTCCATAAGGCATGAAAATGTTGATTATGGGGACCATGGACAATGTGGGATAACTCATGGAGCATGGTGTCGACTATCATTTCGACTTGCATGAATTGATTCTCATCATATGGCTGCCGAAGTCTCAATTGAATCATCTCGCCACGATTGGTGTTCATCCCCAGGAGAGAAATATCAGCCGGGTAGAATTCCCCGAGAATGCCAACCCGCCAACCTCGCTGTCGCATAATCGGCTTCACAAGAGAAGCTATCTTTTTCAACAATACCAAGGCTTCGTTGGCTCGTCTCTTGTCTGACAGATGTTCGAACTGCCCTACTAACGGGTCGAGTTCTCTGCTCGACGAGCGCGACATGTTTATATGACGACGGTGGATAGAGGAAGATACTTGACGAGATGGAAGGCTGAGGGTTAAATAGGTTGATTCTATGAAACAAACAGAAGGATAGAGTACATCACTGCAGACAGAACATGTCACTGTTGGAAAGCCATGCAGCCACAGTGAGTGGTGAAGTTGGTCATCTGATTGAAGAGACCATGGGTTGGTGTTTGTAGGGAAATGAATAACAAACGATGTGAGGGAGACGCCCCGCGAATTGGGTGATTACACAATCCCCCAAGCGCCGCCAGAAGATGCCAGAAGGCCTCTCCAACGTTTGTTTAATGAAACGTAGTCTTGAAGGAGATGGAGAGTGATGATTCGTAACAAGATGACAGCCTGATTGGCGCCACCGTCGATGGAATGGCACGTGACTTTTACACTCATCAAACCCCGCCTTCCCGATTGGTTACAGTTAAACGACATACTCGAAGGCTCAGAGCGAGAGACAATCGCAGACTCGACCTTCTCACGCCACCTCACGACAAGTGTCACCGTCAAGACAAGTCGACAAAGCAAACAGTGACCTCGATCCCACTCGAAGCCATGACGAGCGACGATCAACAATTCCTCGACTTGGTATGTCATATGCAACAGTGCCACTTGATATCCGCGATCAATGTCACTGCCTGACACACCTTGCTAACCTGTCCCGCAGCTCGCCAGTGTTCCCCAGGACATAGCCCACTATGGAAGTCGTATTGCCGACTACATCGAGAAACATACCAATACTATAGCCTCCGACATCCGCGATGCCATTGACTCGGCCACGTGGATTCCCGACTCTCTACGTCCCCTCCGTCAACCAGGTACCGGACCTGGAGCATTCTTCACTCGTCCTCCTCCACCTCCACAAGGTTTCTTGGAAAAGACTACCGCATGGGTGTCCAGGAACAGAACTGCGCTCGCCATCGTGGTTGCGTCCACTGGGACTTGGGTCTACCTAGTCTACCGGAAGAAAAAGGCGCATGCAAGGAAGAGGAGGGCAAAGAAACTCCCCAATGGAGCCAAAAAAGAGATTGTCGTGTTAGCGTGCTCGACCTTCCATGATGCTCTGACCCGGTCACTGGCACTTGACCTTGAAAGACGAGGCTATGTTGTCTATGTGACCGTCTCCTCCACCGAAGAAGACTCGTTAATTCAACAAGAGGCCAAAGCTGACCTCCGCCCTCTGTGGATTGACCTCACTTCCACCGTTCCCAATCCCACCGTCGACATTCATCCCAACCTTGAACCCATCCGAGAATTACTCACCAAGTCTTCTCGCCCTTCCTCACCGCACTCGGGTCGCACCGCTGGGGGATCCTCTCTGGGAAACATGACACTTGCAGGCATAGTCGTCTTTCCTGGGTGTTCCGGATATGCCGAGGGACCCCTCGCATTGCTACCTCCCAGTGACTTTGTCGACACCCTCAACACACGCCTTGTCAGTCCTGTACTCACCGTTCAGCAATTCCTCCCTCTCCTCGCAAATCATTCTACTGATCCCAAATCACCTTCGAGTATTGTCATTGCATACCCATCGATCCCTCGATCCCTGTCATCGCCTCGGCAAATCCCTCAGTCTCTCGTGACAAGTTCATTATCAGCCTTAGCATCAAGCCTCAGGCGAGAAATCAAGGTCGCCAATGCGAACATCACCGTCAGCGAATTGAAACTAGGCAACTTCGATATGGGTTCCGTCTCGACCGCACGAGAACCCCCCTTCCAGAGCACTGCCCGATTAGACCCTGCCAACTCGGCACTGACACAAACGCCCCGAACACACTGGCACAGCTCGCAACGAGCTGCCATTCAAAGACGGACTCTTGGCCAAAGGAGTTTCATTCGAGGCAGTTCAGCTCGAGATTTCCACAATGCCGTCTTTGATTCACTAGCCCCACCACAGACATTCAAGGCCTTTGGCCGGTTCGAATGGCAGAGCAAAACCAGATCGGACGTGACTTTTGTTGGAAGTGGTGCTCGTCTATACGATATCATTGGTTCGACTCTCCCGGGAGGTCTTGTGTCTTGGATGATGGGGTATCGACCACAACATCGGACCTTTGAAGCTGAAAGGCCTCCTACCATACCTGCTTCGCAGCCTTATGGTATCAAGTCTGAGTCGTCGGGCTTTGGCACACCGGTGGGCTCGACTCCTCCTGCTTGGGGAACACTTTCTGCGAGTAGTGAGAGTGGTTTATGGGAGAAGCTGTAAATCAACGCCAACGTGTGAGGTCGAGGGAGACGGCACAGGGTTTCTGATGGGTTCTGCTTGGGTTGATTGACTGTGGTTATGGATGAATCTATATTACTATTATTACTACCAAATCTCTTCTTCTCAAGAATCTCTATGGATGGGTTCTTTATCACGGCCCTGCTACTCATCTTTATATATATGTATATGGTTGAACGAAAGAACGAACCAAGGAATGAATAAACCAACTCTTCTTACTCCAAAGATGATACACTTTATTGGTGTGCTTCGAGAAGATACTATGTATATCTATGACTCGAGCCATGTAGCATGTTTCTGATGAATTATGTACAGTGTGTCCACTCCTATCTTCTCATCCTTCACTCACTCGCCTCTCATCTCTGCCTTGTCACTCGAGCTTTGATCGTAACGCAACGACGCCACCACCACCACCACCACCACCACCACCATGCGATTCATGATTCATTCGAGTCACTCTCTTGACTTTGACCCCGCGTCTTCCGCCTGGTGTTGAGTCACCTTTGAAACACGGTGCCCCCGTGGGAACGTGTAGCTGTTAGTTATCGCGTGCGTTACAGGATAGTGAAGATTGTGAGGGAGGAAAGGAGGGGTTGCGGTGGTGATGGATATATAACCGCCATGATGACCATCTGGTCTTTCAACCCAAGACTCTTTCCCTCCCTCTTTTTCTTTCTGAGTCTCGTTCGTATCTCTAGCTCTCGTTCATGAGTCCATTCCTTGATTGAACCAGATTTGTTCTTGGTCATCCATCTTTTGATCCCTCTTCTGGGTCTATCTCCTGCCATCACAGTCATTCTACCTCTTTGTTGGACTGAGCTTCCGTCACCCTGTATTGGGAGTGTCGTTCTCTAGTCGAGTCGAGGGCAAGTCCGACGTCCGACTTGCTCGAGGATCAGAACTCATCCATCGCCTTGCCGTCCCTTCCTTCCCCCCTCACTCACCTAGATTCATGTCTCGACCACACCTTTTTGATCAGTCATCGTCCTCGACATTGGCGTCCTCGAGCCATGGCCCCTCGCCAGAGACGCCATCGTTCACTACGGTGCCTACTGCCGAGGACCCGCTCACGTTTTACATCCAAAACAGCGATATCCCCGACGGAGCAATCCATCATATGAACGAACCGCTCAACGAGATACCGACAGCCCCTCCTGTCGCACTCAGACGACCGAACGATCCAGTGAAGCGCACATTCACTTTGAAGATCCTCGAGCCTTGCATCTTCTATGTGCAATTCCCCTGTGATCTAAACTGTCGGAGCATGGGCATCTGCATTCATTTTCAATTTGTCATCGGGGCCAAGAAATGTCCTGATGGTTTGCGTTGCGATATCTGTGTAAAGGAGGGTGTTGAGGAGGTACGTACCTGTGGCAGTGGTACGAGTTTGGGCCCTTGTGCGATTTGTCGTTTCTGTTTTTTTTTTTTCGTTTCTCTTTCTTTTTCCGCCTACTTATCTGATGATTTGATTCCCCTTTCGATTCTCCGTCAAGATTGCCACCGTTATGTCACAAACTGACAAACCACGGCGCCCGGGACCGGGAGGGGAGGGGTGTTCTTTCTATGCGTCGAAAGCCATGCATCCTGTTGAATGCCCTAGATTAAAGAGCCCGCAAGGGATGCTGTCCAAGGGCCGTGATGATGATGCAAGAACTAACATTTGTTCATCACAACCTGCAGGCTATCACAGCGAACCGCAAATGCCCTCTGCATCAGATTCGGAATCAGGCCAACCCGATCAGCAGCCGACCGGAAGACTTCTTAGCCAACCAGACACAAAAGGCTGTGTGTGAAGAAATCTTGCTGCGGTCGGTTTTCTGTCAGTGGGATGACCTCTCTCCTGGTCCAACCCTCTCTCCTGGTTCAACTTTGGCAGCCTCACCAAATCCCGGAGCTCATGGAAATGTCCAGGGTGGAGTTACGCATCTGCAGGATACGAGTGGGTTTGAGAATGATCTTGGTAATGAAGCTTTCATGGGTTTCAACAATACTGGTGGTGGCGGAGGTGGGATGAGTATTGGTGGCGGTGGCAGTGGTAACGATGCGCAAGGCCAACTCATGGACACATCCGAGTTGGAAATGCCAATTGGCTATGCATATGCGACGGGCGACAACTGACTGCCGCGTGGCATTACTCCTCCAATGTTCTGCCCAGTCTTGCTGAGACGATGCATTGGGCAGGGACAGCGCTTGTACTGTTTGATGTAGGTTCGATTCCACATTCAGGACCGTTTATCTTTTGGGGGGATGGTTAGATTGTGCCTCGAGATTAGCCATCTGGTATTGTGAGACTAAAGCTGAGATTGGGCTTTTCATCAACACTGTATAACGCGGGGAGTTGCAGTCATGATTAACTCTGATTGACTCAACTAGGTTTGAGCATGCATTCTGGCCAATGCAAGAAAATGGACTTTCGAGTTTAAGCCTTTGGTCCACAGTGTTTCGACCAGGGTCCGTTATCGGCCAGTCACTTTGAACAGAATGACTGTGAATGGAAATGATTATCATGTTATTGTTGCAGTATACCATATAGGGGCATCTGCCTGAACCGATGGTTATCGGACAGAGGTCGATACACAAGGTTTAGATTACGTGGTAGCAGAGGTGTTTGGGAGTGAACGCATCCTTGTTCCCAGCTCATCAATCAAAGCCTTGTAAGATTGTTATTAGCATATGCTTGGGCCAGAGCTTGGAACTTTGGAGATTCTTCTTTTTAAATGAGCTACTGCGATGAGTACGTTGTGGTTGGTAGGAGTCTCTGACTAGGAAGGTAGGTTAGCGGTTGGGTATAAGATCGGTACCGACATTAGTAGACTGTTAGGGTCGCAATGACAATGTGTCTCATGTCAATCATCTTCAGTAGACGGCACAAGAGGTCGCCGTGAGGTGAAATTGGTCCTGAGAATGTATGTAAACAATCAATGCCCGATCAGGCTGGGCCGCAACGATGTCATCGCTCTCCACGGATAGGATGTGAGATGGCATGAATGTCACAACGAGTGGATAACGAGGTACGGTAGAGAGGTAGGCTGTGCCAACGTGACAGTGTACTGGTACAGGGCCGATGAGATGGATATCTGACCAAGTGCGGATTTCAACGGTTGATGTTGGACAGGGGTTGGCATATTTGACGTAGCCATTGACATGCCTGTTTCATTATGACAAGACGGCAAATCAGCAACGGTGGATCTGTTGACATGGAATGGGCATGGGTCAGGGAGGCGAGGTGACGGTCGACACTATTACGACACAGACTGATGTGTACTCCGTACAGGCATAGTATGGTGCTAGTCTGGTCTTCAGCAATGGAGTCCATTGATCAAGGCGGTGGGATGCTGTACTTGGTGAAGATAATACGTCGTTGGTCGTGGTCGCTGGGTGAGATTGCAGGAAGCCAAGGCTGTTGCGCAGGCAGGATTTCAATGGGGTTGCCGCCCGATCAAGGAGGAAGGGCCAGTGGCTGGAGGATCGTGCACATCCATCGATGATGGGGATAGTTGTTCCATGGGTGTTTCAACGACGTGAAGGACTGGAATTCGCAATGGCACAACGTATGTTGTTGTTGAAACGGGCACGAAGGGGGCCTGTGCTGTGATGTCTGTCCAGTGGGAAGATTGAAGGTGGACTGTGCTACTACGGAGTATGCACTGGCACGGCAAGAGCAAGGGAGGTGGAGCAGGAAGTCACCAACCGTTGAACATCAATATCGGTGGAAGGCGCCACTGACGTAGTTTGGGCCACCCCCCGCAACCCCTACACCCCTACCGCATTGACCGCGTACTGTTGCTACTTACTGCAAATCTGGCTGCCCACCGCCGCCCAGATCGAGAGACGCTACAGTACGCATTACTCCAAACAGTATGCATCTACATCTTCGTCTTGTGGCTTGCGTCGTTCGGCGTATGCCTTACACCGGACTGGTTTTGTAGCCCCGGCTAGAGGATGACGATCAATAACGGGTCGTGTCCACCTTCTCCTACCAATTCAAGAATTCGTCAACCCAGCGACTACTCTGACATCTGCCCAAACATCAGACAGGGAGAGGGGTCCTACGGGGGCCCTGGAGCACTGGAGCACGGGGAGATAAACATGTGTTGTATTCGCCTGTGACACAGCCCGCAACTGAAGCAAATTGCCAGCATTATTGGCTGCAGGTTTTGTCGGACCCTAAGTATGCGGATGCGGATGCGGATGCGTCGACATCTGCAGCGATGACGTCATCGGCCAGCTCTTGCTCACGTGACTAGTCTTGGACGACATAGCTCCTACACGTGAGACGCTATGAGGATACTGGGAAATGGCAATGCCATGAACTAACGATAGGCGCGAAGATTCCCAAAGGTCAAGGACGAGGGCATTTGATATGCATAGATTTGCTATCTATTACCAGCGTGTCCTGGTACTAACGGCCCTCTAGGTTCTGACGGCAGACTTGGTCAAATGCCTAGCAGCTCCCATCGTTTGGACATTAACCGACTCATGCCACCATATCTTGTAGATGATCAAGACACGCAAGCTCAACTTGTAACATCTGCATGCTATAAGTGCACAATAACAATTCTCCGCGTCGTTGCGGAGTGTGACCGACTCGTTCCTCCAACCAAGCACAAAGCTACATGCTTTGTTGGTCATTCCTGGGTATCAATGTGGTCGTAAACTAAATAATATTTCTGGTCAAATAGCGAGTGTCGAGAATCGAAATTCGGCTGTGCAGACTGTGTCATGAGCCTGAGACGGCCTCGGAGCTTCTCATTCTTCTATAGCCTGACGAACATTCGCCGGGAGAAAACGCGTGGCGGGATGATCAGGAAAGGGATATGTTGTACAAGAGGGTCGGAAATTCAATGCGACATGACTTTGTCAAATAACAATTTTGAATACCGCCGCTGATCGGCGGGCCAGCATCTACTCCTCAACGTCGGAGTGGCTGGCGTTGGAAGCGGAGTCGCCTTTGTGAACCTTTTTGTGCCGGCGAAGGTTGCTGACCACAGAAAAGTGGCGACCACAGCCGTCGACATCGCAGGCAAATGGCTTCTCACCCGTGTGGCTGTACATGTGAGTTTGAAGAGAGCTTGGTCGTGTAAACCGCTTCTCGCAAACTCGACATCTGTGCTTTTTCTGCGTATTGGGAGCCATTTTAGATGAAAATTGGCCCATCATCGTAGAAGGAGCTGGGGGGCCCAAAGGCACTCCCATCATTTGAGAAGGGCGGGGTAACGTCCGAGAGTTGGCCATGGACTCGTAGCCAGCATCTGAAGCGGCCGAGCTGTAGTCGGTTGCGCTATCCGTCACCGAACCGACAGAACTAGGTGCGTAGTAGGGATACCCTCGCCCAGACTCGTTCGAGATGGATGAGTGATTGGAGCTGGTGTGAGGAAAGCCATACGCATCAGTTGAGCCGCGTTGGGCGCGAGCTTCGTAGATGTTGCGAGGCGTCAAATCCTGGATGCCCTGATGACCAAGGCTGGAATGGCTCAGGGCCAGCATGTTGCGAGACGCGTCGAGGTCAGCATAGCTCGCGTTGGCTGCTCTCGCGTTCTCTGAACTAAGTCTTGTCAGCGGCGAGTAACCGAGAGAGTCGTCAGATACATACGTGTCAGACGACAGCTTTCTCTGTTGTTGCTGCTGCTGTTGTTGCTGGTGAAGTGACTGAGCATAGTTGAGAGATGAATATGATGGTGCATATGATGATGAGGTTGCAGGGTAGGTTTGCTCGCCATAGGTAGAGCGAGGAACGTCTTGATAACTCAGTAAGTCGGGGCCTTGCAATCCACTGGTAGAGTATGCGCTACCTTGAGACATTGATCCAGAGACTGGAGGAAGATGAGTGTAAGGAATGGTCATGCCTGGTCGGGAGTTGTCTGTCTTGGAGAGCGAAGGAAAAGACGACGATGATGTGACTGTGTGGGGAGGCCACGGGTCGTTGAACTGAGGTTGAGTATGCATGTTGCTTGAATACATTTGGTCGTAACCCATGCCACCGTACTGTCGACCCTGGTTGTCAATGACCATCGTCATGAGGGCGGCGACGTTGGGGAGATTTCAATAGCTTAAGGGTGTAAGTTTGAGATGATTGCCACAGGCGGCGACAAGCTGGAGTGAATGGCAGTGATGAGCCTAGGTATCTTCGTTCCTAGAACGGTATGAAGATGATCCAAGTTTCGAGGGGATCAGCAAAGGTTATGTAGAATACCCTGTGGGGAGCCTGGAGGTGGGCAGTTGGGAGCTGGATCCACCCAGGATCTGTGCTGATCTTGTTCGGATTGCGTCGATGCTTGGAGGCTGATGGGTGAATGGGCCCCTTTCCTCTCTGATAGCAAAATGGCTTTGCTCCGGAGGATTTCAATTCTCAAACAAGTTCGGCGAGCGGCAGATCGACAGGATTGGTTGTTTGAGTTGAACACTGGCTTTTGGTGAGCCAGGCAAGAATAGGCTCGACGATGAAAGAGCCCTTGGGTCGGGTCTGTAGAATGCTTATGGACAGCTCTCTGGTCAGGAACATGTGATGTTGTCCAACGTGCTAGCTTTATTCAAAACCCGGGTGTCTCTGACAGGAGGGTTGATGTTTCAGAGGATGGAATGCTGCTGAATACTAATATATGTGCAAGTGTCTGGGAGCGGGGGGATTCAAGGTAGATAAGTTTGTTCGTTGAATGAGTGCCAAAGATGATGCTTGGGTTCACGGTCTCTTACGTCGTGGGCGTTCAGAAAGGCTTTGGAACATTGCTAATAAATCTTGGACATGCATGATGGCACTGTCTACATTTCCCTTGAAATGCAGGGTGTTTAGATTCGAAAACGGTGGTTGGATATAGAGGAGTGGAGCGACTTAGCGACCGATTGTGTGAGTGGTGGAGGACGATGCGCCAGCCCGGAAGATGAAGGTTCAGTGGAGACGGCCAGGGTGACACTCGAACGAGACTGGAGGGTAGGTGGGTTAGCAACTGGGATTTGAGCAGTGTCCGATTGAGGGCAACAGAGTGTGGGTGAAGTGTGTATTCCGTACCTAGTCAGCTAGCATCTCCAACGTGAGGTTCCTGCTTCACGGATGGGTCATCTAGTGGCCAGTGGCGACTCAACCTGGAAGTCTCAGGGCATCACTGAGTGGGAATCGATGTCATTCTGTCGAAACCCTGCGGGCTCATGAGGCTTCGTGGGCTTGCGGCTTGAAGCTAGACCAGGGTATGAGGTGGGGAGGCGCTGGAAGCCAGGGAGGGGTCCTGCGTTGGTGATACGGAGTCCAGCACGGAGGATTAAATCACAAGGGAAGATTGAGGGTCTTGCTTTAGCCTGTGCATGATGATGGAGGCTTGGGCTGAGTTTGGGCAATCACGGCAGCAGAGAAAAGAACCGAATGAGAAGTGCGTCAGTGGGTGGGCCTTTGACTCTTTTGGAGCAAGTCGTCGCTGTTTAGCGCAGGCGACTGCTCGATGGAGGCTTGAACTCTAAAGAGGTAGCGTTGGGACGCTTGGGCACCGTGGACACTCTCATTACGGAGTAGGTACTTGCACCACTGGCCTGCCGCCTGTAGCTTGGACTGTAGGCGGTAGGCGGTAGGCGGTAGGCGGTAGGCGGTAGGCCTCGGGCTGGAGGTAACGACTACGAGCATGCTACGCCGGCCTGTCGACCCACCATCCCAAAAGTCGGAGCAAAACAGCGATGGTCAAGGGCTGCAGCCACCCCGTTACTGGATGTGACCTTGCCGTTTGAAGAAAAAACGTAGGCGATATATCACAGCCAAGTGAGCCCAAAGTGGACATGTCCTTGGAATCGGAACCTGGAGAGTGATGGTTGTCAGCACCAAAGAGGGCTTTTAATTATCCATGTCCATAGCGCTAGCATTGGGGACTTTGAAGCAGACAATTCCCCATTGAGCATGATCTGTCAAAGTCGAATTGACCTGATCCCAAGAGAGGATTTTCAGGTCAAGCATCCAGCAAGCATGCCATACATGCGGATCACAGCGGGGTGTCTTGGGTGCTTTCTGTACCTGGGATTCGCTGTACTGGGGTAAAGACTGGTGGTTAAATCTGCGCATTGGGCTGTCAGTAAAGCATTGAGTGCTGCACGGGTATATGCTCCAAGCCTAACAGTGGCCATCAAGTGGCGCCTCCCCGTACAGCCTCCAGGCGCTGAAAGGGTCTCCGTGCGGGCGACAGGATTGACAGATGGCCTGGCGCGCCTAGTGGGAAATGTTGGTACGGAGTACTCGGTCCTTGATGTCCCCCCGGAATCCAGTGCCCCGTGCCCGCCATAAACCCCCTCAACATCGAAGGAGAGCAGGCCATTCATCATTTGGTTGAGCTGGAGGTCAAAATCCAACAAAGCAACATCATTCGAAGCATCACTCGTGCATCATGAACAGGGCTTGAAGCCATGGGGTCTACGCATTTGCATATTGGTGTGTATGCTGTCCGACCCAAGATCTAATCGGATAAGTCAACCCTGACCAATTTTGTGGCTTGCAGGTGGGCCGGGGCCTGATCTTGGGTGGATGGCTTGAGGACGTGCAAAGACTCCAACCCTCGAGCTTAGATTCAGCCACCTACGCAGCTGTGATGCCCTACCAAACTTTCAATTGACGCCGTTCCCCTCATTCTTGTTGAGGTGCCAGTGGGTGCCCAGTTGGCACGGGGAGTGCTAAACTCGTCGTGGTAGTTGTGTGTGTCTAAAGTACGCAAAGCACCAAGCTACCAGGCTAGCACTCCCTACCCCGTCGTGCCCATCGATGCCTGTCCGTCCTCTATGCTACGCTGACCCTGGAATAGCGTAATGTTCTGACCTTCTTTCTTGACCATAGCCTGTGAGACTCTAGCCTTGAGGCCTGGGGACAGTCTCTACTCCGTATGCCTGGTTGGTTGGCCTTCTCCACATACACTATCCTCCATCCTTCCAGCCTCAAATGTGCCCGTCGGATGTTAGCTCGAAAGGCTTGTGTGCCGATAGCCGGACACTCTTGCATTCTGTTCGGAACTGAGTGTCCTTTCGACTCGTCGCAATTTAGAACCCAGATCACCAGACACAATAGGCGTATGTGTGCGAGTGCGTGTGTCCTACAGTAGCATTCCAAACCATAACATTTCTGATATTGACATGTCGAGTGAAGTGCATGAACCTGGACCCGAGCTCCATTGCAGATCATTGTCTATCAACCTGGGGAAGCTGCGACAATCATTCGCACGTGAGAACCTTGAGTTTGACTCTGGTTCCAATACCAACGACCTGGTTGACTTCAACTAATGTTTCGCACTGTGCACGCATGATCCTTCACATTCCATGGAGATGGATTGCAATGAACTTGCTCAATGTTCTGGGTTACAATTGTCGTCATGTCTCAAGAATTTTCTCCGAACTGGATGGGGCTTAAAGTTAAGCTTTCTCACTCGAAGAAGGCCGGGTCTCTTCAGGATTTGGATGTTGTAGGCTGAATCTACGGAGCTATGAGTACGCCGGTCTCCAGAGCCACCAACAAGGTTTCGTTTCTTTAGTCTACTCCCGTACTCCTTAGACGCTGCGCGACTTGGTATGAGATCAGTCTCCGGCCGTCGGATTCACTTGTGCCCAAAATATTGATTGGTTGTTCGTTCTTATCGCTTTGGTGCAGGACCTTGCCCACCGCATCCTTACCCTCAACGCAGATTGAGCATCAAATTGGCCGGTCCATTCCATCAGGCTCTGGCGCTTGCTTGTTGACTTTGTCAACCTCATTTATCGAGTGGGTTTAAGCCGCTGAAGCAAAAGGTGCCACTTGCACAACTTGTTTGACCCGCCCATGTCCGTTTTGGAGGCTGTGCAGCCTGTGCTCTCGAGACGTGAACATCAAATCTACGGGTTATGGACAGTGGATCAAATCTGAAACGACGCCATCCTGGACCACCGCCGGGGGGTTTTACAGATTACTGTTAGCGTGGTTGGCTAGTGTCCGAGTGGCGTCCGGCTGCCCTCCCCTGCCCAAGGGCCTCAACCTGGCGTTTGCGCCTGTACGGACCGCCCACGGGGCTTTGCTTGGGGAGGCTTCAGTTGACTGGACAAGTCGTGATAAGGGTCTCAGGCTCCGGGTCACGGCGAACGTCATCTCACAACTTTCATGGTGTACGGGCTTCCGATGCCATTGGGCCACCCACTACCATCACATCCATTTCCTTGTCAATCGCCAACATCGACACTGCAGTCGTAAGTAGCTGCACGGGACTTATCACAACAACAATTAACAATGCATCAATTGAGAGATGGTGGGCACTGGTCAATTGCACTTTCGGACCATTATCGCGCGAGATGCAATAGCCATTGATAAATTGTTGCTGGTGGTGGTGTATACGTATGTGAGTGGGTGTCAACACCCAGGTCCCTGCCTCGAATGCATTCATTGCCTAGGCATTACGTTTACCACTCCTCAAACTCTTAGAGAGCATTTTCTTGATCATAATCCAAAAGCCAGGGGGTTGTCCAGCCTGACGATTCGAAGATGCTGTTGCCAATAACATACATTTCTATTGTTTCTTCATGTCACATACATGTAGGGATGTGGGATAGCGGTCTGCAGGGCCTTGGTGGTGGCGCTCTTGCAACCTGGTCGAGTTTGGGGACAAGGTGGAGGGACTGAGGCCTCCAAGTCGACTCGATCCGGCGACTGTGTTAACACACAATTGTTGGATGCGGCTAAACTGTTAATTGTAGGCTCTTGGGGCAGCTGCTTTGGTTGAAGCTCGAGGACTTTGCATCCCCAAGGCCCGCTAACATCACGACCCCAAAACGACACTTGCATGCTTACGGCCTATGAGGCCATGACCAAGAAATATATTTCCGACTACCTATCTATCATGCCTATCTAGCTGTGCATGAAGGTGTCGTGAGAGTCTTGTCTTTCTCAAAGCATCCGGCCGGCCGGCCAGCCGGCGCAAGACTTGACGTTCAGCCACGATCAAATCCTGCAAAGGTGGTGGTGGTTGTCTCTGCAGACTACCTACGAGTAGGTACTAGAGGTACCTACCTAGGTAAGGCACACATAACCGCCTGCCTTTCTCGTAGGCGGTGAGATGGTCTTGGAGGTACCCTAAACACCCCCTAGAGGACCCTTTGGTGGCGGCCGGGGAGCCCCTCAGTGTCTCCCCCACCAACCATTGCTCATCCAACAATCTACCTTTTGTTTCCCCATTGGCACCCCCGAACCCGCCCCCCGTCACGGCAACCGTAGGAAAGTATCTTTCGTCCATTCTGAATTCTTCACAGGCGCATAAACACACGACAAGGTACTAACCTACTCGTACTCCGCAGCCTGAAAAGGAATTCCTCAGGCATCTGGACTAACCTGCTAGGGATCCCGTATACAAACCAAATGCAACCATCGAGTGTAACCTCTGCCAACCTCCAAGAACCCACTGTGCCACCTTGCCAGGACCACCTGGGATCAACGTCTGTTTCTCTTGTCCTCAGCCGCCATTCGCTCGCTTGTTCTGTCGACAATGCACCCCGACTACGTCAGTGCTAAAGCCGATAAACAAAATGCAAGTATTGTACCTAATGTGCTGTCCAAAGTACTGCCAAAGTCCAGGACACAGATTTCCGTACTCAGTACTTAGTGCCTATCCTAAGGTACCTTAGGTGCTTAGGTACATATGTGGCTGCCGAAACCCCCCTCCAAATCATCATTTCTGCGACTTGGCCAATAGTGAAAGAATCAAAAAGGGTCAGTTTGTAGCCTTTAGGTTTAGCTGCCAGTGGCTTCTCTTTCCTGGCAGCTCCCAGCTTCTTAGCAACAAAGCAAGACAGAACTCTCATTTCTTCGAGGTTTCTGACGCCTGACACCTGACTGAACCTTGCGTTGAGGAAAAAAGAAACAGAGATCGACGCCAGAATCTCCTCCCCCGGAACTGTCTTGTTCTTCTTGCTCCCACCCCAATCTGTCCGCCGTTATCGTACCCTGTCGATCATTGCAGATCCGGGTTCCTCAGCGCCTCAAAAGACTTTTTGTGGCGAATAGTTACCATACCAATCCATCCCCTGGGGATGGGAATCTCAGATGCAGGGCAAAGCCACCAAACAGTCCTAACTTTGAACGTTTCCCACCGGGCATGCCCACCATGCAAAGCATGCCGCCAAATGTTTCCACCTAGATCTTGGTTTACTGTCATGTGTATGCAGAGTGAGAGTAGCGTCTTTGACACAACAGATCGGTCATGTCCTGTATCTATGCCATTGTGATTCCTATCGCCTCTAGAACGAGACACATCTCGAGCCCGCGTGCATCGCTAGCCTTTGTCGAAACGGGACAACGTGATTGTCAAAACTGATGACTCGGTACTGTACTACTGTTGACCTCGGTTTCTCAATATCACGTAAATATAATCAGCACTGTAAATGAGAATTAGAAAGCTCAGCGAATGTACTGTAGGTCAAAACGCATACTTTAGATGGCCACCTACGCACACCACCATCACGTTCACAATCACATTCGCGGTTACGTTTTCCCTGTCGGTGTGTACTTTCTGATCATGATCATTAATTAATGATTGAGGAGCCTCACCGACATCACTACATTTGCATCTGCATCTGCATCTACCTCTGCAGGGTGCTAATAGAGTCATCCGGTCCAGCCAGCGTGGTGCATGCATGGTCCGTTGGTCTCCCTTCTCTCCTCTCGATAGCACAATAATAAGCCCAATTGAAACGTTTCCAGTCATCACTTGGTCCATTATGGATTTCTTAGATCGGACGTCTTTCCATTTCGAGGCTCCCTGTACAATCATACATACAGAAATGATTTATCTTGACTAGGGTCGTCTACACCGCACGCACGGCACGGCGCAGCATGAGCATAAGCATAAGCTGTTATTTTTTACTACTAGTACTGTACGTATATCCGGACACATAGGACGTGTGTAGCATGGCGGAACTTGCTTCATCCGCTGGTCTGATCTGATGTAGTCACATGAGAGTCCTCACTCACATTCCACTGACTGTACATACTACTACATATACACTACTCCGTAAGTACACTGGTAGTCTCTCTTTCTTCCTTAGTCCCCATGCTCGCCTGATTTTCCTAGCGCCATAAGATGGGGAGATTGCGCTTTTTACTTTTTTACTTTCTCGCCAAAAAAATCCCGGTCGCCGGACACCGGAAGCCAGACAAGCGAGGGGAAAAGAGAGGAGAAAGGATTATGCGGCGAGTCGATGCCAATCTGACCAAGTGGACTGTTGCGACATCTTGCCGAACGCGCCAGTGTTGGTTGCTGTAGTCTGTCTCAGGTTCAACTAGTTTAATGAGAGCCTTGTCTGCGAAAAGGTCATGCACACACCACAAAGACACCACCGGTCCACAGACCACCCCAAGACACCTTGTCATTTGTACGAAATAATCCGATTCAATGGATTTTGGTGAGTGGAGTAGCGGAGAATTTCTTAGCTAAGGTAGGGTGCTCGTTGGTCATATCACAGGTCTCGGATAATAATATTGAGGGTGGATTTCAAAACGAACCGAGTACATGGGTGGGTAGTATGTAGTATGTAGTATGTAGTAGGTGGGTGGGATTTTTGTTGATTCATTCCTGCTGAGCATGAGCATGAGTGAGCAGAGAGGGACGTGATCCCCCCCCCTTCCCGATCGACCGAAGGAAATTTGAAGATTTGCTTTTCTGAATCTGTCAATCACTTATGGCGTGTGGTCCTGTCCTCAGCTACAGTCAAGCCAGGGAAACCGCTTGAGCAAAAGTCGTAAGATGGGTCGGAGATTAGGAGAGATTGATGGCACAGCCCCAAGCTGAGGATTTCTCGAGATTCTGATGCAGCCTTGTCACGTAGTGAAACTGAGATCGACGTGGTAGAACCTCTGGACTGCTCCTGTGCCTGTATCATTGACGACTAGATGATGGACAAGTCAAAATCTGAGGGCGATCCTATCTTTCTGAACGAGGAACCGCTGCTGGATGTCTCGAGAGGAAACATCTGAGGTCTGGATACGCTTCATTCTTCCGTGTCGTGCATGTTCAAAATCTTCCGAATGGACCCCCACAGAGATCGACGTGGAAATCATGTGTTCCTGGGTGGAAAGCCACGAAGCATCCCAGGATCACACGCGGCGCCGGCCTGAAATCAACGTTGCAGATGATGCACATGAGCGACATGGAAATCGAGGTACTGTATATCAAATGCTTATTTGGGTGCTGATCTTGTTGATCTCGGACATTTGAGGCTCTACTACCAATTTCCGGCAAGTCCACCATCATCAATGTTCGCCTGGTGCGTTTCGTTCGTACTAGCAATGTTTTCATACTTCGTCACTTCGCTGTCTATCCTAGATGTCAATTGAACGCGCCCAACGCCCGCGGACCTTGTACCGACGTCTGGTCACGTGATATAATACTGGAATTCCAGAATCTGATACAAGGTCAAGACTGTAAGCAGGAAATAATTCATGTCTGTTGCTCTTAATGTATCCGTTTGAGCTTTTCGGTCTGGTAGTGTAATCTGTCGTCGAATCTGTCGCTCTGCATACAACGTTAGTTGATGACCAGCACAATCAACGTCCGATATCTTACCTTTTCCGCAATTCTCTGGATCAGTTGATTTTGTTGCTCAACCTCTTCGCCGGTGGCTCTGGCCAACAGATTGAGTCGTTTGGCTGCGCCGGACAAATCATCCAGATTGCGGTCTATCTCATTCTCCATGGCGTCGTCCTCGCTATCAGCCTCAAACTGATACTTGGCGCGCTCAGCGAGACTCGTCTTTTGCTTTGGTTGAGAGGAGACATCATCGAGACCCTTGAAATTCTGGTTCATACGTTGAGACGTTTTAAAAGCAGCCTCACGTGTGGCTTCCCGGTGCATGCGTTCTGTGTGATGTCGATCCATGATCTCTTCGTCACGCCTGGCCTTTCGATCTTTGGCGGTGAATGGGTTGTTGACGTGGACCGCAAACATGCTTCGGTTTAGTGTCTTGAGTTCTTTGGTCTTGTCCTCGGCCACATTGATGTGGTTGTTTCCAATGTCCAGGTTTCGATCTGTATTGTGCATCCGCTCTCCCTGCGCACCGAGACGAGCCAGAGTATTGCGCCCAGATTCCTCGGCTTGTGCAGCGATGCGGAGTGCATTTCGAGTGGAGGCCACATCTTGTTGTTTCATGAACTTGATCTCTTGTTTGGTGGCCTGGATGTCCTCCTCTTCTTCCTCCTCGGCCGTCAGTTGCCGGTCACCGTACGCCCCATAACTTCTATCAGCTGCCTCGTTATCTGGTTGGTATTGATAGCCCGGTGGCCCACTGGCTTGCGTGGCTTGCTGCTGTTTTTCCACACGTTCACGTGCTCCGCCGAACAAAGCATCTCGGTTGTCGTCGTTGTCCATTGAACTGCCCCCTAGACCACCATAACCACCCTGTCGTGAAGTGCCACTGGTCTGTTGAACACTTGCGTATGGATTGCTGCCCGTGCCGCTTCCTCCATAGCCATTCTGGTTTCCGAATCTTTCGGATGAATATCCTCCACCGCCATATTTGTTATCGCCTGCACTTCCTCCCATGCCAGGCCGTTGCTGACCAGGGCCGGGCAGTCCACCAGGGTAGCCACCCTGCGGTGCTCGTCCGCCGCCATAGCCAGCCTGACCTGGGCCTGGCGATGGGCCTCGTTCGGGCGGAGGCATGACGCCTGCATTTAACTTGGCCTTTGTATAAGGATCGGCGGGGATGGCTGTTTGTGCGTAAGGGTTTTGTGCGTAAGGGTTCTGGGATTGAGGTGCGGGGGATTTGTCCTTTGACCGGGAGCCGAAGAGGGCTCGTCGTCCAGATTCATTATCATCATCATCACCTTTTTTGAAACTGAACTTGCCCATGTCCGCTAATACTGGTGAAATCAAGAAGGGCAGCGATGAAGAGGCGAATTAATGGTCGAATTCGGGTTTGCAGAGGACAAAGGATGAACAAGGAGAAGAAGTTGAGTTCTTATTGTAAGGACGAGCTGAAACACGGAGCCTGCGTGTTCAAAGGGCGGTGCTTCAACGGTACGGCGGGGTTTGAACCAGGGGCGGAGTCTGACACATTCGAGAGTCCTGGCGGTGGAAGTCGAGACCCAAAAGACCAAAGGCGTTCGAATTAGAAGCGAACCACTGCGGCACTGCGGCACTGCGGCGAGTGTGACGGCGATTGTAACTGGAAGAGTGGCACGAGTGGATAGTTACGACGGAGCCACAATTTCGCCGCTCCCGGAATGGTGCTGCCTTGGGGAAGTCATGGGAGTTGAAGTTAAAGCGGCGGTCTGGCGGTCTTGGCATGTTTGATTGACCCAAGGTCGTTCCTGCCTCCAGTGACCTCCAAGAGCATCGTAGTTGCCATTTACAACTTGATATTGAGAGAATTTGACGCCCTCATCAATCATAACATGATCACTTTCCGTGCCTCAAGCTAATAGCTTGGCTGACAAGGCGATCACACTTGAATTATCCTCTCTACAGGTGATTCTTGCCTGATGGCTCCGAATATCAACAAAGAAGCCGAGTATCTGAAGAATAAAGCGAGGAAAGAACTCCTCGGACTACTTGAAGGTGTAAGTAAGGCTGAGCCCGAATACATGACTGACAGTACCGCTGACTTATGTGTCTCAGGTCCGTGGTAAGAAGAATGTGGTAATTGGAAAGGATTTGACTGGCCCGCTGGGGTTATTTGTTCAATTCTCTACCCTCAAGGAGTATGGCGTGGACAAGGTCTTTGAGCTTGAGAATGGAAACACAGACTCATCTCAGAGGAATATTGTCTACCTTGTCCACGGGGAAAAGGCCAGCATAGTTCAAGCTGTGGCAGGTGAGTGACTACCCTTCTGGATTTCAAGTAATGGACCTGAAAGAGATTGCTTGGACCGATCACACCCACTCTTCGCTTTCAATCTGGGTCCAAGAACATGGCTCAAAGTACCACACTAGACTGCCCTAGGCGGTTCAAGCTCCTCTACAACACTTCTGTTATGTGAGCTTCAAAAGGTACTGACATCTCTACTTGCAGAACAAATCAAACAGCTGTTAAGGAATGGCACGGTCGACCATGAAATCTCCATTATCTGGGTTCCCAGGCGAACCCTAGTCTCAAACAAGATCTTGGAGGATGAAGGTGTCCTGGGTGATGTCAACGTGTCCGAGCTGCCGCTCCTTTTCCTGCCTCTGGAAGACGACATGTTGTCACTCGAACAGGATGGTGCATTCAACGACCTATACTTGGTAAGCACAAACTTAATGTCTCGTCCAGAAATTCTAACTCTGTCCTAGAGACACGACCCTTCACCTTTGTATCTCGCCTCCAAGGCACTGATGCAAATCCAACAGCGACATGGACTGTTCCCGCGTATCCTTGGAAAGGGAGATAACGCTCGAAAACTCGCAAATCTTCTTCTACGAGGTCGGAAAGAACTCGATGCTGATGAGGCGGCAACACAGTATACGAGCATGCCTAGTGATTCAATTGAACAACTAATCATCATTGACCGAGATGTCGACTTTGCCACCCCAATGTTGACCCAACTTACATATGAGGGTCTGGTCGATGAGCTCGTTGGAATCAAACACAATCGAGCAGAGGTTGACTCCTCTATCGTGGGAGCAGCGCCTCAAAGGCAGCAACCTACTGGGTCGTCTACCACATCTCCGCAACCAGCAGTTCGCCAAGGGTTGAAGCGTAGGATCCAGCTAGATTCGTCAGACAATCTTTATTCCCAGCTACGATCTTCGAACTTTGCCCTCATTGGACCGACATTGAACAAGATTGCACGTCGACTCGAATCTGACTATGAAGGTCGTCACAACGCAAGAGGTATCAATGAATTGCGAGACTTTGTCAACAAATTACCCGGCTTCCAACAGGAACATCAATCACTCGCAGTGCACACCAACCTTGCCGACGAGTTGACCAAATATACACGATCCGACACATTCGGTCGAGAGTTGGAAATCCAACAGAACCTAGCAGCAGGAACCGACCCCGTATACCAGCATGACAACATTGAAGAACTCATCTCTCGTGATGTCCCAATTTCTACAATACTCCGTCTGTTGTGTCTAGAATCTACGGTTGCTGGAGGCCTTCGTCCAAAGGATCTGGAGTCGTTTCGAAGGCAAATTCTCCATGCATACGGCTATCAGCACCTTTTAACACTTGATGCCCTGGAAAAGACAGAACTTCTACAACCTCGCTCATCTGCTTCGGCGCTGCTTCTTCCGGTAGGCGGTGGCGGGTCGCAATCAGAGAAAGGAGCCAAGACCAATTATGCGTTCCTGCGCAAAGAGCTCCGCCTCATTGTTGACGAGTATAATGAACAGGATCCGGATGATATTGCCTACGTTTACTCTGGTTATGCCCCTCTCAGCGTCCGACTTGTTCAATGCATTCTCCAGAAGCAGTATCTCCAAAGTTTGCACAAATCTCCATTGCCCCTGACGCCGACTAGTACGGGGTGGACGGGCTTTGAAAATATCTTGAAATCTGCCAAAGGCCCCACCTTCAACATTGTACAACGGCCAGTAGATGAAAAGGCAGCCAAAGCGAAACAGGTCCTAGCTGGGACCAGCGGATGGAAAACAGTCTTTGTCATGTTTGTTGGGGGAATCACTTTTACTGAAGTGGCAGCATTGAGGTTCATGGCTCGGAAGATGGTCGAGTCGGGCCAGCGAAAAAACGTTGTGATATGCACAACGGGGGTCATCAGTGGGCGGAGCATCATGGATGGACTGATAGAAAAGTCTACTCTTGGTTCAGGTCTGACAGCTAGCGGCTAGATCTTGGAAGGAGAAGCGCCTGAGGGCAAAATACTAAATTCCGCCTTGACGCCCAAGTGGTCAGTCACCCAACCGCCGTCTAAGCCATCTTCTTTGATCAACATTTCTTTGACGCTGGGGTCCTCGACCTCGACGCCCAAGCCAAACTTTTGAAACGACTCCAGCTTCAAATTGCCGACAAAGTAGAATTTGTCCATCCTACTGGTTCCGAACTGAGTTCTCAGCTTGACAGGGGCCATGTGACCCCAGGTGTGGCCTTTGTCGCTGTCCTCTTGGCCGCCACTGACCAGGTAGGCATCCTCAAGGCCGTTGTCCGAATGCAATTTATGGTCAAAGGGCTGGATGGCATTGAGATCGCCCCCAAGTACACTAGCACTGACAGCAGGATCTTTCATATGTTGAGCAGCAGTGGCGAGCTGATGTGGCCGTTTGGGAGGGTCAGCAATGAGTGATTCGAGGTGGGTGTTGCAGATGCGAAGAATGGTGCCTTTCCCCAGGTCGACATCGACAAAGAGACCATCACGCTCCATGGCCGTCTCTTGGTAGTGGACGCGGAAAACGGACTTGATGGGCAATGCCTTGGGGATCAGGGTCACGGTGCCATAGTGGCCACTCTCCCAGTGCTGGGCATTGAGGTCGGTGAGGTTATACGAGGATGTAATCCATGGGATAGACATGATCAACTCCACATCGGTCTCGAGCATTTCTTGAAGCATGATGATGGTTGGCAAGCTAGTGGAGTCCACATGTGTCTTCAAGTGCTTCAGCGCCATGGACATTCTTTCGTTGGTAAAGGACAACATAAAATCGATATTCCAAGACAGAATAGAAAATCCTGAGAATGTGGTCGTTGCTGGTCCCTGTGACAGCGAACCTTCATTCCACGTCTTGTTCTGTGCTGAATAGGTGTAATATGGCTGAGCATAGCGTTCTTGTCGCTTCCATGGATGAGATGTCTTCTTCTTTGACTCTATCAACTGAAAGATACGCAAGAGTTTAGGGTCCATGCTGATGGCTGAAGTTGACGCTTTGCGTGCAGCAGTGATATGGGACTGGATGAATGTTGGCCGAACAAGGAGAAGAGCACGAGACTTCATATAGATAAACAGAAGAAGAATCCTGCCGTGATAGACTGAGTAGTGTCACGCCTGATGTCGAGGGTGGAGGTCGATATTACCGTTCGGGGGGAATTTTCTAGTCTGACGAGACTAAATTCCCTTGACTATCCGTGACGTCGTCATATTCCAGAAGGGAAATCGGTAGAATTATTTTGTCAGACTTGGCATTATTTGCATTACCAAACATCAAACCGAGGTTCGACTTTATTTTATTCGGAACCAACGGCGATTGATTATTTGTATGGTTCATCAACGACAAACATGTTGTTCAATGTTCTACGTACCAGCTCCATTCCAGCCCATTGACCATCACGGCGCTGATAGAGACTCTACATCCAGCAAGTCATGCCGCTAGACCATCAGCGTTATATTCCCTGTTTCCAGCTTGCTTGATTTGAAATGGCACCTGAAGGACCCCCTGGCGCCTCAGAGCCTCCATCCACCGCGACAAAACGACCCAGGCCTGTCATCTCATGTCTAGAGTGTCGCCGAAAGAAGTTGAAATGTGATCGCGCTTACCCTTGTCAGCAATGTGTCAAGATTGGTCGCCCAGGTCGCTGTCAATACCAACGAGGTTCTGAGCCTGAAACTAACGGCTCTCATTTTACTGAAGCTCATCCAAAACGACCGCGTCTTGACTTCAGCGATATCGCCAAACCTCAAGAATCGACCTCAACCCCCAAGCCAGTCTCAAACGAGATCGTTGTTCAGTCAAAACCCGGTATCATCGAAGATCTCCAGGACAGAGTGGCGAGGCTGGAGAAGGCTTTGATCTCTCAAAATGAAGAATCAGCAGCCTCGTCTAAGGCTACCAGGAACTCGGGCGTCGATCATGGTCGGGATATCGTGGTCAACAACTTGACCAAGCCAATGGTAAGTATCTATATTCTCACGGCTCAGTCGAGTTCGAGTTCTACTCTTACAAGTCCTAGTTTCCGACTGCTTGTTCGTTCATGAAACTTCTCGATGCGGACACCACCAATGACCAAATTGTCGGTCTCCGAACAGATCTTAGAAGGATCCATTATACCATTGAAGCGCATGAGCTACGAACAACGCAACAAGCCCAGCTCATGCCAACAATGACTTTTTCCCTGCAAGACCTACCCCCCGAAAACGTGTGTGCATCTCTCACCGAGTTGTACTTTGACAATCTGGAACACTGCTTCCGAATCCTACACGGACCCGACTTCCAACGCCAATTGAAAATCCTCTTCACTGATGGTCAAGGTCCTACAGCCTGCAGTTTCGCCTTTCTCCCGCAGCTGGTAGGAGTTCTGGCCATGGGTGCCATGCTGGGAACCCACACAGAATGTCACCTCGCCTTGTCATATCCCTTAGTTCAGCAACACGTGGCTCTCAAATTCATGAACGACTTCATCGCCGGGCTCAACGGGACACAGATATGTCTACTCCCCTCCTTACAAGTCAAGATGTTGGCCCTCATACTCGGCTGGCTGGCCCTCCAACCTCTAGGCGATGTATTCCGCGACCACGGCCACATTCTTCGAGACGCGCTGATTATGCGAATGGATCGTGATCCCAGCACTCTACCAGAACTCAGTATCTACCAAGGAGAAATGCGTCGACGCATATGGATGACCATTGCCGAGGTTGATCTCATGTTATCCATCCTATGCAAACTCCCCTGCATGATCCCACAATACACATGCCGACCACCACAGAACGTCAACGACGACGAACTCTTCGAAGGCATGGACCAACTTCCCCAGTCTCGACCAATGGAACAATGGACCGATGGTCTATGTCAATATGTCCTCGCACGCTCCTACGCGCGCCGACTAGCGGCATGCAAACAACTCGAAGCAGGAGACACTCCCATCAAATCAGACGACGTGCTACAACATATCGCATACCTAGAAAAGGAACTCCAGGACCTGCCGCCACCTTTACGATTCTCATTCGACGGCGACGAAGACAGCAAGACGCCGCCCCGACTCATGGCGAGAATGGAACTCGACATCTCCATCCGTCGACCCCTGATGCATTTATATTCAAGTCTCGCAGCCGCCCAAAACCCGGATATCATCCGTCCTGAAACTCGAGCCGGCTTCATCCAATCTTGTCTGATGCTCAGTGTCTTTCAGGATTTGTTCGATCCCGAGTTCTCAGAGATCAACGTGCCCCGTCCAGAAGGATACTGGGATTTCTTCTACAATGTCTATCGCCATGAGTTGGGCTCTGCTATTCTCGGTCTATGTTCCGAGATCCGACATTTGCATCGTCTCCAATCCTCGCTGTCTATCAGCTCAAGTCCCACTCCTAGCCCACAGGGTGGCGGCTTGTCTTCTACCACTTACAACGCCAGCGCCAACGCCAACGCCCCCGCTAGCCGCGTTGCAATCCCCGCTGGGAACGCACACCACAGCAATAGCTCAACACCTACATTCAGACCTCCGACATACACACTAGCTGGCATGATTGCCAGTGTTATCGAAACCCTCGAACCAATGGTCCGGCGCCTGTTATATCCACACGCTAAATTCAAGGATCTAGTCTACTACACAATCGTCCTGTTTTCGATTCGTCCTGGTCCGGCGGGGGAGGTTGCGGAACCAGAAGAAGGAGATGCAAATGGAAATGCAGGAGGGGGAAATGGTGGTTATGATGTCCAAGCCGCCATCATCAATGCTCTGCGAAAGTTGGTTGAAGACTGTCATGCTCATCTTCAGGGAAAAGGGATTCAGATCCTGCAGACTCAGCCGGGAAATATAGTAGGGTCAGCGGATTATAGGATTCCTCCGGGTTGTGGGCCGGCGATTGGTGCTAGGTTCGATCCTTGTTGGCTTGGGTTTCCAGATTTGGATATCTTCGAGTTTGCTTGATTCCATCACTGGACGAAGACATACGGACATATTGAAAAAAGAATGTGCGACTTGGACTAGGCACAAAGTCGGACCCTGTACCACTCAGCCTCGGACACGCGTTGAACTGTTGATCGTTAATATCACTAGTTTGAATGCGCCCTTTGGTTCTCTATATACACCAAGCTCGGTCTCTCCACGACTACCTAGCTCCAGTCATGTTACTCTCATGCCATTTTCGGATATATACCCAGTTTTGCGTCACTTCTAGATGCTTTAGATTCATGCTTGCATTTCATAGATTCATCTTTTGAACCTGTCGCTCATCACTTCCAACGCCAATCATTAATGCATGAGTTTCTTGCTCCCCTATTCATAAATGCTCCCCAGTAGATGCTTGATCATTTGAGTGGCTCTGTTTGAAGGATGACCGATCCTTCGTGGCAAAGAATGCTTTCCCAGGTCCTTTGTCGGCCAAGGACCGGAATCCCTCGATCTAATTTTCTGTTGTTGTGGTTGTTCGTGGTATGCTTTTTTCGACGATGGATCGCAGTGGGTGTAGCCCTACCAAGGCTCCTGTCTCAGCCGAAATACTTTCTCAACCCTTCATAAATACTAAATATAATGGCTGAGCTCGGTGCTGCCCTAAAGACGGTGATGCCACAACCTCGATAAAAACCTTTGAGTCCTTGCTCACGCCAGAGCTCTCGCCCAGTTGCGGCGAAAGATAGCTGTGTTGCACCAATACCTGCGGTGTTGGAGGTCTGCATCCGAGATTTGATCGTATCGGCCGGATAAAAGGCAAAATTATAAGACATTCCAGCTGCTGCACCAGCAAGCATCTGCTGCCAGACCTTGACATCCGAGATTTGATTGATTGAGGGGTCGTATTTGAGAAAGAGAATCTTGACACCCTCATATGATCCAAACCATGCTGCAGATCCTCCAGTCTCTCGGATCAATGTGCCTAATTGTCCATGCCAGAATCCCATGAGACCATGGTTGCGAAAGGTGATACGGATGAGTTGCAGCGGCCCAGGAGGTTTGTTGACAGAATAACCCAACTCTTTTGCAATATGAGAAGGTGGCAAGACCTGCATCTTACACTTGATCAATTCAATTGGCGTCAAGAGTAAAGAGGTGAAGGCTCCCGAGGCAGCACCGCATGCAGCCAGGGCTGAGAATGGCAGTTCGACTTTGCCAGAGGCATCGTCTCTTGAGCGTCCAAGTGAAGGTGTGTATTTAATGAGGAGATCTTGTGCAACACGATAGCTGAAAAAGAGGGATGAAGTTTCGACGGCGGCACCGACGAGAGGGGCACTGATGCCTCGATATAAAGATATGAGAGGGCCTTCGGGGCTTCGAAAGGCGGCAGAAAATGCTTCGAGGGGTCCAGCAAGTCGTTGTGCACCAGGTTGAAGTGACTGCGACTGTAGACGAACTTTGACTGTGTCAAAAGGATATTCCACAAACTTCCCCAAGACACCAGCCGTGGAGCCAAAGACAATGTCCTTGAAAGCCTCCAGACTCTGGCTAGGTTTCGTTTGATTGTCGTTGCTCAGTGTCATGGCTTTATCCACCTGCTGCAGCCCAGCCCCGGGGGTTATATCATTGTTGAAAGCCGCCATCCGTTGATCGAAGGAGGTGGACCTTATCAAAAGCGCAGGTCAATAGAAATGAGTGTTATCGTGGTAGCATGGCGGGCGGTTTATGAGAGAGGAGGGAGGGTTGTGGTGAGGGAGCGGTGTCGATAAATTGGGCAGGGAAGTCGGTCGAAGAGCGACACGACGAGGGGCAAAGATGAAAATGGAACTAGAGAATCAAGATTGGAGGAGAGGCATGTGAAGCATTTACTGAACTCCACTAATGCATGCGGCGAGTGGAAAATTGCATTTGATAGACGGTCAGATTTTGCAAGCCGATGTCGCGAGATATTTTTTGCACAAGAAGAGGCGATCACGGCGAGGCAAGAGCGCAACTACTCCGTACGACTCATAGTCGCAGCTTCCTCAGGATTGGCGGGACATTCTGGATCAGGACTAGTGTGAACGCTAAGATAACGATAAGACATACTGGAAGCAAAAACTTTGCCCGTTGACCAGGCGGGTCTTGAGACCAACTGCAGAACATTTGTCAAGTGGTCACCGCCTCAGATTCCCATCCAGGCGTCTGCCTTACTATCTTCGGTTGGTGGTTGTCTTCGCTCGAGACGACTCTCTCGTGCCACTGAGGGTAAACCGACCTTTGCAGTGACGAGAAGTCCCTCACCATGTCCACGCCCACGCCGGACGCGCGAGTTGAGCCCGTTTCTTCCTCTACTTCGCTACCTGAGAAAGCGCGGGGAATGAGAGTGAACGGTACAGTTTCCTCGTGAAGAACAGGCGACTTCATGGGCTAACGGTTCTCCACAGGGAAAAACTGGCATGCCCCGAAAAAGGCTTTTCGACCAAATGCTGGTCAAGTCTCTTACGCCAAACGCAAGGAGCAAGACAAGATCAAGCAGGTGACCAAGGCAAGAGAATTGGAAATGAAACAAGAAAAGGAGCAGGAGCGGGATAGGAGGATCCAAGCCATCAAAGACCGCAGGAAAGCCAAGGAGGAAAAGGAAAGGTACGACAAGATGGCAGAGAAGATGCACAGAAAGCTGGTCGAACGGAGGAAACGGAGAGAAAAGCGAAACAAGTTGTTGAACAGTTGAAGAGCTTTTGATTACGTTTGATGTATTTGAACGGTCTCGTTGGACAGCTCGAACGAGAAAAGACGCCGCGCGGTCTACAGTCGTGGTATCATGAATGGTGTTGGCTATGAAGAGCAAGAAGCAACGCGAGAAGAATTTTTCAGAGCGGCAGCGACTAGAACCATCTTCTTGAAGTCTACAGCAGGATTGCTGCCTTGCGAAAGAACCGGTTGGACAGGAGACGAATGATGCCGCATCAGGATCCCCGCCGGTCTCAACAAGATTTCTCTCCTGGTAATAGAGGAATATCGGTGATGGAGTTACCAATCTTGAGTTTGAGCTGGGAAAAGGTTATTGTGAGGCGGGGACATATTGCCTGCGACATATGGACTTTTTCCTGCTCGGAAGGCTCACGCAAAGTCCATCCAATACTGATATGGAACGAGCCAGTTTGATCAGTGGAGTCGCGATGACTTGGGCTGATGGTTGGATCGTGGGTTTGTGGTATGTGATACAATGGTTCTAGTCCAAAATGACGAGCGACCGCATTGCATTTTTCTAGCAAAAGGTTCAGTTGGTCGTTCTCAGGCCTGCTTAAGATAAGCACCAAGAAGAATCTTGTTTTGTCTTTGTTTGAAACCCATTTGAGCCCAAGTGTATGTGTTTGGAAAGAGGTGATCTGAGCATGCTGGACCTTTGCCTCGATTAGTTCCTGGAATGGAGACTTTTGATCTGTGTGTAGAACGATAGGAGCCGATAAGCTAATGTGGAGTGGGAGTGGTGCTCCAAGGTCAGAGCGAAGAAAGCTGTGAATCGCTCCCTGGTCCTTGGATGGATGAGTATTGACAGCCGAGGCCGCCCGGTCTACAAGACCTTGGAGGACATATTCCTGTGCAGTGGAAGGATGCCATTCTAGATAAAGATGGGTCGGCCAATGACCAATCACGTGAGGGATCTGGCGAGTGCGCCCAGCATGCAGGGACGGATCGTCGGATGTGGATGTTCTAGTCGCCGTTGCATAAAGGGAGTGGAATGATAAAGGTAGAGGCGGCGGTGCTTTGGCGATTGCAGGGCGGTGATGTGGCTCCGTAAGCTTTCTTTTCTTTCGTTGAGGTCTCTCCTTTTCCAGGATCAGATCGGGCTCGCTTTCCGAGCTGGAAGCAGAGTAGTCAACGAGGGACATGTTGGTGTTGATAGACAGGCAAGAAAACCATATTGGGTATTGGGTTGAAGGTGCCTGCCAAGAGGGAATATTGAATGACGAGTCGTTTAGGTGTGGCGGGAGGTGCAGTAGGTGAATTGCCTTAGCCCGAGGCGCCCATTAGGTAGGTAGTAGGTACCTGTTCTAGGTCTCTAGATGGAAGCCGCGACAACCAACACCAGAAAATTTGACTCAGATTCGCATGGTGTCCCATAAACCCTGTTGAGACGCGTAACACACGTAAGAGTTCATACAATGGTCAATAATGATGGCCAAAGTGCTGGGCCAAAGGCCTAGGGTAGAGTGTTCATAATTGGTGACGGGGACAGTGTCTCAGATGTGGATGCTACGATTGGGTATGCCATCAAGCTAGCTCTCAGACTGGGTTGCACGACAGCGAACCGGAATCGATCGGAGACCTAAGAATAACAGACAACAGTGACAGCCTTTTAACTCGGGTTTCTGGAGTCAGGGAATGGTAGAAATGGTGCTTACGGTGCCTTGATTGAGATGAAGGTAAGTTCTAGGTGTTGCGCGTCAACTATGGGTATTGGAGGGTGCATATTTTGGTGGTGATGCTGCATCTGAAAGATCTCAGTCTTCCATGTTGTCATATCAGCAGTATGACGTTTCTCAGGGACAATTAAGCGGCGCATGGGAAGCTAAGGCTCGGCAGCGCGATCCACTATGGACCACCCATGGAGTACCGCCAGAGCCGTGGTCATGGTGCCTATGATATTGCCTCTTGATTGCAATTATTGAGTGCCTAAAAAAGGCAAATGAACTGGAGTTGATGCTGCCACCACGACTGAAGCTGAGACTGTATGCCTGGGTACCTTAGGTTAGGTACCTAGGTAGGTTGCCCACGATGCCCAAGCAGCCAAGTCAATGACAATGTGTATTGGATCAACAGGCAAGAAGAGATTTCTCCAGTTAAACAAGAACCTCTAGCGAACCCTGCCGTGCCTATCTGGTGTACTCGTATGCGTATGGGTATGGCTTTATGGGTATTCCGTCCACCCCTGCTCCCCAGCTTTCCCTTGTCCCTCGCTTGCCAACCATGCCTCTTCGTCTTCCATCACTGCCACCATCCACATCCCCACCTTGCACGCCCAGTGCCCACCATGACATATGCCCACATCATTCAACCCAATATTGCCTTGCCCATCCACATAACCTTTCGACTTGCGAATGCCCTGATTGACCCAAGTTCCCACAGTCAAATCCATTGCTCAATTGGCAGCTACTCAAGTTTGGCCTGTTTACGCTGCCATATCTTTTATCCGAATACCAATGGTTTCCCCATCTCTTATTGCTTCTCATCCTGGACTGCTATCCATCATCTATCTGTGCAAATCATACCATTACCTACTCTAGCTTAAGTTGGCTCAAAATCTACCTCAGATCCCCCATACTACCTACTTCTGAACCCCAAATCATCACCCGAGAGATGGAACCAACCAGCGACAAAAATTGGGTGCGTCTACGGATTCAAAGGCCGATGGCTTTGAATCACTCCAACCCTCCAACCCCAGTACTAACCGTGACCACCTAGGCGGCCCATTATCTTCTTGACCCTCTAACGGCCCCGGAACCATCGCAAGAGACGGGACCAGGGACAACGTTGCGACCAGGAGCCACTGTCGCTCCAGTCAAGCCACCACCTTCTCAACCATCGCCCGGTAGAAGATTAAGCAAAAACAACCCATATCGCAAAATCTCGAACTCCAGTACTGGATCCGCCGACATCAGACGGAGTGTCTCATTGAATCAGCACTCCAACAACCCGTTCCAAGCAACTCCACCTCAATCCCCCGAGTTTATACGTTCCCCACACTCACCTCGCTCACCTGACCATCGACAAGAGGCATTTGGCCAGAATGGCGGAGGTGGTCGTCGTCGCGGAAGCTCGCTAGGTGAAAGATACCCCGGTGACAAGTCGCATCGACCACTCGATACATTGACACGAGAGAAACACTCGGCCGATCGATCTCGCCACATGACCAAGAAACACCACATCCGGCCCGACACCATCGACAACCTTGATAGTACGGGACTAGGTACCTACCACCATGGCGGTCCATACGATGCGACATTGTACGCACGCAACAACTCATCCAACTCACCATTGGCGGCACTAGCCGATTCCAACGCCGAGGCACTCAAGGCTACGCCCAGAGAAAAGATCATCGATAGTGTCCAGCACCACCGGCCTCTAGATGGAGTTGCCGCCCACGCTCCTGGACAGTACGACCGCAATGGAAATCTGTATATGTACGAAGAGGGTGAGAACATGATGGTGGACTTGGCTCCCGGAGGTGGCTCCTACAAGCGATGGCCAGGAGTGCAGTATCACCCCGACGACATCAAGGGCAAAGGTGAACCCAGCTACAGCATCGAAAAAGCACTCAAGGAGCACAAACTCGACGACAGCCGTAATGGAGAGAATGGAATCGAGATGAAGACCCACGGCAGATCGACGAGTGGAGGTAGTGGTAGTGGCGCCATGACATCGTCGGGAATGGAAAATGGCCACACAGGCCTCGGTCGCAGTGACAGCGGCAGCATGGGCAAGCGACTCAGCGGCGGGCTGAAGAAACGGTTTGGCAGTTTGAAAAAGAAGAATCATGCCGAGTAATGGATCTTGACTTTTACTCTTGTCGACGTCACTGATAGATGAACGATTTGGATATAGGTGGTACTATATGAGGCGAAAATGAGGAAATCTCATGACATGAGACACTGGGGAAAGGGACCTCAATGGGAAAGGATAAGGGGCGACTCTTGGGCAATATTTCACTGGATATATGTTAGAAATCTGGATTCATGATATGTACTCCGTCTAGTGGTCAACAAATGATATTTATACGACCGATCATATGTACCCCCTTGAAACAGTCAGGGATAGGTAATCAAACATTGAATGGCATTGCAGGTTCCGTGATCGTGTTCTTCCATGACACGTGCCCTTGACCCGCCTGTAGTAATTGCTTTGACTTCAGGCACTTTGCTGTGCCGCACTCCCCATATCTTCCACCGCATCCGGATTATCCCAGCTAGCCATCTCGAGCTTCCGTACCCTTTCCTCAATCTGCTGGATCTTGGCTAGATTGTCCTTCTTAGCCTGCTCCTGGAGATCAAATGTCTTCTTGAATTGGTTCAGCATAAAAGGCTCCAAAGAACTCTTCTTGCCGACTCTGTAGTCATACACGACCACATCCTCTAAACACCTAGCAGCCGGTCTCTGCTTGGCCTCTGATAGGATCATGACATCGAGAACCAGGGATTGCGTCGACTCGTCCGGTCTTGACCGTAGCTTGTGAAACACCGAGATCTTGTCAGGCCAAGTCATGGGGAACTTGAAATCGACCGTGATGCTCTTAAGGATCAGACCAATTCCCTTGCTGGTCAACAGCGCCTCCCATGCATCTCTGTGTTTAGGATCATGATATTGACCGTAGTTTCTCGTCCAATTGCAGCGTCCACTCTCGGCGAAGCGCACATACATGACATTGTTGACATGTCCCATGGAATCTTGCTCGCCCCAGACAATGTTCTGCCGGAACAGACCTGCGCGCTTAGGATCGGTCAAGAAGCCTTCACTGCCGGCGACGAGATCCCGCCATGATGTGCCAAGTTCAGAAACAATCGAGCCGGCCTCGTCGACTTGTTCTGGTTTAAGACCGAAGGTGATACATTTCCCCACTCGGGCTTTGGTGTCGGATAGCCAGCGTGGGGACACTGTCGAGGGAGGTTCTCGGGGAGCTGGGGCTTGTGAAGAATATGACCGGAACTGAAGGAAGGTGGGAATGGGTTTGGTGGTCGCGGCAGCGGTAGTGGCAGCGCGAGAGGCACACCTGATGACGCCGGTTGTTGTCATGTTAGCAAGTCATCTGAGATAATGCTGCGACGTCAAACACGAGCTCCAGAGCCTGTCGCCTCGACACAATCGAGAGGGAGCAGTTATCTACTTCTTACTTACAAAAAATGGGCAAGTTGGGGTAGAGGTGGACGAAGGATCTCCAACTGGTTGGGTCGGCGTTGGCGTAATCCGGACGAGCCTCGGGGATCGGTTATTTGCGGAGATCCAGGTATGAAACCCGTCTCAGAATCTGGGGTGATCGTAGATGTATGCAAAGATCATCTAGATGTATGGCTCTTTGTTAGCATAGTAAGTAAGGAGTCAAACTGAAACTTAGGCACGGACAGTTAGAGATGAAGTTGACAGGACGCGTTGCTGCTCTTTCCTACGAAAAAGCCGACACCAGTCGCACTTTCTATATCTGTCTCGGTGTCATCACGTGGTTTCTACTGACTCTAGTCTTCAGATGGCGGTTATCAACTTGCATCAAGGACTTCACTTGCAACTCAACAATGCCATCCGCCATCAGCACAAATGACTGCTCCCGTCACAAAGCTCGCCCTGTCGCTCAACAGGTATACAATAGTGTCGGCAATCTCACGAGGCTGAGCGAATCGCTTCAACGCTGTGTCAGATACATCCTCTTTGTCGCCTGATCCTTCAATCGACTGCGACTGCTTCATGAGCGGTGTTTCTGTCATGCCCCTAGATGGTGTGAGGTTAGTTCCTGGCTAGAGTCACTTATCAACTCCACTCGGTACTCACGGTGCAATACAGTTGACTCGAACCCCTCGAGACCCAACCTCTTTAGCAACGCATCTTGTCAAGCCCAACACGGCATGTTTGCTCGAGGTATAAGCAGATGTGCCGGCCCTCCCTTCGAGACTCAGTCCACTGCCTGCATTCACCACGCTACCCCCTGTATCTTGTTTGCCGATATACTTGAGCTGGGCACGCAGACAATTCATCACCCCGTACACATTGACGCCAAAGACGAATTCCCAGTCCTCGTCCCGAATCGTCTCTACGGTCCCAACGTTGTGGTCTGGCGGGATGGTCCCCGCCAAGTTGGCAGCTCCATCCAATCGACCAAATGTGGCCATGGTATCTTCAATCCAGCTCGACACGTTACTGGCAGATCGAACATCGACAGTTCGTAACAGCACCAGCGACTGTTCCTGGTTGGCATTTGCCCCAGCTGATGATCTTAGCTCTGCCTCTAATGTCTCAGGAATCTTGATGTCTCCAATTGACACCCTTGCCCCAAGCTCTAGGAGTGCTCTGGCGGTAGCAAGCCCAATTCCGCTCGCCCCGCCCGAGATGGCGTAAACTCGATTCTTGAAAAATGCCTCCATTCTTTAAGGATAGACCGTGTCGTCTCTCGCCTGGGAAATCTTGACCTCTCGAGCCGTTTTCCAGGTGCTTTTGGGACGTAATGTGTTCTAGTCCTATATGAGACTTTACCCCTCACAACCTCATAGACCAATGATGTAAGTAGTCCGATTTCGAGATGCAGTCAAGGAGGTGGATATAGTGTTCGCCAGACTAGGCTGCGGAGTGCAGTGGTGAGGGGCCCTGCTGAATGCTGGTACCGTTGCATTCGTTTTTTTCCAACCACTCGTGCACTTGCTAACCGGTCTAGATTCGACGTGGCCAAAGTCTACCAACTCAGCCTGCATGGTGGCCAGGCCAATCAGTGGCACATTGTACTCCCAACGACAAATATAACACTACGGTGATGCTGAGCATATGACATTACCAAAGACGTCGCGACAAACCATGTCCTTGGATTGCCATGGAAGATTTGAATTCTTGGAAAAAGTAGAAGAACTAATCATGAGCACAGTCTAGCTCAGCACAGTACAGCAAAACCCAGTCGAACCCAGCCTGAGGTAGTCCCTACTCGACACCCTCGCATCCACAGCATGGCCCTGTTCATCGATTGACACATCATATCAAGATCAACAGTGCTCATGCTCTTATAAGGAAGGTCACCATTTGCCTCATCGTGTGGACGTCGACGCGTATGTGGTGCAAACCCGAACCAAATAGCAAAAGGACGCCGAGAAAGTCGTACAACAAACATGAAGCAGGGTATCGTTATTTTTGTTGGTGTGTGACGCGTAGAGTACGGTGTGTTTCCATGAACCTTCACTCCATGGCTATAACCGTCGCCCGTCGCCCTAGCTGCATCCGCGAGTGTCATGTCATTTGGAGACAATTCAATTCATCCCTTGGTCCATTCTGGGGTCTGCTCGATCGCTCAATCGTTGGTTCGAGCCCTTCGAGTCCAAGATAGAGATAGATCGTAAATACTCTCTACTTCTGTCCAGAGAAGCTCTTCCGACGCTCATGTTCCTTGGTCACCTCAGCCACCAGCTGATCCGACTTCTCCTTTTCCTTCATCTCTCGAACCTTGGCCAAGACGACTTCTTTGAAGATGGCGCCCTTTGCAGCACTGCTCAACTTGGCCTTGGCAGATGACTCTCCGGTGGTCAGGCCTCGGCCAGGAGAAACGCCTCGAGTTTGATTCTGGACGGCGAGACCAGCGGCATTTTGAGCGTTGGATGGAATGTCGTTAGCGTCGGGAGAGTTGGGTTCGTCTTCGGCTTGAAGCTTCAAGGATTCGATGCGATTTGCTAGCTTGACCAACTCGATACCACGCTTCAACTTGGCCTTTGCCAAATATGCCCGGATTTCTGGCAAGAGATCGTGATCGCTGGCTGTCTCTCCGGTCAACCAGATGTGCTTGAGTGCAGCTGTACTCGTTGCGCGTTGTTTCGGGTCGGGCTGCAGAAGGGTGAGGATGAATTCTTTGGCATCTTTGCTCACGTCTTTCCAGTATCGCTCATGGAAGATGATTCGTCCACTCTTGCATTCCTCTACCAGGTCGGCTAGGTTTTCAGAACGGAATGGAGAGTAGCCACAGAGAAGAGTGTAGGTGATGACACCCAAAGACCACATGTCGACTGCTTTGCCATGGCCTTGTCGGAGCATGACTTCGGGTGCAGCGTATCCAAACGAGCCGGCCATCGAGGTCAAGACTGCACCTGGACTGTCAAGGGTCTTTGCGATACCAAAATCGGCGAGCACCAATTGGGAATCTTGGGCTTTGGTGAGGTAGAGGAGGTTCTCGGGTTTCAAATCTGTCTAGGTCAGTACATGGTGCTATCAAGTCTCTCATAAGTCATACCTCGGTGGACGACGTTCTTGTGATGTAAATAGTCGACAGCCTCGAGGACTTGTTTGATTGTCTGAGAGGCATCCTTTTCGGTGAACTTGCCCTTATCACAAATCCGATCGAACAACTCTCCACCGGTGGCCAGCTGTGTGACAATGTAGAACTTGTCCTGTATCTTGATCAGCCCAACAAGTTCGAGGTACCCCAGGACAGAGAGTTTACCCTTGACTCAAACCAATCTTGGAACTTGACAATATGTGGATGATTCAACTCTTGGAGCATCTTCAATTCATCATAGACCATCTGTTCATTACCCTTGACGCTCTTCTTGAGAATAATCTTGACCGCGCATTTCTCGCCGCCGTACTCGGCCTCTCGAACAATGCCATATGTTCCAGCTCCTAGTGTCCTCCCGAATCGATATTGAGACTTTTTATCGTAGCTGTCGGGTTGGCCCTGGAGCTTGTTCAAGAAACTTGCGCCAACTAGGTATCACATGTCAGCGCAGTCTCCAGGAGGTGTTGTAATACGAGTGCACAAGGCCGCGATCAAGTTGGACTCGATGTCCATTCGGACGCGGCAACTGAGAGGATTGCGTGTAGGAAAGGCGCTGAAAACATCGAGGAGCTGAAACAGCTCTTTCGCAGCTGGTGGACTTACAACTCATGACTGTGATGGCTCGAGGTTAAACCAACGGGGAAATCAGGTGTGTATCGAGTGAATCCTGTCGTGGAAGTCTCCAGAAGAGCAAGCTGAGGGAGACAAGAACACCGCAAAACCCTCGAGAACACACAAGAGGTGCGTGGGAATGGGTGACAAGGCTCGAGTGAGTGCGGTGTTGGGATCGAATGTTTCTGGATCAGCCGCAGGGGTTGGGGGCGCAGTTGGATGACTGAGTGAGTAGTGGGTTTGGGTGAGTGATGACTGCGGGGTAGTAAATTGTAGGAGTAGGAGTGGGAGTGGAGTGGATTGTTTGTGAGTTTGTGCTACTGTACGAGTACGAGTAGAGTAGAGGACGCTGGGACCAGGCGAATGGATTAGGGAAGGGAAGAAGAGAGATAAGCAGGAGAAAGGTAATGATATCAACAAGTGAGAAGCGGCTCAGAGTCAAAAAAGAATGAAAGATGTACTCGTAGATAATATTATTCCCAAGATGTTCTGCTCTTCTCTGCCTGGCTACCAAGCCATGTCAGGTATTCAGCTGCGCCAGCAGGAGTCAATGCCCAAGCCCATTCATGCATCATTAATGGCGTTTTGATTTGACCATTTGGGGCCAAAATCGACTGGCCCTGGCAGACCTGTCGTGCATGGCCACCTGAGAATCATCGAGGATGAGGCGCAGTCACCCACTAGCAAATTTGATTTCTTACTCGCAATTTGAGTCAAAATCCGGCGTGAGTACAGGTATCTACTCCGTACTTAGTAGTAGTAGTGTCAGGTACCTACGGAGAGGGAATGCGCTCGGTAGGTGACTCGCACGTGCGGTAAATTGATTACTTTTTATCATGACCCATGACTCGCGGGGGTTTGGAGTGCAAATTGTTATTGTCATGCATGCTGTATCTGATTCGCTCACCTCTTAGATCCTCTTGTTGCAAGTAAATTACGTCGCGAATAGCAGCTGCGACTACTCAACGCTAAGTCGCCTATAGAGCTGGAGAAACCACTCCTATATACTTACTCTCTCTGGGGCAAATGCAAGACCAAGGCATCCTGCCAGTGTTGCATCCCACGACTTTGTACCGTGATTGATGGCATCAGAAAAGACGGCTGTGACCATCCGCTTCACAATTTGACAACTCAGCCATAGAGCCTCCCGCATGTCAAAGATGCGGTGAAATGAGTTGCTTGGGCTTCCTCGATACTATGGGGGAAGCCCATCTATCTATAGTCAAACGTATGACTCTACAGTGTACAGGAGGCTGGGAGATGATACCAACCCTTGTACGAAGGTGTTGGCGATTGACACCGCACGGGTTCCTTAGTGATCTTCCCATCATTGAGAAGTTGTTGAATCGTGGCATCTAGTCGAATACCATCCCTTTTGGACAACTTGAAGTATTCGTGCTCAAATGCGAGTGCACGCTCTAGCTGGACTCTAGCACCTTTGATCAAGGTCCATGCAATCTTGCCGTCGTCGTGTCTTGATTGAAGGTGGTCAGGCAGTTGAGTGAGGAAGCGAGCAATGTCATCACCTGTTGGAGTGGGACTATAATAACATTGTTAGCCTCTCCTTACTCGTAACATGTCGCTGGTTGACACTCCGGAACGATTACTTACTCTAGGCGTTTATTGATATTCAGTGTGGCCTGTGCAAATTGTTTAAACAGTGTAAGCCAGTATCGGCGGTGGATAGCCGTGCTAGGAGCATTTGCAGCGTCCTGGAGCTTCTTGATCTTCTTCTTTGATTCAATTCGATCAACTACTGACTTTTCAAGGATGGAGGTAATGGTCTTACGGCTAACGATAGGGCCGGAATCTTCTTCGCTGAGCTAGCTCGATATCAGACGAATTAAAGTCGTCCATTTCAGGACGCTCACAAGGTTGCAGACCAGGAAATGAAGAGGTCAAAAGAAGTGAGAGGACGTCGGGATAACGAGAGGAGAAGAAGTTGAAAGGAAGGGAGAAGAGTGCAGAAGAGTGGGAGAAAAAGACAGAAGGGAGTCATGGAGGGAAACGATGAAGCTCTCGGAAAAGGGAAGGTATGACAGTCAAGGTTCTTGACGTGCGGCGCTTCTGAGATATGGAAGGCGCGTTTGGCGTTTTCAGAGGTTAGATGCCACACCTTCCAAAAGTACCAGGAAGAATGACCTGGAAAGTCTAGAGCTCGTGTGATACGATCCTTTTGCCTCCAAGAACTCCTGTAAAGTCCTCGTTGAATGCAAAGATTATGGCTTGTTGCCATAACATGGTGCTAGTCGGCTTCATAAGCCGCCTAATTCTCAATGTCTCCTTCGATCTGTTTCTCAGGTTCCATTTCGCCTCCTGTGTTGATGGCCTCAGATTCTTTATCCGTTGTCTTGCCATTCACCTCATGGTTAATGGTGCCATCATTCTCGACCAGTGCATTGTCTGGCGTCTCTGCTTCCTTGTCCTGATCGTATGCTCGTTCCCAGCCCGGGCCGTCTCATCGTTGCCCTCTTCGTGTGCCTCCTGTGCCATTCCCAGCCCGGATTGTCTCGTCGTTGCTCTCATTTCACTCGTTCTCATCATTCTCATCTTTGTCCTCGTTGGCCTCACCCTCTTGCTCATCCTGCAGCTCTGGAGCCTCCGCCTCTGGAAGACTCAACTTGAGCTTTCAAGATGTTCATAGTTCTCACTGAGCATTTCTTTGATTGGTTCCAAGATCTTACTCAAAGCCTGAACGTTATGTCGATGGACACCCATTGCATACAACTTGGCAGAATCATTGTCTCGAGAAAGAATGAGAAATCAAAGTCAATTCTTCTCCTTCAGATTGGGAAGCCAAAGGCTACTCAAGTACCTAGTAGTTAGCGTAGTTAGTGGTGGGTCTCCGATGCTAGAGACTTAACATCCATGGCCTTTCCTTCCCGCTTAGTCATTCGTGAAGGTCTGTTTCCAGCCGTCCACCTCTCCCTAATGCCACGTGAGCGCGCTGGAGAGGGTGCCCTAGAGAGAAAGCCTTAGAGAGAAGTACTATATGGAGGGTGCCCTAGGGAGAGTGCCCTAGTAAGAAGCGCCACATAGAGGGTGCCCGATAGTATATATCCTAGATAGAAGTGCCATGAGGAGGGTGCCCGAGAGTACATATCTGAGATAGAAGTGCCATGAGGAGGGTGCCCGAGAGTACAT